AGTCTCGCTCGCACCATTCGACCATCGGATGCCCGATATTCCGGCACCAAATGATCGTCATCCAAACAACAAGAGCAGTATCGACGTCTGGAAGCAGAATTGGCGTTGCATTTGTGGGCAAAACAAAACAGACGCAGCCGACTGCTCCAGGCCGATTATCGTGATACTGAACCAGGCACGAACGACGGAGCGCCCGTCCTCGTTTGAGCATGCGTATGACAACATGAAGGGGGGCATAGGCTGACAACTTGCAGGCTTTTTTTTTCCCTTTCTTAATTCTTCTGCTGCACCTCCACAGTAGGAAGTTGCCAGAATGGCAATGCCGTCGGTTGGGATATGAGTGGCGGCATCGGGGCGTCCGCCACATTCGCAGCGCTTCAGTATTGCTTGTGGATACAAAGGCTCAAGTGGGCGCCGGTAACTTGAACTTCAGACATCAGCTAGTAGTATTCCGTACGGGTACTCCGTACTGTGCTGCTGTTCTTAAACAACCTGGCATTCAAGTGCCTTAGCCACCTACGACGTGAACCGCCACCATATATCCTGTCGGCGCTGAGGTAAGGAGGTTCCGTCATGTGCCGACGTCAAGGCTGGATTCTAAGTTTTCTTTCTTTGACAGAGTACGGAGCACTCCGTGTCAGGCCAGGCAAAAGCAAGGCACACACTGAAGCGGCGGCTGCGGAAGTCGACGACGACTTTGGCAACGACAGGAGACGTCATACAAATACGTAGAACAATCGATCCGTCTTGTGCTCTTCATGACGAAGTACTATGGGTCTTCTTCCCGGAGCTCGGGACTCGGGGTCGGGAGCCCGCAGGGGTCAAGGTGCCACGGAATTGAAAACGTATAGAGGCTCTCCCTACCCGCGAGTTGAGACTGCGGCCACTTTGGCGACAAGGCAAGTCGAGTCTCGCAGGGGCGAGGGGGCGGTGTTTTGGAGATTGGAACATTTGTGAAGCAAAACCGTGGGAAGGGGGAAGGTTCGTCGTCTCAGGGGCTCCCATGTGCAAAGAGACGATGACGATGGTTGGGTTGGCGTGAAGCACTGACGGAGGACATAGGACCGTTTGTGTGAAACATATTCCGTGGCTCAACAAGATACGCAATCACTACCAAAGTCCTCAAAGAGAGAGAGCTCCCAGGCGAAGGACCAAGAGGTGCAGACAAAAAGTCCTTGTCGGGCTTTGTGTGCAATGGCATAGTAGACGGGCCATGGCAGTCTCCGTGTCCCCAGGTCGCGGGCTATGGCGCCCACGCAAGACGCCCCCGATTCAAAATGACCATGAATTGAATACTAATACTGCTTGCTACGAGTACTACGTTCTAGTAGTACTAGTGGTACTAGTAACAGCACTCGAGTCGTACTACTAATAATATATGCGCATACGCATATGGAGCGAGCGTACTGGCAGCAATGCGAGGCCCAAGTGCAGAGTCCACACGTTAGCCCACGCCCAGCCCACGCCCAGCCCACGCCCTAGCCAACATGCACGCCCCGGGTCCCCAGTGCATCGGAGGGAGGGAAGGAACATTGGAAGGCGATGGTCGCAACGATGGCGAGTAGATTTGGTGGAGGGGGCGCACGGCCGAGCCACGGCCAGCCTGTTATATAGCAGGAGGAAGGTTCAACGTTGCGCCTGAGGATGTAGTGGTACCTTTGGGGCAGGCTTTGGCCACCCGAGACTGCAACCATGCCGGGATGCCCGGCGGCCACGAGTTTCTAAACTTGTCCCGGTACAAAGGCTTCGAAACCCGAACCGGGCCTCTTGAATCGAGCAGGGCCAACATCGAACACTGCCGAAAGCGCCTGGCGCCGAGGCCGATTGGCAACGGACAATCAAAAGAAGCAAGCCCCCTACTTTCTTAGTCATTCCTCAGGTACTTGCCTCCTTGGGGTGGAGGACCCCGACCACTGATGGTGCATGAATAATAATTATGACCGGGACCTCGTTTGGGCTTGAAGGCAGAATGTGAGGATGCAAGGCCAAATTGTTTCTTTTGGTGCCGCGCGCAGAATCAGACGTCGACGTGCAACACCCGAGCAGGCACATAGTTACTCGTTGAATGCGTTGAATGCGCGCGTTGGCACTTGCTGCCGCCCGGCGCCACCGATGGTTTTCGGTTGCTCAAGTGCGCGACTTTCGCCCGCCGTTGCGACCCGTTGACGGATGCTGATGGTGTCGTCGCAGGCAGGACGGGCTCTGAAAGACGGTGCGAATGCAGGCCAAGCCATGCCGTTTCGGTGCGGAGCCAGCGCATGTCCGCGGACTGGTGGTACACGACGGCAGCGGGCTCTCCAGAGAAGTAGCCGTGATGAGAAAAAAAAATTGAGAGAAGGAAAAGAAAAGGCAAAAGATAAAAAGTAAAGCAGGACGCAAACGAGCACAAGAATTCTGACAGAGGCGCTAGCTAGTCATCGCTTGGTCGCTCTGAACAGCCAAGCGGTAGGCTGGTGGTGAAGGCTGGGTACCTCCAGGTACTTGAGAATGGCTTCGACCAATGTTCCATGGTTGCAGTAGAGCTGCGTCGGAGTAAGGCGAGGCTTGCGCCTGCGCCCGGCCATCCAAGTACACGGAGGGACAGGTCTGCATTCGTGTGTGGTGTGGTGGTACTTGGAATGGTGTGTGAGGCGCGGGGCACGCCAAGTATCTCGAACCACCGACACGCTACTGGACCTGGGAAGGGTCGGGTCAACGGTACTTGTACGCATGCCCAGCGCCGGCGCCAGCGACGATGCTTGAAGTGTTAGCCTGCTGCTCCCCAATGTTCAGCTGTGCCCACATGTGCACTTGCTTGCCTCCATGCTAAGTACCTAATCTGCGTGGGTACCTGCCCAAGTACTTAAGTAAGTAGCCTAGGCACTTATTTTAGGTAAGAAGTAGGGTGCCTAATGATGATTAATGCTGGCACCCACCGGGCACCGTGGACAGGGCACCTGGGACCGGGACGCGATGGGGGACATGTTGGCATGCTGAAGAACGGACGTGCGGCACTCGAGTACCGGAGTACTCAAGTACGTGAGGGATGAGGCACCGGGCTCGGCCACAATATTGAACACTTGTTGAACTGTCGACGTTGCATACTTGTAAGTAGTGGGATGCATGGCGGCACCGCCTGATACCACCGTTTGGCACCTCTGGCTGCAATGGCTTGGTGCGCCAGGTCTTCTGCCGTGTGATCTAGTGCCAGTCTACTGTACTTAAGTACTTACTTACCTTAAGTACTTAAGTAGACGGACAGACCAGTTGACCCGGGGCGCAACTGTACAGGCGCGCGGGCGTGCTCGGCACTAGCGTCTGCTACCAGCATGAGCAAGCGTCAAGTCGAGTGGCACCTGGCCATAGGCGTTAATGTTAGGGCGTGCAGGCGTGCAGGCGTGCTCCAGTTGCCCCAACGTGCCAACTCTGTTCCGGTCAACTGGTGGCCGGTGGCCGGTGGACGGTGGACGGTCCCAGACAACTCATTACTCGTAGTACCAAGTACCGCCAGCCGGACCCTGTGATGGGGAGGGCCCCCCCCCCCTTCTTTCTGCAAGTACCTGTCGGGTCGGTGGCGGCTTGCCCTGCGCTAGTCATTCCATTGCTTGACCGAACCCAGACTGCTCGTGTAATGTGTAATGACTGAAAATGAGAGTGCTCACTCCTCCATGCTCCCTTACTGCAGCGCGACTCGTACCGTTGGCGCCATGGATGGAGTCGAGATACTTCCGCGTGCATGGCTGCCCATGCCAAATGCCCTTCCCACTCAATGCGCAATGTGTGCAGGTGGACTTTGACCACCCTCCGTCCCCTTGCGAAAGTCCCGGCCCTCCTTTTCTCCAAGTCACTCTTCCTTGCCGGCGCCATTGCCTCCCTGGATCCAGGTTTGTGTCCCAATCCCAAGGGACAAGTCCGCTTTGCTCCTTCCGTTCAGAAACACCTTTTTGTTCCTCGGGTCCCCCAATCTGATCTCGTCCTCTTTCCCTTTTCACCTCCTTGCCTCCTTCCCACTGTCTATTGTGCCGACTCTTGTCTCTTTTTTTGTTCCTTGACTCTTTATTCCTTGCCTTGACTTTTAGATTTCCCGACCTTGATTCCAAGAAAGCCATCTGTGTACTCACTTTCCTGTCTCTGAGCGCATTTAAGAGCTCCCACTGCCCACGTCTACGCCTACATTTAATCCACTTTGATTCCCTCTTTGGGCCACATACGGGCCCTCCCTTCCCAACGGCACCCAAACCGACTTCGAACTCAATCTCCAAGTCCAAGACCAGGTCGAACTCGAAGGCGAACTCCAACTCGAGGTCGACCACGACGACGTCACAGCAAACTTGTTTGCCGCTTGTGTTTGTCTGTGATTCGGCCAAAAGGAGTCGGAACCCGACTGGAGGATCCTAGATATAGAAGCCCTGTCAGGAAATAATTCCATACGCCACACTTTGAAAACCTCGATATTTGGCCGAGCGTACCCGGGTCGGGCATCTCCCCTGTCGACATATCAAGTCTTCATACAACGCCGACTACGTATATCTGGATGTAAGCACCAAGAGATCACCAGCACCGAATCCCCCCTCCCCTAATCTGTTGCAACTTGCTCCAGCACATCCATGTATGTGTCTGGTGCCCGCTGCAAAATGACGGATTTTTTCTCTTGTCCTGCCGACAGCCTTTTTCACGTGGTCCTTGGACTCCAAGTTGCTGCAGCTCGCCCTCAAATAGGCGACTTGAGTCTGCAACTGTCCGTGCCTCGTGACCGGAGTCTGCATTTCACCTTGCACGTTTTGCATGCACTACGACTTTGAAGTACGCAAGTTCCTCTTTCTGCTAACACGGAAACAGTCATTGTTTAGGTACACAAGGTTCATATTGGGACCTACTTAAGCTTAAGCCCCCAACCGAACCAGCTGACGGCGACTAACACGCCACTGCCATCAACTATTAAGGGGACCAGCTCCCTCGCATTTTTGGATTTTGACAACTTTCTTGCGGCTTGGAGTAAGAACCACGGTCAACTCTTTAACATGGTACCAGAGCAAGACACTGGCGGCCATGTTGAGAGATCACGCAGGAATCTCTCAACGTCAGCCCCTGGGCCCAACAACGAGACTGAGCAAATACAAGACGCCGATGTCCAGATGCAACAGGCTCCTCAAGACGAGACACAAAGCTCAAAAAAAGCTCAATCAACATCACAAGAATCACCGCGGCGGTGTGATCCGGCCTTGCGGTCCTCGACTCCTGCTCCCTCGGTGCTCTCAGGGAGCTCATCTAGCACATCACCGTCATCTTCGCCCACACCGGAGCCGTCAGTGACACGTCGCTCGAGGCGGCACTCCCTGCACCAATCACTGCCCCTCGAGCCTCCAGTCACAAAATCTACGCTTAGCGAACTGGACGTGTCAAAGATAATACATAATCCCAAGTTGCGGCACGACATAAACTTTGACCCTGAGCTGCACTTTAGGCCGAACTTGGATGGAGAAAAGGGGCGAAAAAAGCAAGAGAGAGCTAATCAGTTTTGGCGGGCATTAAAGGAGGAACTAACACAGTTCATCACAGACCGACCCGCTTTCTACGCCAAACACGGGGAGACCGACGACTGGACACTGCCCTCGCTACTCAAGGCCGTCAAGGAAATAATCCAGACACTTGTTCCTCAACGTGATCGCCAATTCTTGGACGAGGGCTTCAATATTGAATTACTCATGCAGCAATTTCACAAGGGTATCGCCGACTTGGAAAAGTTGGCTCTCTGGCTGTCCCAAGTGCTCAAGTCTCACTGTGCGCCCATGCGAGATGACTGGGTAGACACCATGTATACTCAGCTGAGTGAAGGCAACCGCGACTCGGACCTGGATCAACTCGTCACCGGAATGCGCAGCCTTTTGAGTGTTTTGGAAGCTATGAAGCTGGACGTTGCGAACCATCAAATTCGGTGTCTGCGGCCTGTCCTGATTGAGGATACGACACATTTCGAGCAAAAGTTCTTCCTCAAGAAGATTCAGTCTGGCAAGGTAGATATTACTGGGGCTCGGGAATGGTATCGAGAATTCGAGAGAAGCCATTCCGCTACGCTTATCAACACCACGCAAACCTTTGGTGACATGGGCGTCTTTTTTGAAGCGCTCTCTCGCCTGGTCCTTCCCTCATCTGGAGAGAAGCGAGTGCCTAGCACTTTCTTGTTCGACGAAGAACGAATCATGAAGCTTCGGTCGGACATGGTTGACGTAATCAACTTGGATATTTGCATGCGCATGTATGAAGACCTGGAGCGAGTGGCACGTTACAGTTCAAAGATGTTGGGTCGCGACTTCCAGCCCCTGGACGAAGATACCTTCAACTCATCAACCACGCCAAGCTCAGAGTTGAATTTGAACACGCCATTGTCCAACTCGAGGCCGTCGAGTCTCGTGTTCAGCAGTTCTAGCTCTGCGTCTTCTTCTCCTCGCTCTTCTCTTGTTATGCCTTCATACGTCGCGCCGGAGAATTGCGAGTCAAGGATCAAGGCTAGGAATGTTTACAACTCGTTGGTTGCGCTGTTGCAGTCGACGCCCCCATCGTCGCGACACTGCAACCGATGGCAGACCATCGCTCCGTCCATGGCTCTTCAAATTTTTCGATACACCAATGCCCCATCGGAGCTGCTACCGACGTTTGAGGGAAAGCTCATTGACAATGTCTGCCGTGCTGATTCGCAAATCTACAAAGAGGTCGAACAGGCCTTCCACAACAGGCTCATGTCGGCACTGGCGGGCCGAGTCCGTGACTACAAGGCTCTATCAGGAGTCTCGCTCTTCGCCCTCGCCACTGGTGGACGAGTCGCCAGCAACAATCGCCTCCAGCTGTGCCGAGTCTCCGACTCTTCACGAGATGGACAAGACGAGGGAGGAGTTGAGGATATGGCGACTCGGCTGGCTCATCTCGGCGTTTTGCATTGGCGAGTGTGGGGACAGCTGGCATATCTTGGCGAGCCTGAAGATATGTCTGTGGATGTTCCTGGTAACATTTAGGCAATCGCAGTTTCTGCAGTACCACCATCGATGACGACCCGAGCTGGGAAGGTGGTGATCTTGGTATCCGTTAGTTCGACCTAGTCAAGATCTTGCTGATCCTTTTGACTCCGAAAAGCGCCGCCACGCCTTTTTCCGACCGTGCTATAGGCAGGCGGATCAGGTATCGAGCATTTTCCTCTCGGGCCTCGCGAACCTTGTCGATTTGGACACATGTCGTGGTGGAACAAGCCGAATCGAACGAAGTCGACACTAACACAATATATACGGCAAGACTTTTTTTTTCCTCTTTTTCTCTCTACATTATCAATCGACATGCCTCTATTTCCCCCCCCCTCTTTTTTGGTCTTCAGGATGGAGTTTTAACAATAGACTGGGAGAATTGTGAATAGCGGGGTTACTTGCTTTGGCGCTTGCATATATATTTTTTCTACGCTTTTGCACTTTTCTTTGTGGCTTCTCTACTTGGTCCATCATCACCATGGCCAACCGTCGCATGTTGTTGATTTTATTCTGTGTGTTCTCGGTCTACCCTGGTTTCGCGACGTGGGACAGCCGCTCTGTGTTGTTCCTTTTTTGCAGTGGCCTTTTCTTCTTCTTTTCTTGTTCAAGCTACGGCGTTTACTGGTAGGATTCATGGATCAAAGAATGGGGGCGCTACGGCCACGGCATATGCCAAAGCTCTCTGACTGCAAGCCTAATAGGGGTTGACAAGGGGGCGGAAGGAATATACTACTTGGTGCATTTGTAAGATTGAGGAGAGTCCACACTCGAGCCGAGGCAACCATAGGGCCAAGGCCATGGGAGGGTTGAATATAGTGTACAGGACACGGTCCACCACCGATTTATCACAATGAAATGCATTGCAATATTTAGCTTGAATGAATGCATTGCAATATTTAGCTTGTGTGTGTGTGTGTGTGTGTGTGGCATTTTTGGCTGAAACAGGTGTGGTTTGCGGTGAAACATGACGAGTGACTTTTGGAGATGAAGGCGGCGTGGCGTGCGTGTGCTCTGTCCATGTCGTCGGCCAGCCAAGGCAAGCGGCGTGCAAAGCTGGCCGTCCGTCCGACAGACACGGAGCACCATGGCGGCAGTGTCACGAGTGTATTTCTGCGCGATGCCGGCGCCAGCTAGGTAGTAGTCGTGACGACGGGACATGTCGTCAGGCCCAGATGGACGTGAAGCGAGTCCAAGGGAAGCGGAACCACAACGGGGCGGTTGGTGCACGTGTTTAGTTTTGGCCCGTGTCGCTCGGCAACGCGTCGCGAGTTCTCGTGTGTATCCAGTGCGTCGTCGTCGTCGTCGAGCCTGATGGATGGTGGTGCGCAGCAGGAGACGGACAGACAGACGGACAGACAGACAATGCGAGCAGTGGGTGCTCGGGCTCGAGCTCGGCAAGCTCGGGCTGGTTTGGTCGTCTTGTCTTGTCTTGTCTTGTCCTGTCTTGGTCGACGAACGGGTTGGTCTGAGATTCCGCGGTGAGACAAGGACAAAGAAAGAGACTGTCAATGACCTGTCTGCTCGGCACGGCGGAGGTGGTGGTTGCATCGCGGCCTGGCGCAGCGCTTTTACGCGAGACGAGCGAGACACATGTCGAGACAGACACCTACGCAGGTCCCACGAGTACTCTTGCGCGAGAGATTTGGAATATCCGAGACGCCCCGACCACGGGCCATGGCCGAGGGCCTGCACCTGCACCTGCACCTGCACCGGGCGAGACCCTCTGCGGAGCGATTTGGAATACGTACATGAGACTGACTGACTCTCCGCCTGCGACGGACGCCGTCGCCGACCGCGGCGAAGCAGGCTGGCCGTGAAACTCACCACACGGCTGCGTCCGAGGCCTCCTTGCCCGCAACCCCCGTGACCGCCAACAGCGACGGCATCACCGCCTCCGGCATCACCGTCAACACGGACGGAGGCACCCCTCTCCTCCGTGACCGCCAACCGAGTAGGAAAACAAGCGAGCGTCCGGGTGTGCCGAGCGGCGTCGGCGTGGCCTGTTTCGGCGCCAACAACGGGGAGGGCGTCCCTCGTTCTTGACACGGCTGGACCTTGTCGCTCGCGATCCTGCTTCCGCCCGGAGGAGAGGGAGAGGGGAGCCCCGGCGTGCGTCTTGCTCTGCTCTGCCGCGGCCGGGAGTCGGCATCATGATTCATGAAGGCGCGGATGGTCGACATGGTGGACGGCCGGGGGCTGCTTCTTTTTTTTTTTCCCCCCCAAAACCCGACAGGCTGGGAGGGGTGGGTCGAGGCCGACGGTGCGCCGGTGGACGGACGGGGCCTATTGCGGAAACCCCAGCCCGAGTTGCTCTTTCCCGGTTGGGGTTGGGGTTGGGGTTGGGTTGGGTCGGACCCACGTCTATTTTCCTATTGTCCTACTTCCTCGCTGTGCAAACCAAAAGCAGACGCCGGGCGGACAGGTGGGTTTGAACAGGGTCGTTTTTTTCGACACGCGCAACTTGCGGGACACGCTGTTCACACACACCACTCGCCATGCGTGCCGATGGCCAATTGACCCCTTGTGCCGTTGGAAAAACCCCTATTCTCCATTCCTGCGGGCATGTGCCGGCCTGTCCGCCCGTGCCCGTGCCGTGCCGTGCCAGATCCGTCGCCTTCACCGTCCTCCGTCTGGCGGGCGACATTGTCACCCGCGTCTTGCCTGCCCCGGCCGACTTCGACTCCGACTTCCGTCCTGCCCTCACGTCCTGCCCTTCCCCTTCCTGTCCTTCTTCTTCTTCCCGCCGCCGCCGCCGCCGCTCGCCTCGTCGCCGTCGAGCCCGGCAGCGCCCGCCATCAGCGCACTCATGGGATCCCCCCCGCTCTGCATCTCCTTCATCATGTCCTTGAACAGGTTCTCCGACACGCCGCCCCCCGTCATGGCCGGGCTCAGGTACGGCAGGTACTCGCCCATCTTCCAGCCCCTCGGCACCGCGGGCTTGGGATACGGCTTGCCCTCGGGCGGCTGCACCTGGGACCCCATCCTGACCCTCAGCCCGGGCGACTTGTCCGTGGTGGGGTGCCGCCGCAGGTGCTCCGCGACCAGGACGTACAGGTGGTGCTTGCTCCTGATGCCCGACGCGTTCTGCGGCGTCTGCCTCAGGCCGACCTTTACGCGGCCCGGGTTCGCCCAGTCCTTGGGGTGCGTCTTCTCCGGCTCCAGGAGCGTGGGCAGGCCGAGGCGCGAGCAGGCGTTTGCGATCTCGCGCGCCAGGGGGTTGCGCACGGCCAGCGAGGCCGGCACGCGGCGGCCCTGGGAGAGGCTGCGCCCGCCGTCAAAGTAGACGGGGTAGATGCACTGGAAGGAGGAGTAGGCGGTCCGGTCGGCGTCGTGGGCGAGCGTCTGCCCGCGCAGGTTGGAGGCGGCCGGTGCCCGCGGTGCCGAGGACCTCGACGGCGGCTGGGGCTGGGGGATGCGCCGCATGATGTCCGAGTCGACAAAGTCGTCAATATCGCCTTCCTCGGGGTCCGACGCCACGTCGCCGTCGCTGTCCGACACCTCTTCTACCCGTGGATGAGACATTGCGAGTGCACCCGACGAGACCGCGTCGCGTGGGGCTGTCGATGCAAGGTCGCGAGGAGAGACGGGCTGCTGTGGTGGCCACCCGTGTGGTGACGAAGCAAGGTTTTGTTTGTTGGTGTCGTCGTCGTCGTCGACGTCGTCGTCGTCGAGCACAAGGTGCTTCAAATAAAATGGTGGGTGGGGGCGTCGTTTTTGGCAGGCGGTGGCGCTTTGGACGTTCGGAGTCGCCTTCGACATCAACTGCGGGCAGAGTGGCGCTAGTCCTAACTTACTTGGGGAAACAGCATGGGCAACAGTGACCACCATCAATGTTCAAGGCTACATCTTGTCTCCGGTGGCTGTCGTTGTCACGGCTACCTAGGCCACCGTCCATCCAGAGCTCTGGCCATCCGCTGCCATTGGGAACCAGCATCTTTCTGAGCACCGGCAGTAAACAAGACCCCAGACGATGGCCCTCCCGTCGAGTTCCCAGCAGCCTGCGGAATGAATGATGGCTTGGGAACATGTGCATTTCCCCTTCAAATTACCTGCTTGCCTGCTTATCCCTGGATCCGCCCCTACTACGCACGCATAAACGCCCCGGCCGAGGGCAAGTAAAAAGGCCTCCAAAAGCAATCTGAAGTTTCACCTCGAGCCCGCCTGCCTACTCTCGACCAAATGGTTTGCCAACCCGCCCCCCGCCCTGTGAAGCCTTTGCCGTAGAGCATAAAATGCGTAGAGGAATAACCAGAGTGCCCTTCATTTCGTATGTATATGTATATATGTGTATATATGGTGCTGCAAGTGGCTGCAGCTTAATTCGACGTGATTGAATTCAATTCGCCTTGATGCTCGGGTTCTTGAATTTGGTCCCAGGGGGATGCGCGTCCTCGGGGAATTTGCAAAAGGGGTGTACGCAGACGTTGTCGCGGATGCTGGGGCACTGAATACTTGAAGGACAAGGGAAAACGGGTTCCCGCTTAGCACAGCGTCCAGGAGGAGAGAGAGAGAGAGAGCAGGACTTACGTGGTGGCCGTAGATGCACTCGTCAGACTCGCAGTCCTGCCCGTTGGTGCAGGGGTTCTGACGCGCCAGCACGGCAATGGCGTTGATCTCCTCGCTGCTGGGCTTGTAGTCGTGGACGAAGAAGCACGAGTCGCCCTTGGTGCAGGGTCCGCGCAGGAAGTGGTTGTTGCACAGCTTGTCCGACTCCCTGCGCTTCTTGATGCTCTCCATGGCGGAGACGCTGACGGTGATGGGCTCGTCTAGCCCGCGGTGGCCTGGGTTCCAGTCGGGCTGCTGGGGGGGGATCTGCTGGTACTGCTGCGCCTTGGTGGCCCGGCTGGGCATCGGCCGGGGCGTCATGGGGAGCGAAATCCGCGGAGGGGGGCTGTTGTTGCTGTTGCTGCTGCTGCTGCTGCTGCTGCTGCTCGCGGCGTTGGCGTACGACAGCGACGACCGGCCTGGCGTGCTGGCCCAACCGATGCTACCGGCAGGGCTGGCAGTCCTGGGTCCGGCCGCCCAGCTGCCGAGGGGCCAGGCGGATGCGTTTCTGTCGGGGCACTTGTCGCTGCGGAAAAGGTCCTTTCCCAGATCTATGCTGGGCATGTTGGTGGCGACGAGCTCGGGGACGGTTGGGATGCCTTCGATGATGCTCATGCGGCGGAGCGAGAACTCGTCTTGGGCAATCTCGCTGAGGAAGGGGGCGAATGAGGCGTCGTGGGAAATGCCCAGGAGAATATGTCTGCAGTTGTAGTTTGCAAGGTGGAAATGTATATTGTCTGCGGGTTGACCCGGGTCAGTCAGCAACGGGCTTCTTCCTCTCTCCTTTTCCGACAACCCCCCGAGATTGTCCTTGATCCAGAAGGGGCGCGGCATACTCTTAATCTTGGATGAGACACAGTCCTTGCCGTGTCCAACATCGATAAAGTCAAACGTAGCCTTTTCTTGGGTAAATCCCAAAGCGAAGTCTTTCAAGTCGGACAGGTCGCGGCCCAGAGACTTGGCCAGGCCGCCAAAGTTGGCCACGACTTTTGTGATAACTTCGACCTGGTCGTGCTGGCCGCCCTGAGCGTTGACGGCGTCGTGAAGCGCGCGAGCAGCCTTCTTGCCGCCCTCAACACCCTGCCTGATCCATTGGTCGCGGAACTATTCCTGCATTTAGCAAACCAGGGGTTACGCGCGCAGTCGAGACGCGCAGGTGTGCTGCACATACCAGCAGGCCGTCGCCGTCAATCATGACGAGAATGTACGCATTTTGGCTCTGTTTAAAGAGACAACATTGACGTCGTTTAGCCTCAGCGCGAGCCGCCGTTTGTGGAGAAGAAGAGTCACCGTACCCTCATTTGTTCATGTTCCTTTAAAATCCACTCGGTTCTCGCCTCGCTATTCTGCAGCTTGGTCTGCAAATCTCTGTTATCGCGTTTACACCCTTGGAGCTCGTCGGCGAGTTTCTGGTTCTGGAATCGAAGGGCGGCTTCGAGTTTGTTGCAGTATACGAGAATATCCTGCCTCGAGGAGTTAGAAAGCGAAATGACTTGACAAGCGCCTCGCCAAAGGCAATGAGACCAACCTGAATCAGCAAGTCTGATGAGTCTCGGTGCTCCTGTATGATCTGATGGCGCTGGAGAAAGTCGACGATATTATTTGTTCCGGCTGACATGTTGTCCAAAGAATCGTGGTGTGGCGTGCGGTAGTCCCTGTCGTGGGACTTTAAGGCAGACATTTGGATTTTTATCTCCTTGTTTCGTTTTTTCGTAAGGCGACGAGACGCTGGTCCAGGTCGTTACGCGAGGGATGAGGAGAAGCGACGATTAGATGAATAGAGAGTATTAATAGATTGGCAAGCCGTGACCTCCACAATACGTACTGAGTGGTAGCAGTCGTACACAGATTATTATAATTTAAAAGTGCCCGCTCACACCCTGGTCAGCTCCAAGACCCGGTCCGGGGTCGACAAGAACGGGGGAAGGACAGCTGCTGTGTGACAGGAAGAGGGCGAAGAAGGGCAAAATTATCCAAACCAAGTGTCACCCAATGATGACGGTCGGGTTCGGCATCAGGCAGGCAAAGAGACAGAGAAACCTGGGGGAGGCGGGGGCGCCTTGTTCACGGGGAGCGAGCGTCAAGAGGAATAATGATATATAACATAATACTCGATCGATGTTGTGCGATTGTGCGATTTCGAAAAAACCTGTCGAAATAGTACCTCAGGCGTCAAGGAAGCCTTGTAGAAGAAGAGCTCAAAGCAAGCGAGGACAAGACGAGTGGTTTTGGTTTATATATTTAGAATGTCAACCTGGAATTCTCTCTCTCTCTCGCTCTCTCTTTGTTTTTTTTTTTTTTTCTCTTTTAAAAATTCTAGGCAGGAAAAAAAAAGAGACAGGGAGGCCAGGGTAAGAACCCCCCCAATCAGAAAAAAAACCCGGGAGATAGAGAGGCTACCAATCTGATAGGCGAACCTGATAACTAAGCGACCGGCGACATCAATGTGCCTTCCTCCCCTGCATTTCTGGACTTTACTCGTGGGCCCCGCCAGCGGCTGCGTGCATTGGCTCGTGTCGGCCAGAGTGATGGCCTAGGGTTGCAGGACCTGATGGGTTGGCCATCAATCAAGGTGCGGGATGCGGCCGGCGAAGTGGGGCGCAATCTGCCCCCCGCCCTCTTGTACCTGAGTGTTGGAGTGACATTAATAAACTTTGCAGCCAAAGTGAAAATAAAAAAAAACCCTAGCCGACCGACCGCCTTGGACGGTCCTCCAATAAAAGCCCCGCCTCGTGCGCCTCCCCGCCTGGATGTCAGCAATTCCCGGGTCTAGGAGTAGTAACTGGTTACTCCGTACAGAGTAAGTATTCTGTACTTCTGGGCGCGTGCTTGACGACTCCATACTCAAGCACTCTTGTCGCCCGCCAGGCCTCTACGCGCCCGCAAGCGTGCAATGCTCTCCCGCCGGCGTCATCACACATTCCGTGTCGCCATCATTGAAGCACAAAAGCGCCGTGTCGTGCTACCACTGCTCGTGAGAGCCAACCGCCCGGCTTGCATGTGTCCTTTACAAAACGAGCCAGGCCTGGCTTTTGCCGCCCACCCCTGCTCTCGCAAATGCGTCGACCTCGCTCTTTGGTCTTCGCCTTCATCTTTGTCGGCCGTGTTCATGCGTCATTGGCTTCTCCGACTGCATGCATGTATGGGCTTTGCGGCCTCCAGAAGGTGACGCGTCGTCATTCTCGCCTGGCGTCTGTGGGATTGTATGTCTGTCCGGGTGACGCTCTTGCAAGCGCCACCTCGCTACATCAAGGCTCAAGCATTCACTGACTCCTGATATTGACCAATCCGTCACTCCGCATTTCCGCCGCCGTTTCATCTTTATTCCCCTTGGTAAAGGCCGCCGTTCGATGCCGGCAGCCACCTGGATGCACAACCGAGTAGCAGTACTCCCGCAGCCGAGCCCTATACAGTATCGACGAGGAGGCGCTCCTCCAACAAGTGGGGGGAGGGTTGAGAGACGATATTTGCCCATCATGGCACAGGTAGCAAATATACAACTCTTGCCCGTATTGCCCAAACCTTGCTGTAAACCCAACCGCAGCCTGCCGCCCTTCAACTGCCGTTTCCCGCTCCAAGGAATGCCGTCATCTGGACTGAAACTGGTTCAACACCTGCCAAAGCGTGCCCTCGGCGATGTCCCCCCCAAACTGCCACTCTGACGCTCCCCCTCCGCCGAAACTCGTATCCTCTACCGCCATCATACCGCCATCACCCTGCAACGCCGTAACATCATTGTATATTAAATCCGAAATAGGAAACGTCGGCAAGATACTCGACAGCTCATCTGGCGCAAAGGCCCACTCGCTGGACGACAGCCACGTGTCGCTTGGCATGTCCTGACCAGGGTTTTCCCCATCTTCACCCTGAACGACGCTTTTTGCCGCCCCCGTGCCTGAAAGCGAATTCACCGACAAGTTGGGTAATGGCTGGTTTGTGTTTGGTTTCGAAGATGCGCTATCGGGCGTGGTGTCCGATGGACCCCTCGTTGAGCCCGGCGTGTCGGAAGTCTTGGGAGGGGAGGCACACCGAGCAAGTGCCTTTGTGAGTTTGCCCAAAATGGCACCAAGAACGCCCTGTGCAGCCCTGGCAAGCGGGTTGCGGTGCTGCATTGTTGCAAAGCGCTCTATAGCCCAGTGGATGTGCTGGACGGATAGGTGCCGGTGTTCTGGGTGGTCGCGCGGAAAGAGGATGTAGACAGCCGCGACGAGGACGATGGCGTCAAATGTTCCAAAGAAGAGCATAAAACTATTTTGTTTGTGAGCACTTTTGCGCCTTGTTCGTTACTTGTCCGCACTCGTACGTGGAGACCTCTTCACCGGCGTACTTACTTCCTCCAGGATGCAGAAGGTAGTCCCTCAAACATTGACCTCTGCATTTCCAACATGCCCAGACCGGCCGTCAACGCCTTCACTCTGCTCTCCTTTCTGTGGAACAGGTATGGTCTATGCAAGGCCATGATGGTAAAGTTGTGTAATAGCAGGAAGTAATATCGCGATATCCCTATCCAGCCCTCTACCTCGGGTTTGTCGTCCCAACGTGTGTCAGGATTTTTCAGCCTGAACACAGCGGGCGTTGAATCACGAATACTCATAATTTTCTGGTGGAGTCGATCGACTCTGGAGAAATCTTTGGGGTAGGTACCGTCCTGTTCAAGGTCCTGGATATCTCGTAGTGGCAAACAGATTTCGTGCATCCAGAGACAACGAGTTAGAGGCGTGGGAGGGTCCTTTTCTGGATTGCGGAGGCTGATGGGAGTTTTAAAGCGGTCGGTGGGCACTGGGGTATCAATGGGGACGGACGGGAAGCTGTGTCGCCAGTCCACGGTGCCGGGCCGGCCTAGTATAAGAGACATGTTGATGTCCCTGAGCTGTGAGCTTGGGTTTCTGTTGTGTTTGTTTGGGGACTTGGGGTGGGGGTAGGGGTGAGGGGTGGACAGGCTCGCAGCATACCACATTGCAAGAATCATGTACATCTTGCGCCGTCTCTCAATAAGCCATTGATTCTCAAGAACGCTCTCCAAGCTTGTCTCTGTGGCTTCAGGATCGAGGCTATCCCGGTGCATACCCAATTCCTGAGCATCTCTAATGGCAATTCCAATCATGTGCCACTACGCCGTTCGTTAATCTTGGACTCATTCGAAATGTGGAAAAAAAAAACGTTCTCACCAACGGTGGTGGTGGGGGAGACTGACCGACTCGGCAACATTAGCGGTGTACTTCAAGAAGGAGGCTCTCAGAAACTCGGCCTGAACCGTCGTAACGCTCAACTCCTTCTTTCCAAAGAGTCCTACGATTTCCGCCCCACTGGCACTGTAATCACACGCCAAGTCCTCAAAAGTCATGTTGGCAGCATACTTTAACGTAATAAACTCCTCCTCCTCATCGTCCGGGAGGACCAACAGCGCGGCAGCAAGCATTTGAAAGAGCACCGCCGGGAAAGCCCTCAAGCTGGGGGAAACACCCTGTGGTCCCTCGGTGGAGAAGATACTGAACGGGAGGCTGTTCCACTCCAGGAGTTGGACGTAGAAAACGTCCGGGTCGACAAAGTAGTACTGCCAGTTGAACTCGCGCAAACACATGGCCACGAGCTTGTCGATGAAGACCTTGGCGGGAAGATGGCGTACAAGGCTCTTATACCTCTCGCGCACGGCGAAGGAGTCTTCGCGGGAAGTGCTGGCTGGCGAAAGGGCGGAGAGTGAGGACCGGTCGTCAGATAAGGGGGCCATTTCGATCTTTTTGAGAAAAGAGATGGTTGATGCGCCAGTTTGGCCATAGCCCCACGTCGCGGCCGTGGTGGACAGCGGTTCTGCAATCTTGGGAGGCGCTGAAGACGACAAGAAGGGGGGCAGTTGCGAGGACGGCGATGTTCTGGGGACGAGAACGTCATTGTTGCTGGTGGTGTTTGCGCTGTCTGACGTACGTGCATTGGGGTCGTAGGAGCAGAATGTTTCGCGGTTTCTGGAGCGGCAGTTTGCGCAAGGCAGTTTGCGGTCGCACTAGGCCATGTGTAAGCGTCAAGTTTCCTTCATCATGTTATGTGCGGTGACGGGGTGAGTCTGCGAGGTCGGGTAGTCTGGAGGATAGGATGTGGTGACGCGACGAGATGGTGCTGATAAAGAGTTAACCTTCTGCTTCCTTCTATGACACTCCGTACACGATACGACAATACGTCTCCTCTTCTTGGGGGGGCCCTTTCCGGACCGCGCCGGCGGCTCTGACTCGAGCATCGAATCGCCCATGGTCTCGACCAGCCCTTCGGTCAAGTTGATGATATCTCACCTCGGAGTCCGAAATCAAGCCAGCCATCGACGTCCAGGTGCAGGGAGTCTCTTTGCGGGTTCCTCCCGATACCTTTCTACAGCAGCTATCAGAAGCGCTTCCGCTTGCTTGGAAGAGATGCATCCCCTCCGCCGAGACGCCGGTGGTGTGAAGCTGCTCATGACGCACGTTGCATCGAAGTCGAGATTGTGTCGACGTGACAGGTCAAGCCCGGGCCTCTCCGTTTCCCATCGCAAGCTGCAAGTCAGAAGTACTCCGTATCAATTTGACCGTACTTGCTCCTTCCGTACTTGGGCTGCCTACCTCCGGAATCCTAGTCGGTAGTACTCCGTACGTGCCTTAGGTACGGACCTACCTTAAGTACTAAAGTACTCGGTACCTAGGCACTTGGTAGTACGTACGTAGGCACTTGACCGGTTCTAGGTAGGGCCCCGCCTAACTTACATGCCGCTGCAGTTGCCAGCCAGGGCATTCGTTCATTGTCAATCAAATTTGATGCCGGTTCACCGATCAGTCGTCGGCCTGTCAGACTCCATGCCGCCCGCCCACCCCGGCACCACATGCTCTGGGCCGCTTCCAGCTTTCCCTCGACGACATCACGCGAGACCAAACGAAATGTGGAGAGATGCCGAGTGGTACCATGTCGCAACCCACGTAAAATTCCCCGACTGCATCTGTATCATCGGCAGATCGCATCAGGTTTGAAAACGGCAATCGATGCTTCCACGAGCTCTGCCGTCGTCGTAGAGCCATCTCTGCAGAACGCTGTTCAAGAGACGATAGTCGTGAAAAACAGAATATTCACCCTGCCCTCACTCGCCACCCCCCCTGCGATATTCCTCAACCTCCTCAACGACACTGCTTCCACTCGATTCTCAAATCCGCTCCCTTTCATCTCGTCTCGTCCCCAATCTTCCTCCAGACCCATAACAGTTCCTACATATCGCATTGTCCAACCGGCTAAACATTCGCACAATATTTGAATCCACTTTGCTACCCAACACCAACACCCACTGTCCCACTTTTTGCAGACGCTTGTGTCTGAAGAAATTAAACGTATATAAAAAAAAAATGTCAAAGTTAAAAGTGAAATTCCCGCTTGTACAGTACACCGATACAACGTTTCTGGGAAGCCACTTCCTCCTGCCCTTGCATTTAGCGAACTCTCTCCGTGTATGCCTTCCACGCTGCCGAGCGGTATCGTTCTGCCTCGCCTTCGGGGTCGCTTGCCTTGAGGATGCCGCGGCCGACAATAACGATATCTGCTCCGGCAATACCAATAATTTTTTGAGGTGTATTGTATTGCTGGCCTTTGCCGTCGCCTTGGACCGATCCGTTCTGATCTTCGTCCTGGGGCGGCAGCTGACAGCCAGGCGTCATGTGGATAAACTGGTCGTTTGGTTGAGTGTTGAGAGTTTCTTGTGAAACAAATCCCATGACGAAGTCGCTGTGTTCTCTGGCAGCCTCCACGCACGCCTGAGTGTACTCCTTGTTCATGAAGTTGCCTGCCGAAGACATTTGTGCCAGAATAAGTAGGCCTCGGGTCATGGGCGCTTCTTCGATACCGGCAAAAAGGAACTCGTCGTCACCAGCCATGTTCTTGGTCAGCCGTGGCGAGTTCACGGGTTCATACTGTTGCGTAACTGTCGTCACAGAGACGATGCTCCCCTTGCGCCCGTCATCTGTCCGTTTGAGCGCGCTGGCACTCGCATCGTCGCAGCTGCCGGAGCCTGTATCGTGGTCCTCAAATTCCTCGGCAGTAGGAGTACCGACGGAAACCGACGTCTTTACCTCGTAAGGATATCGCTCGAACCACCGAGTGGCAGCGTTTGCTAATGAAGCTACTGAGGCCTTTCCGGGTACCATGTTCACGTTGACGATATGCGCCCACTCAATAATTCGAGCCGAGCCACCAATGTACTGCATTTCCACAGTATTGCCAATATCACCAAACTTGCGGTCCTCAAAGATCAAGAAGCCATGGCGACGAGCCAATGCAGCCAATTTCGCCCCTGTGCCAGTTTGAGGGTGGAAATCCCACCCAGAGACCATGTCATAGTGTGTCTTGAGAAGTACAATGGATGGGCCAAGCTTGTCCGCGACGTAGATCAGCTCTCTGGCGGTGGTGACATCCGCACTCAAACATAGGTTGGACGCCTTTAGATCCATGAGCTTGAATAGGTAGGCATTGAGGGGATGAGTGGCCGCCTGAGCCCTAGAGGCGTAGGTCGCTTTGAGGGTTGGGTGTTGTGTCATGTTGACGTTGTCGCGACCCTGCACACTCACGGGCTATTGGTGCACGTCGCTGGCAGGTGAGATGAGACGAGGCCGAGCTATGCTGATCCGATGTGACGTTGGATTATGAGCGGCAGAGCTGACAAATGGTTGTCGTGAACGGAGCAGAAGCGCGTCGCTTTGCGTCGGAAAAAAAAATCTTCTTCACACGTGTTATGTCCAAGTCAAGATTGCCCGCGACGGCTGCAAGACTGACTAATTGGCTGGGAATTCTGAGAGGAGAGTCCCGTGATCCAGGCGAGGGCCCGACCTTTAATATTGGCTGTAGAGTTTAGGCCGGTGGCCACCAGAGTCCGTAGTGCCACGGACCGAATGGGCTGATGGAGGCACAAAAACTATCCGGCCCAGGCTAGTCAATAGCTAGCAAAGTCGTACCATATCACAGGAAAAAGGATTGACAGTTTCCAACGAAAAAATGACAGAGCCAAGCCCAAGCTGCAAAAGTATGCAACAGGGGTGTTCAAGTCCAAGTGGTTTCATGGAGAGAGAGGCTTGGTGGACGTTTGGGGCGGCGGGCGGGCTGGACCCGTGGGACCGGGCTTTCGAGTGGACAGGTAAACTGTCAAGGGACCGGGGCCAAAAACAGGAACGAGAGTCGAGAACAGGCGCCCGCGGGGATACTCAGGCGCGGGCTTGAAGAGGTACGGGGGGCCACGGTACGGGGTACTCGGTCCCCTTCACTGCAAGAGCTACGTAGCAGTCCTTGGGTAAGGGCGAATTCGGCGAACCGGGCATGAATGAGGCTTGGGAGGCCAAGAGTGGCAACAGCGAGAGACCTGGCCTGGAACAAGGACGGGGGACGGGGGGCAAGCTTGCGCAAGGGCAAGGCTGCCGTGCCGTTGACAGGAAGCAGAAATGAGAGGAAACGGTGGCTCCCTCCCAGGGCAGCGTGGGCCGCGAGGTTTGCCGTGAACCATGAACCACCACGCATCGACCCAGAGCCCAGAGTGAACGAGGCGGAAACCGAGGCGGATTTTACGGCTGCGCCCAAGCGTCGACTGAAAATAGTTGCTGGCAAACTGGCAAGCACCGGCTTGGCTTGGCTGGCCGGGCCAGGGCGGGCGGCAAAAAGAACCTCGAGGCCGTTGGAGCCCTGGTCTAATAAACTACCACGGTAACAGAGGACCCTGCAAGCCGCGGATGGTGTGGCATCACCGATCAATTAACCGGTGGCGTGCCAATGAGGTGTCAAATCAATCTGGAGATGGGTGGTGGGTGCCAAGTTGATCGCCATGGAGCGGAGGACTCCGAGCCCTGTTGGCTGGAGCCATGTTGCCAAATCCTATGCACATGTCGATCGATGCTGAAAGGTCAAATGTGCTATGCGCCCGTTTCGTGCTGGGGAGGGGGGAGGCGCCTGCAATTCGAACTGCAAGCCCATCATCGTTCGTGGACCAGACCAGCTTGCGACCAGGTCCGGGAACGATGGGGGCCAGCGCCGTGGAGAGAGCGAAAGAGAGAAGGGGGGGCGAGGAGAGAGAGGGAGAGAGGGAGAGATTGATGGTTACAGGCGGAGTACGGAGACTTACCCAGGGTACTTAGGAACCTAGGTCGATGTGCATCTCGTCATGCCAACAAGGGCAGGAGCGCAACAGACGTGGAAGGAAGAACCGTTGATGATTTTTCGGCCCACCAATGACCATGGTCTGGTTGGAGGGCAACAATCGATGCGCATACGCACGCGCCGTCAAGTTAAGCTATTTCTTGCATGCAACATCCGAACTTGTCTATTTTCCACTGAACCAGCGACGACACCACGCCGTCGAGCCCTCGAAGACCAGAGTGCGGAAACCAGACTTGGCCAGGGAGCGGAGGACATGCATTGATTGATGCTGGGTTTGCTTCTCAACACCGCCGATTTGATCAACCTGGGGCGCAGTCTATAACTGATTCAGTTCCGTTGATGAATCAATAAACAGCCACCTTGCCTCCCATCAACCCTTGCCTGGAAGCACAGCAAGCACAGCGAGCGCAACAAGTCAACTTATGACATGACAGTCTGTTGCCGGGGCCATGACGTGGCCAGCGGTCCAGCCATGTCTCTGACACGCCGCCGGCAAATTGTCTCTACCTGGCCCCCGCTGTCATACAATGCAACTGCTCCGTACTCCGTAGTTACTTGCTTATCAAACATATGTTCTCCTAGACTCGGACGGTACGCAGTAGCCAATGTCGCCCACGGTTCAGCCACGGATAGTTTGCGTTTCGCAGCCTCCAAAGGATTCACTGTCTGCGGAGTCGCCAAGCAGATATGATTCGGCAAACTTCACCAAGGGATTTCTAACGAGGTCTGGATTGTGTCATTCGGCCCAGAACAGCATCGACACCTTCGTCGCACAAAACAGGATTATCGAAGAGAGAGCGCTGCCAGGGGACCTCGTGGCTGGCGAGGCGCTCCGAACAAGTTTCAGCTGCAGAACAGAACACCCAAGTGGTTTGGAACACGTTGGAGTTGAATCTGGTATTATACACACTATCCCTGCAGGGCTCCCTGGCGCCGTGCCGCTTTACCCTCGCCGCCAAATGCCCTGGCCCCTGGCCATCTCTCTGCGCTGCATTTACGCACTCTGCCTGATTTCAGCAAACGTCCACGCGCTTCAAGGACTCCCGAGCCTTCAACAACCATGGACGAATGACCAATGACCGCAAACTCGTTAGTGTGCCTCCATCCTGGTTGGCCTCCGATTTGCACCCACTTATTGCGCCAGCTAAACGAGAAGAGCACTGTTAGTTGATACCGAACTGGTTCAATAAATCGAGTGCCCTTTATTAAGCATGGCCAGTCGCAAACCTCAGCATTGGCTGTCGCGCCGGATATGACGCTTACCATTGAAAGGCATGGCAGCTAGGAAGCTCTGAAGGGTACAAGATGGGCGACTCCTCGCGAAACCAGAAGCACGAAATGCATGTTTTCAGATAACTGTCGCGAGAACTTTTGGTCTGTGGTATGGGGAGTGCTGGCATGTTGAGATCCCTGTTGCCCGTTTGGCCGACATCGATCAAGCTGATGGTGTCCTCCTGGCTTCATAATATTCAGCTTGTCAAAAGGCCGGGCTGCATTATGATGGACATGCCTGTTTCTTTGGCGCTTGCTGCATCTGCGCCAAGTCCCAACTTGTGGTGGCAGTCTTCCGCATTGTGCATCCTCCCCGCTGCCCTTGTCCGGCTGAGGGTAGTGGAGGTGATCGAAGATGCCCATCTATGCACAGGGCAACCAGGGTACCCCTCGAGATGCGAGCTCACAAGCCGTAGGTTTTTAGTGACCAACCCGCGGGGCTGTTCAGTTATGAGATGGCATGGCCCTGACGTGCGCTTCGCCTCTTTCGCTCCCTCACGGGGGTGATGATGGCTAGTAACAGTGGTACATGAGTCACGTAAGAAGTTGTTCTGGAAGCTTTCAAGGGTAAGAGTCCTCAACACAAAGACGTGAGTGAGCGTGCTTGGATGTGATATCATCCCATCGATTTCCTCATTCTTGCCAATATCAGCACAACACAACCAACGCTCTATCCACGCCATTGCATGCCCGTGTTGATACCAACTCTGACAAAGGGACATCCCGAGGCCTGTTTGATGCTCGTCCACTTTTCTCGAAAAGGTCTCCCTGTCGCCCGCAGCTAATAATCGTCCCTCGTTTCAAGGCCAACCTTCAAGTCGAGGAGACAACTCAGAAGGTGATGTTGAGCGTAACATTTGTAGTTCTAGTGAAGACCGATTTCCCGACTGATTTCCTTTCCGACAAAAGGAGCAGCAAAGTCGAAGGAGGCTCAGTCCCAAGGATTATTCACCCAGTGACAGTGACGAGTTTCGCCTTGCATGAGCGCCGTGTTCGATTTCCGAGACGAGAGCTCAAAAAGCGTGCAGATCAGCAGCTCAATTGATGTGCAACAATTGACCTTGGGATGTCAACAGTCGTTGGTTTCGAAGGCGACCGGGTCATGCGTACAAGGCGGCAGTGTGATGGGCAAATCCAAACATGAACAAGAGTAGGTAACCGCAATAGTAGGTAGAGTGTCTCGTAACAACTCAAGCTTATTACTTGTAAATCTGTTTACAGAAGGCAGCTAATGCATAGAAAGCCTGCAACTGTATACACATGTACATGTAACCTTTGGGACTCTGGCAATAACTGACGAGACGGTCTTCACGCCACCAGGCTTTGCACTCTACAAAGACAGCGCCGGCACGCTTTGGGCGCACTCCTTCACCAAAGACCAGAACCAGAACGTCACCATCGGTAGCTGGCTGCAATGTGACGGATCTGTTGTCGTGATTGCGATGGACGGGAGAAAAAAAGTCGTCGGATCTAGTCGGCCGCCGTATGGCTGCAACATGGCACGCCATCAATGCACAGGCTGACTGACGTAGAAGTCAGGGGCTACTTGCAGCCAGAGATGGAACTCTGCAATCAGCAGTATCGATCGACACGAGTCTTCGAGTGACCGAAGCACTCTGCGGGCTGCCGCTAACAAAGACCCCTGGCATTCAGACGACTGCTTTTGACAACAAACCACTACATCTGTGGCTGTGTGGACTCTCGATCAAGTGGAAGTGGTAAACAAGACAATCCAAGGGCTGCGGAGAGAGACACACAAGTCCAAGGTTTCGCAGAACAAACCGTCCACGTCGTCTGCATATTTTGTGGACGAAGCCCCCGGGCGATACTGGTGGCTAGTATGTTGGCTAGGACGATTCTTGGCAACGCCAATGTTGGACCTTGCGGCTAGGAAGCCTCCATGGCGTAGCTGACAAGCACACCAGCGAGTTCTCAAGAGGCTCCAAGCTGCGTCTCCGGGATCGATGGGCGCTGCCGAGGTAGCTGGCCTATCGCTCACGTTTGGCGGTCCGCGAGTCCGGTTCTTTGCGCGGAGCACCTGCTCTCGTTTCGTCTTGTCTAGAGGGGACGGGGGACAAAGCTAGCAGGATGGCAGGACATGGACCAAAGGACCGCAGGTGCAGCACCTCGCATTGCGCAACTAGTGTTTAGGTGCTCCGTGGTCGGAGCCCGTACTTTGCTTACCCGTTGGACCGCAGAAGCTGAAGGGTCGGGGTTCCGGCCGGGACGAGGCAGCAGCGGGGCCGGGGCCGGGGCCGGCTCGGCGTAGATTCGGGAACTAGCCATGTAAGGCATGGCTCCGGCCCTAGCTTCCGCCGGGGCTTCGCGTCATGGAAGGGGCATGAAGGCATTGTAAGCCCCTCTTTGCTGTGTGCCGGAGTCTTAGCCATCCGCGCCGTTCTGGTTACCGCGGCACGCGCAGACGCACATGACGCCGTCACGAACCAGGCACGCGCCAGCGACGAGCCACTTCATGCGGGGTGACGCAATATGGAGCAATGTACGGAGTGACAATGACTGGCTGACGACTCGGTGACAACAAAGGATCAGAGGGGCCTCGCCTCGGTTTCATGGGAAGTGGTGGGTGAGAGCTCGCTTGGACTATACACGGCGGTTTTTACCGTCTGTGCGAGTGATCACGTGCGGATGGTGGATACAGGTCTAGCGCCGGTAACTGTAGAGACCTCCAAAGCTCCGACCGATAGCTCCAGCTTGGGGAGCGGTCTGCAGGAGATACATACATCATACATGCGCTGGACCCCTGGATCGACGACCCCTCCGTCCACCATGCTATGCACTCGCTGCCCCACAACAAGGTCTCGCACTCGCAGCCTGCGCGTCTAGGATTTGATGTGGGACGAGACTTTATCCGAACGCACGACGACCGAGGCTCAACGTTATCGAACCCAGCTCTGCCAATGCAAACAAACACAGGAATCGGTCTGCAGAAGCCGGCTTCACTGTCAATGCCGTTTCCTACCGGCCCAAGCAATCCTCACGCCTATTCGACCACCTAAAAACGAAGGCGTGGCGATAGCAGTTGATGGACTGGTATGCCTGGGTTGGAGAAACACTCGGGCGCGTGATGTCTCCACGCAAGAGAAGACACGTCTCGTTGTTCACATCTCCAAGCGCAAGTCGTCAGGCAGTAGAGTCCCTTGAGACGTCAGCACCATGATAATCGCTAGTGGGCACATCCCATGACATCCTGACTTTTGAGCAGCATGGCCACCACTTGCTGTTGGCATGGGGAATCTGGTCGCAGATACGCACCGTCCGGTGCTGCGACCTGTTGACCAGCAAGGTTTACGCACCAGACGTGCAGTCTCGTCATGGAGGCAAACGTCAAAGCCTCAAAGGCGTGTCTTCATGTGCGGGCTCTAGGCTCACCATGCTAAACGACGTGTACACATTCGTTCGACGGCGGCCAGACTTTGTTATGCTCGTGCCTGCATCATCCGCAAGATCAGCCGCAAGACGGGCCATGATTGCTCTCAGTGGCGCGGCTGGTGGACGGAAGTACCGCGCGCTAAGTACTTGAGTACTTCGGTATCTAGGTACCTACCTAAGTACGTACTCACGTATTTGGGTACCTATGGAGTACCTAGGTACTTACGGAGTACTTGAGCAGCCTCGCCTAGCAGTGTCGTCGCTGTCGGTCCAAGTGGGGCTCGCAGTGTGGCCCCCTTGGCCGAGCCCAGGAGCACTCTGCCATTTTTTTCGAGGACTCGAGCCCAACAAGTTGCAACAGACTTTCTGTGACTTAAAGCCTAAGCCAAGCCATTGGCGGCAGCTGCCGTCATCAATAAGTTTTTACTTACTTCAGCCCTGAACCCACCTGTAAAAAGGCTGTATGTAATTGCCTCCATCCACCACGTTCGTCTCTCCGTCTCCTCGTCCCTCCTTGTCCCTCCTCATCGCACTTGGGCCTCTTGGCTTCTCTCCCATCTCGTCCGCTCCTTCCTGCCAACTACCGGTCCCTTCAAGCCACATCATTTCTTCTCTCCCGTCTTCCTCCTTTTGCGGAAGCCCGGGCTGTTTTTTCCTCCTTGTTCTGTCTGCGTCGTCACCCAAGGGTCCTTGTCGGCCCTCTCGGTCGCGCCAGGCTCCGTCTCCATCGACCTCGAAACCATAGATAGGGAGGAAGACGCGCCCACCCCGACACCCGACACCCGACACCCGACACCCGACACCTTTGCCTTCGCATCGATCCAGTTGCCATCGCACAGCATTGCCGACATCTCTACCTGCGACTTCCACACACCGTTCTCCTCCGTCGGCAGCCACAGCAATCGCGCTGCAAAAATGTCTACCCGTCAGACCCGAAGAAAGTCTGCCAAATTGCGCGAAGCTGCGGCCTCTGCAGCCGCGACATCGTCCGACGACGATCGGCAACCCATAATGAATGGCAATGGCTCTGCGTATCACACGCCGGAAGCTACGGATGTCGAGCAAGATGAGAACATCTTCTTGTTCTGGCCCAACATTATCGGTGCGCAGCTCCGTCATGTACTCGTTCGGCCACATTTTACTAACGTCGCGCATCTCTAGGCTACATCCGTATCGTCCTTGCCATCGCTTCCCTATACTACATGCCCGTCCACCCCCGAACCTGCTCGGTCCTTTACAGCATCTCCTGCTTGCTGGATGCATTTGATGGCTACGCTGCCCGTATCTTCGAACAGTCTACTCGCTTCGGTGCCGTCCTCGACATGGTTACTGATCGCTGCACAACGTCATGCCTGCTCGTCTTCCTCTCTTCCGCCTTCCCACGGTGGGCTATCCTCTTCCAGGGCCTGATTGCCCTCGACTTTTCCAGCCACTACATGCACATGTATGCCACCCTCGTGGTTTGCGGCTCTGACTCGAGTCACAAGAATATCGACAAGAGTCAGAACTGGCTCCTCAATTTGTACTACACCAACAAGGTACGCAGACAATACCACGGACCATCAATTGATCATATTGAAAACATGAGCTGACACTTTTGCCTTCAGAAGGTCTTGTTCACTCTATGTGCTCTCAATGAGCTCTTCTTCATTGGCCTCTACCTTTTGGCTTTCTCGTCGCCTTGGCTGTCTCCCCACTTGATCAAGAGCGTCGAGGAGACCAGCGGCGGTTTCGTCAACCCCGGTGCTCCAGTCAACACGTCGCTGCTCCGACAGATGTTCCCCGACCCTTTCAGCGCTTCCGCGCTGGAGATTGCTCGTGCGAACAAGATGGACTCTCTTGTTCCCTGGGCCATTGCTGGTGTCAACCTGCCTTTCATGGTTATTAAGCAGGTCATCAACGGAGTCCAGTTGTACAACGCCAGCAAGTGGCTGGCCGATGTTGATGTCAGAGTTCGCAAGGAGCAGGGCCTTCCACGCAGGAATAGGACCAAACGTCTCTAGTTTGGCCGCCAACGCGACCTACTCGACCCGGCCCAGGCGCCTGTGATGGCCAGACGTATGACCGGTACGTCAGCCTCACTTGGCTTCAGCGGCCGCTATGCACCTGGTCGACGTTTTGTCGAGGCGGAGGAGATGGACGACATTTATACTTGGGCCCATTGTTGTCGCAAAGACACCTGTTTTGGAGGCGGGAATAGTCCCAACTATTTGACTCTTGGTGCTTCAGCACGAAAGAGCGCGCCTCACTGACTTTTTAAAATGCATGGTTCGGCGTCTGGAACTTTGGTCGGGGAGGATGGTGGAATTGCGGCAACGCAATCGGCACCTGCATACTCCCAACGGCTCTGGGTGGGTTTAGTCTAAACGCAAAGCAATATGCTCCGAGTCTTCTTACGAGGCCCACATCTTGTGTCTTTTTTCCCCTGGGATCTATTTCTTTGGGCAGATGAATGTTGGGCATTCTGTACGGAAAACAATGGCTGTTGGTTCTATCTATATTAATAACAGGAGAGTCTTTCGCTATGACTCGCTTCTTCAACGACAGGCGGGCATTTCGCTTGCTATTTACTCACGTCCTTTGCAGCCCGTGCCGAGTGGCACCATCCTTCTTTTTTTCCTTGGCTCAGAGATATTTTTGCCGCGCCGCCATAGGCACTAATAAAAAGGGGACATGGCCCATCGGCGATTTCAAAAAAAGACTATGGAGGAATGTCTCGCAATATTAATGGCTGAAATTCAATCAGCCCCTTCCACACATCAAGTACTTGGTTCCTTTATCCTGAAATTTGGTGCTGAATTTTTTCTTTCATATTGGACGACGCTAGGTGGTTGTCCTGACGGCGTCGGGACCAGAGGATACATTCCCAATACCGTCCGATTCGGACATGTCTGCGTTGTGGATAATGCCGGTTACAGCCCGGGGGACTTCTTCGGCGGGCTGCGAGAAGCCGTACCATGCTACGACACAGACGCCAAGAATACCGGTTAAGCAGCTGAATGCCAGTGCTACGATGCCGCGAGTTGTGAAACTGGGTTTGTTAGTGACGATGACTTGATGTGAGATAAAAGGGTGAGGGAAGACGCTTACCCCGCTGGAAGGGGAGCAGGAGGTTTATTCTGGCCGCTGAGGTCAAGAAAATCTCTTGTGTTGGCTCCTGCGTTGCCCACGGTGGGAATGTTTGCCTTTTGGCACGCCTGCAGGTGGGTGGGCGGGATGGAGAGCGTCTTCTGCAGCTCGGCAGGTGCTTCAACAAATGTGGCCACGAGGCCGGATACGACGTGCCATTCGATGTGGCAGTGGAACAGCCAGATTCCTACACGTCGGTCAACACATGTGGACTTTCTGGGTGAGGGCGACGGGGACCAAACGCACCCGGGTTGTTAGCTTTGAACCGCAGAACCATGTTTCCTTCGGGCCAAATGACCATTGTATCTCGGCGCATGGGGACCTTGGGGAACGCCTTGCCCGTCTCGCCGCCTTCATGTGCAAAAGTACCTGCCGACTCGTTCGAACGGTAGATGGCTTGGAAGTTGTGGCCGTGCAGATGGAACGGGTGACGACCGCTGTCGAGGTTGTTGACGACGATTTGGACAGTCTCGTCCTTCTTCAGGACAAATGGATGCGTGTATTCGCCATATACCCTGGCGTCATCGGCCATTTCTCCAGCACTAAGGGCAGTGTAGAGCGTGGGGACCTTGGGAAGCTTATACGTGATGTTGTTGAAGAAGGCGTAGTTGGCACCATCGCCAAGGTTGTCCATGATGACATTGAGCTCGACGGTGCGGTCGGGCTCTGGAAGAAGTTCCATGCCATCGTATGCTTCAAGGGTTATGTCGTCGAAGGCATTCAACTCGTCGACGAGAGCAGCGTCAGGGTATCCTTTGGATTTGTCGTAGCTGAGCCAGCCCGTGGAATTGTAGTTGAGCTCAGGGGGAAGGACATCAAAAAGAGTCTGTGCAGTTCTTTTGTCAGTTGATCATATTGTGATTATTACAGCAAGTCAGGCAAATAAAAAAGAAAACAAAGTGAGAGGAAGAGAGAAGACAGAAAAGAAGATAAATGGAAACAAATACGGCAAATAAGGTAAGCTTACTGTGTCCATGCTTGCGACTATAGGAAAATTGCCAGAGGTTTCGTTCTTGGTCGTCAAGAGGAAGCTCACTCTCTGAGCGGCAGAGATGTAAATCATTTCAGCTTCAGCTTTTTTGGTGTATACACCATCTACTTCAACGATTTGCATCTTGTGGCCCTCGAACCAGAGATACTGGCCGGCAAAAGCGCCAATGTTGACAACACGAAACATGTACGTCTTCCCAGGTTGGACAGAAACGGTCAAATTCTGAGTGTCGTTCATGAGAGCAGCGTTGGGCACGGGCTCGGCACCAGTAGGATTGTTTTTGCTCATAAATCGAGGGATGAGCGTTGAAATCTCATCATGATACCAGTCGGAAAGCGTAAGGACGATTTCCTCATCTACCTCTGACTTATACGGAAACTCGGGATCATGGACGACGAGAGGGCCGCGCAGGCCATCTGGATATTGACCATCATTGTGAGAGTGATACCAGTATGTGCCAGGTTGATTGACCTAAGACGTAGTTTCAGTGTCTATTTCTTGCCTCCTCCCCCACAAACAAAAAAAATAGAGAAAGGAGAAAGGGAAAACAGCTGCTTATTAACTCACGGTAAAGTTGTAAGTAAACGAGTTGCCGGGTGGGATTGAACATTGGGTCACGCCCGACGGGCCGTCCATGTTGTTGGTGCCGTTCTGAAACAGGCCGTGAAAGTGCAGCGACGTCGACTGGTTGCCCAGCTGGTTATTGACATTGATAATGAGCCGGTCACCGACGTTGCACTCAATCCTAGGAATTGGCCATTTTCCATTGACGCCGATGACGGGTCGTTCAAACGCTGCATCGGGGTTGGCTCGAACCCAAGTGACGTTGAAATCGAAGTTGACGGTTGCCGCTGACGCCAAGCTAAGTGATGCGGCCAAGGCGATTGTAAATCGCACAAGCCCCGCCATCGAGATCCAGAGTTCTACAGTCTTCGGTAGTCGAGGGACTTTCTCAGGATAGTCTGGGGAAAAACGTGCTCAAAGTATGGAGAATCTTGCTCACAGAAGGGTTCGCAGTGTTGGTGTGTTTGATGGCAGAGACAGCGCAGTTGCACCTTCCCAATTGGCGCACCTGCAGAAAAAGTTCTCTAGCTGTCCCAATGCGCACGAGTGAGAAGGAAAGAACGACCGCCCGAGGGTCCTGGCTGCAGTCATATGCTAGTTTTCGATTTGTTCGACCTCGAGTCTGAGCGGAATTCTCCTCCAGATGGATGAGAAAACCTCGTTTGACCCAGTCCGCGACTGATCCCGAGAAAGAGGCTAAGCTTGGCCTGTCTCCTCCTCTGTTGGACCACCCAGATTATGTTGGACCTGACCAGGTGTCCCATATCTCGAGTCTCGACAAGCGTTCCAGAACGAACTTTTGCAGCTGCACCCGCGAAGGCAGCACGGCTACCGACTACGCATGAGTGCACGGATTGCAGGGTCTAGTGCGTGCTCCAGCCGACGGCGTTCAATTGACTCCGTGATTGGACGGCGGTGCAGCTTTCGCAACGCCGACGGGCCCCTTGATGGCTCATCTGACGAAAAAATTTCGGCCACTCCTGGTCCGTGGCCTGATTGATTGATAACTTTGGTGGAAAGGGAACGACCCATCTGATAAGCGGATCAACAGCGCCCTGACTGACTCTGGCAACCCCAGACACAGACATGGACTTGCCAGATTGTTATGACAAAAGTTCTGAAGAGCATGGGAACCCGGCATTTCGACTTTCATCAAGGTATTGGCATGACAGGCGTTTTCTGCAGCCAAGATAGATTGGCGCAGGCGGCCAGTGCCATGGAGCTCCACGTGGAAGAGAATCATGTTCAACATCAGATTGGAGACTTCGTCGCACCAGGAGGGACGTCCCTCATTGGCCTTGACCTACATACCCACTTCAGCTTTGAGATGCATCGAAATCGGTCGGTGAATTGCGGCCAACTTTTACGTCCCCCGGTGCACCTGTTCCGTTACATTGACTGCAACCACACCATTGTCAGGAATACAGAGCAAGCTGGAAGACGTTGGACTGTCCAGGCCTTGTTTATGCGATTGCTTCGCAAACGCACCGTCCGTCAGAATGGGCTGCCCAGAAGGATGGGCCTCGTGTCTCACCACAACACTTCGACTCCCCTTGCTAACTAGTGCGTCCAATGTATTTGGATTCCAACACCATTTTGGTGGTGGCTTCCTGGGGTGGCTGTCGCGCTAATAAGATCATAACGGAGCAGTGGAACAAAGTTTTCTCAACCGACGGGGATTCCTCCTAGCCGCGGATTGGAAGCTTGCAGGGGCTGGACTCGGAGCAGGCCGATTGTTTGAGTCACTTGTTGTCTCATCAATCGAATGGTCTGATGCAGATGTACATACGGAGTACGTATGTGTACACCATTCCAAGGTCTTAGTTGGCAGCTGCATGGCTGTTATCTGATCCGAATATTTTCTCCATCTCTGGCCCGCCTTCGGTCCATCTCTGGGTCTCCTCGAAATTGCACGGCCGCTTGACTCTCTTGGCTCTAGCCTCAGCCAGCGCGACCGTCAAGCTTTTGGCATCCCTGCGACCCGTCGTATTTGTGGCCGCCAGGCTGGTGAGGTTTTCGACTGCCGACTAATTCTTGGCCTTCTTTTTATCTGATCGCTCCCCGAGAGCCAGCTTCCTATCGGGCGGGACTGCTTTCTGACAACCACACAGCAAGGTCAGCATCCCTCAACATGGCCAAGGACGTGTTTTCGGTACCAATCTTCCTCGTCGTCTTTCGAGAGACATTGGAGACGGTAATCATTGTATCTGTGTTGCTGGCTTTTCTCAAACAGACTCTCGACGGCCCTGAGCGAGATGTCAAGACGTACAAAGCCCTTCGCCGCCAAGTATGTTTGACTCATGTCCCCGCGTCGTCTTCAAGCTCTAAGCTCGTGTGTTAGGTTTGGCTCGGCGTTGCTGCGGGATTCCTCCTCTGCATGATTGTTGCCGCTGCCCTCATAGGTGTCTTCTACACCGTCGGATCAAATTCCTGGGAAAGCAACGAGAACTACTACGAGGGGGCCTTTTGTCTGTTCGCCGCCGTCATCATCACAGTCATGGGCGCTGCCCTTCTCCGAATCGGTAAGATGCAAGCAAAGTGGCGTGTTAAGCTTGCCAAGGCTATCGAGTCGCCCATAAAAGCCGGCTCCAGGGGCTGCTTCTCTCACTGGCTAGAGAAGTACTCCATGTTTGTGCTGCCCTTCATCACCGTTCTTCGCGAGGGTATTGAGGCTGTTGTATTTGTTGCTGGTGTCACCTTCTCGGCGCCAGCATATGCCGTTCCCTTGCCTGTAGTTGTTGGCCTCCTAGTTGGCGGCATTATCGGTTACCTTTTGTACAGGTAAGAGACGCCCGGAGGTCATTGTATTGGAGTCCCTTCTGACCTGCGCTCAGGGGTGGTTCTGCTGCCAGACTGCAAGTTTTCCTGGTTGCCTCAACCTGCCTCCTTTATCTCGTTGCTGCCGGTCTCTTTTCCCGCGGCGTTTGGCATCTCGAGGCACAGCAGTGGAACATTGCCGTTGGTGGCGATGCGGCAGAAACTGGCAATGGGCCAGGTTCGTACGACATTGACAGGAGCGTTTGGCACGTGAATGTAAGTGTCTACTCTATTCTCTTTCTGATCTCACATCCAGAGGACGAAAGAGTCGCTGACTGCATCCAAGTGCTGCTCACCAACTTCCCCTGGCGACGGAGGATGGGGTGTCTTCAACGCCATTCTTGGCTGGCAAAACTCTGCTACGTATGGCTCAGTTATCTCCTACAACATCTACTGGATCTTCGTCATGGCTGGGTTTTTCGTGATGCGGTTCAAGGAGACCAAGGGCCACTGGCCATTCATGAAGGCCAGGGCTCCCGGCGTTGCGGAGAGCGACAATGGCAGCGCCAGCCAACCTGACGGCGCAGTTGGGAAGACCGCCTCCGCATAGTCAATCCGAATCTAATCGTGCAAGGCGTGATTGCGCCCCCAGGGCAAAGGTGATATGTAATGAGAGGTACATGGAGTGGTTCTATCCAAATTTAGCAAATCATTAATAGTGCCAAAGAGTTGACAAACTTGAAATGTCTGCTTTCCGTCACTCTTGCCGCCAAAGTCAAGCCTCTGGTGTCCAGTCCCATGCACCGGCAGTGAAAAGCTTCCTCGCCATTTTGTCGGCGTAAATAGCGCCCTCGTACCTCAACCTTTGATCATTCGCGAGGGTCCTCGTGAATGCAAAGACTTCGGAGCCCACTTCCTCGTCTCTACCATTTCTCAAGGGAACCCTCTCATTCAGCCACGACACATCTGATCGCCGCCGCTTCCAATCCGCCAGGGGAATCGCCACCACGCCAGCGGCTACCATGGCCCCGACAAAATCCAAAATAGGCTCGATGCGAATCCTCAGACCACAATTCGTATGGTGCTTGTCAACCTGGTAATTGGGACACTGTTTCAGTGTCACCAGCAGCTCGTCTATATCTGCCATTGACGTATCCGGTAGCTTGTCCAGCGACGACGGCGCAAAGTCCACCAGGTGCAGCAGGTGTCTCGAGAGGAGAAATCTCAGCATCTGACCAAACTGGAACGAGTCGCAAGCCGTACTGGAGTCGTAGCCTAGTTTGCACTGACGGTGACGAGACGAGTACAGGTCAAGAAAGTGGCGCTGAATGGATGAGATGGTGTCGAGGATACACTCTCGACGGTACTGCAGTTCTTCTGGTAGGTGTGTTAGACGCAGAAAGGGGGCGTCAAGAATGCCAAAAAAAAAAAAAAAAAAAAAAAAAAAGAAGCAAGAGGGAATGGTGGGCTTACCTTCCATGCCTTCCGGGAGATGCCACCATGCACCTTGGCAATCATGCTCTTGGCCGTATGCGCCCCAGAGTCGTGAGCCCCGGATGACCAGTTCCCGGCTTGCGTGGTGCAAACGCATTGGCTGACCCAACAGCCAGGCGGCGAGAATCTTTTGACGCAGGACCTTCTCCGCCTCCGTCGCACGGCCCGACTCGTCAGTGTATGGACGGGTGTTGGTGACGGGCCACTTGAACTTGATGTCGGCCAAGGCCCGAGACACGGATGCGCAGCAGTCGAATCGATCTGCTAGCAGCGCCAGCGTGGTCACGTACGACATGACGACCCGGGTAGTCTTGATGGGTGCCTGGTGGATTATGCGCAGCATGTCCTCAAATATGGGCTCTCTCGCCGCGGACTGGGTGGCATCGTCGCTGTCTGTGATTTTGACACGAGGTAGCTCTGCTGGATCTGCTTCTGAAGGCTTCGTCTTCCTGGCAGATAGTTGGGCGTGCACGGTGTTTATGAGGCTGGCTTCCTGGAACCCGGGGTTCGTAAGCAGGCTGGCAAAATATTTGGAGTGCGTTTTCAGCACATCGAGCTGAACGCGGTATGCCACGGTCACCTCGGGCCTCAGGGCGTGTGGCGGCGCGGGTGAGCCGTTGAGGAGGTTGGCTTTGCGGGCTCTCCTGAGCGTCTCGATGGATGTTTGGAAAGTGACGGAGAGGATTATGTCGCCAGTAGTCGTGATGTTGATGAGGTGTGGAAGGATGTGCGGTTTGCTGGGCGTGGAGGGGCAGGGGGAGGATTCGGCGTCTGCGGAGGGTGCGGACTCGCCCATGTCGGGACTGCGGGTGTCATGGGTGGATGGATGGATGGGATGTTTGCCAGCAGGGAGGAGGCCGCTTTGAGGTGCTTATGTGTCATTGGAGATGTTTGGTGTTGTTCACTGTTGGGTTGGGGATCGGATTCGCGAGTTGGTTAACTACTTACCTAGGTACTTAAGTACTTGCTAACATGGTGCAGCGGAGGTTCGTTCCTCCATACCTGCGTGGTATCTGCTGGGTACTTGGCGCGGCTTGGGACTCCGGGTTGACACTGATCCGTACCGGGGCACTACCTAGTAGGTACCAAGGCAGGTACTTGGGTATCTAGGGCACCTTCTTGGAGGAACTCGAGTTCCTTGGCCGGTGCACGCAAATTGCTTGATATTTGGGTCAAGCATCCTCTGTCTCTCTCTCTCTCTTTTTTTTCTTTTTCTTTTTTTTTTTTAAAAAGAACCTGGCAAAGGCTTTGGGGGACGTGGATGCCTCTGTATTTTGCTCCCGACTTGCTCATCAAAGTACCAAGAGCCAGAGCCGCCGTGAGTGGTGAACAGCTCCATGGCTGCAGCCTGCCTGTACCGCTCAACATGACCATGTCCACGACGCTGACGCACCGCGAGGGATTGTCGTAGTCTCGTCAGAGATGCTTTCCCGATTTACGATTTACGACTCACGGCGAGGCCGTGGCCTACTGAAGTACCGTCGTCGAGTTGGTGGGGACGCAACGGGTAGAATCCACCAGACTCGGACCCAACAACCGTCAACCAACAACCAAGCCGCTTGTCCACGTCGAGTCCACGTCGATGCTGCCCCAGGCCCCCGGGCCAGCTTCTTTGCCTCCTGCAACGCCGCCTCTGCCTCTGCATCGTCTTGGCACCAAACACAAGATCCCAAACCCTTCCTCGCAGAGCCGCCGGCACGGCTTGAAGGCTTTCCGGCCCGCAGAACCCGCAGGGCAGCGTCCCGCCAACCTCTGAAGCCACCGCCTTCTCCGCTCTGCATCGCGGGTCCATGGCTGTAGTTCGCAGCGAGCGGGCTCGTCTTCGGTCACCCAGGGGAAGCTGATGCATTGCTTCGTCGAATCCCGCTCCACAGCATCGCTTCCGCCTTTCAATGACGTCTCTAGGACACGCCGCGCGAAGCTCCGCGTCCCGAGCCGCAGCTCACCTTGTGGCTGCTGACGCCATCACCATGCCGGCAGCATCACCATCTGTTCTTGACGCGCGCTCGTCGGCCTCGAGAGCGCGCCGCCGCAGCAGATTCCAGCCGACTTGCGCCCGGCGTCGAAGCACCTGTCCGCTTGTGACGAGCCGCAACTGCGTGCCGCTGCCGCGATTCCCAGACCAGCTACTACGACACTGCTTCCACACGTATTTCGTCACCCATCTGCCCTCGTCGTCGCTCCATCCCGACTCACATCGCACCATAGGCCCCGGCCATAAGCTGCCCCGCGATGCCTCGACCCCCCATACGCCGAGCTCTGGTCCGTCTCCCGCAGCCGTGTCCATTCCAAACATGCAGAGTCGGGACCTGACGGTGGTGCGCATACCTCTGCGGAGGGCGAAACACCACTTTGGCTCCGCGACGGCTCGAGGAAGCAGACCCTACAACGAAGATGCAGACCAGGCCGGTACCGTGGACATACCTGCCTTCGCAAAGAGGGGTCCCTTGAGCGTGAGGCAAAAGCCAGGCGAGCCCACCCCGGCAGACAGCGTATTGGGAGATCCTCAAATATTCTACTTTGGCGTCTTTGACGGCCACGGCGGCACCCAGTGCTCTCACTTCCTACGAGACGAGCTACACGGATACATCGAGGAGGCGGCCCTTGAATTCGGCCTGCAAAGTAGCCTCCGAAAAAGCAAGCCCGGCAGAGACCAGCCAAAGCCCACAGCCGGCGAAAGGCCGATATCAAACCAACAGGCACTCGACTCGGTTGACATGAAATCCGCCGAGGACGTCCAGCCCCAAATGGACGTGCCCGATCCGGAGAACCGCGCCTTCGTCGTCGACTCCCCGAACCACGAACCGGCCCTCCCCGACGCCAAATCACCACCGGCCGAGTCGCAGAACATGGACAAAGCCATCAGCCTCGAGCGCGACCTCGTCAAGGCCTATCGAAACGCCGTTGGCGGCTACTTTCGGCGCTTCAACCCGGAGCACTTCGACATATCCTCCGAGGCGGGCAAGCAGGCCTCCATCACGGTCGAGTCCAGCCTCGCCTACGCCTTCCTCCGCGCCGACCTCGACTTTGTGTCGGCGCAAGCCCGCAAAGCCGACCCAGACGCCTCAGACCAGCCCCTCAACGACGACGAGATCCTGGGCGCCCCCCACACGACGCCGTCAGGCCACGGCATCGGCGGCACGACTCGCTTCAAGGGTGGCTCGACGGCCTCGGTGGCACTCATATCAACGCCCACGACGGCGCCGTTCTGGCACCCGGCCGCGCACTCGACCCTCGTGGCCGCGCACGTGGGCGACTCGCGCATCCTGCTGTGCGAGACGGCCACCGGCCTCCCTCACCCCCTGACGTCGGACCACCACCCCACGACGCCCACGGAGAGCCGGCGCCTGCGCCGCTACGCGCCCGCCGGGTCCATGGTCACGGGCGACTCCTTTGGCGAGGAGCGCATCGCCGGGCTCGCAAACTCCCGCGCCTTCGGCGACATCAGGTCCAAGCGTATCGGAGTGTCTGCCGAGCCCGAGATCACGCGCGTCGAGATGGGCCCCGCCGAGTTCTCCTTCCTCGTCCTCATGAGCGACGGCGTCTCGGGCACCCTGAGCGACCAGGAGATTGTCGACATCGTCAAGGAGGCCAGGACGCCCGACGACGGCGCCCGCAACATCGTCGAGTACGCGACCGAGGTGTCCAAGGACGGCGACAACGCCACCTGCCAGGTCGTCCGGCTCGGCGGCTGGGAGAGACGGTCCGAGGGCGGCCTGGGCAGCATGGGCACCAAGGAAATCCGGGACATCAGGAAGGCGGAGGCGCAGGATCCGAGGAGGGGCAAGAGGTGAATGAAGTCTTTGGTCTTTGTTCCGGGTTGTCTTTTGCGTCTTGGGGCCACGGACACGTGCGCATTGGGTGGAGTTTGCATGGTAGCGACTACATAGACCGTGGTGGTGCTGGGCCGTCCCTGACGGACATGTATACGAATGGATAGTTCTCGGCACTTTTACTAGCATGGCTTTTCTGAATATTCGTTGGCGGGCCTTTTCTGTACATGCGATTTTTCTTCTTTTCTTTTCTCTGTAAATCACTTCGACGTGGCTCAGTCGCAACGTCCTCCTTCCTGCCACCGTCACACTGCCCAGACTCCGGGACTCCCGGGCTTCCAGACACCATCCGGGCACGATAGCGCTTGGACTTGTATCTAGTAACGTCCCTGGCCGGGATACTGGTTCCAAGAAGGCGGTTGAGCCTGTCCATAAGGAGGGTACCCCTGGGGCGGCGGACCGCTGTACCCGGGGCCACCGTATCCCTGTGGCGGCTGCTGCCATTGTCCTGGCGGCGGCGCGCCGTACTGCTGCTGCGGTCCCGGGTATCCCTGGGCACCACCGGGCGCTTGCTGACTGTAGCCCTGGTAATACTGTCCTGGCGGCGGGGGCTCATTGTAGCCTGCCTGGAAGGCATTGGACTCGTCCAGGTATGAGGCTGCTTCTCCTCCAGCGTACGATGGCGGGGTTGGCATCTTGCTTGACTCCGGAGCGGGCGAGTTGGATACGTAGTTGGCAGCCTGGTTGCCGTCATTTCCAGACATGGAGTCTAGGTCGCGGGTGCGGACCTGGGACCACAGCGAGCCGGCGACCTTGCCGTGGCCAAGCTGGCTGAGGGCATCGAATCCGCCGTGGGAGTGGCCGCCGGAGCCGGAACCGGATTTCGTGCCGTGAAGGATGTGGTTCTTGCCCGTCCTGACGGCTTCTGAGGAGAGGATGCGCTCGAGTTCGTGCCGACGGGGATGCTGGTCGGCCCACATGCGTACCGTCTTGAACATGTCGCGCTGGATTTCGATGTTTTCGTTGCGCAGGGCTGGGTGATGGAAGGTCCGGATAACGTCGTTGACCACTTCGTCTACAGGGACATTCGGGTTTTCCCAGGCAAAGATGACGCGGCTGGGGTGCTCGTGTGAGTGGTCGTTGGCCGACAACAAGATTCGGGGGTTGTGCTGAGAAAGCCGGATATTGGGCATGGAACTTACGGAACAGCGTATTGGAGAATCGTAGCGGCAACCCGGCCGGCACACGAGTTTAGGACGTTGATGAAGTGGTCCTTGGAGAGCATGGAGTGGGTGGGATCGGAGCACCTGTCGTTCTCCCACGGCTCCAATTGGGACTTGGAGCTGGCGCTGATGACGCCAGAGGAGCCATCCTTGAGAACCTTGCTGACGGAGTTTACGATGGGTCGGATGAAGGGGGCGAGAAGTCCCAACACAAAGGCGGTCAGGGTCTCGCTGATGTGTTCCAGCAGCTTCTCCAGGCCGGGAACCTTGGCGATGCCGCGGCTGATGGCCTTGACAATGTTGTCGCGGAAAACCAAGATAGGATAGATGCGTTTGGCCGTCTTGACAGGGTCGAAGTCGGGGCTCATGCCCGGCACGACGTTGGCATTGTCGGCGCGGGCTCGCTGCTGGTTCTGCTGGTTCTCTCGTTCTTGAGCTTCGGAAGATTCCTTCAGCTCTCTTGCCTCGGAGGCGAATCCAGCTCCGACATCGGGGAGCTTGGAGAGCAGGGAGATGAAGTCTGGTGGGCTCTGGCCGTCAAATAGTCCCCTATCTTGAGAACCCACGGGGCCGCTTCTGGCGCCTTGAGCATTCTTCAGGGCCACCTCAACTTCGTCGACCTCGGATTGGGTGAAATGATCATTGGCCTCTCCAATGACCGAGTGCAAAAAGTCGACGGCGCCAAAGGTACCTGTAACTATGGGATAGATCCTCTTGCCCTGGATGTTTACCTCGGTTTGGGTGCCACAGTGTGGGAAAACACTGTGGTACCCAAGCTCTCGCAGAGCCAGCTCACAGTAGTTGCTGTGCGCTCCAAAGTCCTCCAGACAATGGAGGGCTTGACCGAGGCAGCGAAGAGCCTCGCACAGGTTCTCGTCTTTGCCCTTGCCACGTTCGCCGCACGTATAGAGGCGGCCAAAGTGGATGCTGCGAGCAAAGCTGAAGCGAATGTAGCCGGCACTGGTGGCCCATTGCCCGGTCTCGTTGGCAATGTAGTTCTTCATGCCCGTTTTCATATCGATTTCCGTTTCGACGGGTTCAACGGGGCCGCGAAGACGGGGATCAAACGTGCGGGCATCGAGGCCATCTGCGTAACCCAGGGGGTTGTCAATGTGTTCCTCTGGGCGGTAGCAGCCGAGACGTTCCTCGGTGACTTCGAATTCTTCGGTGGCATAGCCGAAAGCCATGAACGAGAGGACCCAAACCTAGATTTGATGACGACGCTTGTTAGCTGCGCAGAAGTTAAGTTGGTGACCAGGCCCGGGGGACTTGCGAGGATTCGTATGGTGGCGGCATTGACGCCCTTGAGACTGCCAACATCGACAGCTTGTGAGTAATCACGGAGCCAGTTTCCAAAGTAGGTTCGCTTGATCAGCATGGACGTCCATTTCTTGCCGTGCAGGAAGGCGACGCTGGCGAGCATGTCCTCGATATCTACAAGCAAGGGTTTTCAGTGTCGCACTAGGCGCGGTCGCTGGATGTTGAAAATCAACATACCTCCATGGCGCCAGTTGTGTCCTTCGACCTGATTGCATGTGTCAGCCTTGCTTATCGAATTTCGATGCTCGACAATGGCTGCGTGTATACCTGAGCGATGGACGGAATGTTCCCAGCACCAAAGGCGGCTGCTTTGCCTGGAAGCAACACCAAGCAGACGGCGAGCACCAAGAGCCACGTGCCCCGCGGCAGAGGAAACGATGACATGGCGTCGTGAACCATTGCCCACGGCGGAGAGTAAGAGATGTCGACGAGCACAGATGACGGCACGGTGGCAGAACGACAGAGTTATTGCTTGAGAGTTGCGAGTTGCGATGCGATGGCGTAGGGGACCGGTCGACAGGTTTCGCCGCTGTCGACGCTGAACTCTACTTGGCAGCCATGATAACCGTTGGACATTGAACTCTGCTAGTAGGAACTTATTTCCAGCCCCGCAACGCAAGGAATCTTGCTCGAGCTGCTTGTTTCGCATTGTTGGGGGATCAGACCCTCCCTCGGTGAGGTGGCCCCCCTCCCTTTTGATTCTGTCGCAGTAACTATATAAGTTAGGGGCCATTAAGTACACCAACTAATGTGGCGTGGCCACGCCCGTTTTCGGCGCGCAGCTGAGGCGCCAAGTCTTGGAGGGGAAGTTGGGGTTAGGGTTAGGGCTATCCGGAGGCACCAATCATGGCCGTCCCCTTTGATGCTGTCACGCAAAAGTGGGCATAGCAAAGAGGCAATTCCCTGTGTATACGGATTACCATCCGTGTCTTCATCAACATACCTGAGCGCCAAGCTTTCGAGAGCTACTCGGTACAAAGGAGAGAACATGACGAGTATAAGCACAACCGACCTGAAGTGGTAGTTGTAAGCCCGGGACTCGTGAGGACCTATGAATATATCTCTTGTAACATTCACAACCCACTACACTTTAATTTTGTCCTTTCCACCCGAACTTCCTGTCCTTCCAGCGCCTGATGTCAAGCTTGTACTTCCCCTCTCAGTCGAATCACTGGATCAGTGCTCTGCATTGCCAAAGACGAGACACTATCGTACCAATCCAGTTATCGTCGACGCTTATTACAAAGCGTTGGGGAAGCTCATGAATCATGACGCCTTTTTCGTGGCCCCTACCAACGGGTCACGTGCCGTCAGAGGTTCTACGGATAACGTGACCTGGGACACAGCTTGAGGCGATTTTGCATTCCTCTCTAAGCCTAGAGTGCCTCTCGGTGACATCTGGTGTCCCCTTCAGAAAATTGTAAATAGCTTCATGGAAGGTACCTAGGTATCTGAGAACCAATTCGAGGGAAGACGTAGTTGCAGTGACAGCAATGAACCATCTCACGGGACGGTTTGGACACTAGGGTATAGTAGTATGAGCATCGTGCGACTATCCGACTCTGCACCATCTCCGTTGGAGCCTTGCCCTTACTGATCGTACTAATAATAACGTTCTCCAGCTCCGTCTGCTCGATCCTTGATAACTTTGTTGCTTGGTGGGCGCCGTTCATAGAAGCACTTATTTGCAGGACGGCAAAGCTCAATTCCAGAGTACAATCAAGATCGTGCCGGACTGTCGAAGTGTAGTGTAGACTGTGCTAGTTGGTAGATGCTAAGTAGGTATGTATCGAGTACCTGGGCATTCACGGCGAGTCTTGTGTGAAATGCGCAATGTTGATGATGTGGCACGTGCATCAGTCCGTGGTTGAGGAAGCCGAAACGGCCGGGACCTTCATGCCGGTATCATGATTCAACAGTGACATTGACCGTGGTTGAAGCCACGGGCGGCAGTACAAGGTCGTCACTGGAAGAATTTGCCTGCATCGTCAATTCTCTATCCTTGAGCCGGGATGAAATGGAAAAAATCGACCCAGGGTAAGGCCACTTTGGGCCGCGGCATCCGCTCCTGCTAAACGTGCCTCAAAGGCTTTGTCATTTTAGGGGCCGCGGCACCGCTAAGACCAAAAGAGCTTCGTCATGAAAATCGCCCCTCATGATTCGCTTTCAACATTCACCAACCTCATGTCTCGCCCGCCTTAATATCCCCGTGCCCTGCACTCTTCATCCCTTTGTCCTTCATCCTTCAATTTGCGTTTGCAGACAGCATCTCGTCTACTCAATTAGTTTGTTAAGCCCTGAGAGAGTGCACCGGCGCCGCCCCCTCGATACCCCCGTGGCGCGACCTGCAAATACCCTCGGCGCTCACTCGTCGCATCGAGCCGCCCTCCTCTGCTCACCCTGACCCGACCAAACATTGCCACGCGTCGACAATGCCGGCCAGGACGCTGCCCACATTCACTCGCGCAGAGGTCGAAGCGCACGACTCCGCCGCCTCGTGCTATGTGACCATTGGGTCCAAGGTCTATGACGTAACAGACTTTGTTGACGACCACCCTGGTGGTGGCAGCTTGATCGTTGATTATGCTGGCAAAGATGTCGAGGAGGTACTGAAGGATCCCACGTCGCACCCCCACTCCGAGGCCGCCTACGAAGTCCTTGACGATTCACTGGTCGGCTTCATCGTCAACGACAAGTCACCCGCCACAAACGGCTCTGCCAAACCTGCCAACGGCATCGCAAATGCAACCAACGTCCATCCGCGGACCGGCATGTCATGTGAGGAAGACCTTAGCAAGGACACCGACTATACCCAAGATTTCAAAAAGCACAGGTTCTTGGACCTGAGCAGGCCGCTGTTTCTGCAGGTTTGGAATGGTGGATTCAGCAAAGCCTTCTATCTAGATCAAGTTCATCGCCCTCGTCATTACAAGGGTGGTGAGTCCGCGCCTCTCTTCGGCAACTTCCTAGAGCCGCTCACCAAGACCCCGTGGTGGGTTGTCCCGTCTTTGTGGTTGCCGTTCGTTGCGTACGGTACTTATATTGCCAGCCAAGGGCTTCGGAGCCCATTTGTCGTCGGTGGCTACTGGGTATTTGGTGTCTTTTTCTGGACCTTTGTGGAATACTGCCTTCACCGATTTCTGTTCCACTTAGATGAGTAAGTCTTGCCTCATCTGTTACCCTCCACTTGCAGACCGCTGACACAACATACAGCTACCTCCCAGACAACCGTGTCTTCATTACGTTGCACTTTTTGCTCCACGGAATTCATCACTATCTTCCAATGGACAAGTACCGATTAGTCATGCCTCCTGTGCTGTTTGCCGTTCTCGCCTCTCCATTCTGGAAAGTAGCCCACGTCATCTTCTTCTACAATTGGCATGCCGCTACCGCCGTTTACAGCGGCGGCGTTTTCGGCTACATTTGCTACGACCTGACACATTACTTCCTGCATCACACGAACCTGCCGTTGTGGTACAAGCAGTTGAAGAAATACCATCTTGCCCATCACTTTCTCGACTATGAACTGGGCTTCGGCGTCACCAGCAAATTCTGGGATCAGATTTTTGGCACAGAACTACAAACCTCTGTCAAGACAAAGTAACTCGTCCATGAGCTTGGTGCCAAGACATTTCCCACTAGACCCTCGATTCCCTGTACATCTTCTCTGCAAGCATGCCTCATACACTTGCCTGGATCGGCACGGAGTTCATGGTTTCGTTTAGTTGATGTTGAGACGACGATAGTAATTGTTAATAGTTGCCGCTGGTGGTGCATGTCATTACAAAGACGGGAAGAATGCGCGGCCCTGTAGGTGCGGACCGCGGGCAACGTGGAGATGCTTCTGTCATAAATTGATAGCCTGTCAAGTACCTCTTGGACACTGCAGATCCTTGCATACTTTCCTGGCGGGTCTCAGAATGGCCAATGCTGTGACTGACTTCTTGACGGCCTGTGTTATGTATGCCCCGTCGTCTTTCGAGTCATGACGGTGCCGCGACGCCACAAATGCAAGAATTTCGGCCCTCCGGCCCATCACGTGATTTGCATGGGCCACCTCTTCTCATCCCCTCCACTTCCCAACACGACGTAGATTCTTCAACCAACACATCTGTCCCACGCCGGCCAGCCGGATATAAGCGCAGGGTACGACGCATCGAAAAGCACAGCACCTGTATCTCAACGGCGTGGTCACAATTTTGACGCAATTACATCTTTATAGCTAGTGCATCACCACCGAATCCGCAAGACCGCGAGAGTAGTCATCATGTCGGGCCTAGACGTTGAAGCTCTCTTGGAGGCTACCGCCGCGGCTTCAGCACAGCAGAACCCCAATGCTCACATTGATGACTCCTCTAGAAGCGACAGAAAGGGTCGTCCCCAGAACGGAACTGAGCGCGATGACAGCCGTGACCGGGGCGCTGGCCAAGATCGCCGTCGACGCGATCGTCGGGACACGTCCCCCAGACACCGTAAGGGCACTCCCGGCGAAACTACCCCCCGGAGTGACACTGGAAGCCACCGCAGTAGACGCCGCAGTGAAAGCCGGGACAGAGACCGGTACAACTCACGCCGACACAGGGACGGTGATTACTATCGTGGAAGACGAGGCCGCTCCCGATCCCGCTCCCGATCCCCTCGCCGGCATTATCGCCCTCGAGATGACCGAGATCGCAGGGACCGTCGAGACCGCTCTAACCGCCGAGACCAGGGTCGAGGAAGAGATCGATCTCCCGGCAGAAGATCTCGCTCACCGCAATTGAATGAAGACGAACGAGACAGCCGTACCGTTTTTGTGCAGCAGCTCGCCGCTCGATTGCGAAGTGACAAGTTGAAGAGATTTTTCGAAGAGAATGCTGGCCCGGTAAACGAGGCTCAGATCGTCAAGGATCGCATCAGTGGACGGTCAAAGGGGCAAGTCTGTCCCTGCTGGTTTACGGCTGATTTTCTTTGCTAACAACGCCTCCAGAGTCGGTTATGTTGAATTCAAGGACGAAGAAACGGTTCAAAAGGCACTTCAGCTCACTGGAAAGCCATTGGCAGGTATTCCTATCATTGTCAAGCTTACGGAAGCTGAGAAGAATCGACAAGCTCGCAATGCCGAGTCGACGAGTGGGAACCCGAACTCTGTCCCTTTCCACCGCCTCTATGTTGGCAATATCCACTTCAACGTCACGGAGCAGGACCTGCAAGCCGTGTTTGAGCCATTTGGTGAACTGGAGTACGTCCAACTTCAGAAGGACGATAATGGCCGCAGCCGTGGATACGGGTTTGTTCAGTACGTCATCCCTCGACGAAGAGTCTTCTTCGCATTTGCTCCTTTTTTTGTTTTGTAAATACTTGGAACAACAATCTAACTTTGCACTCCAGGTTTCGTGATGCAACGCAGGCCCGAGAAGCTTTGGAAAAGATGAACGGCTTTGATCTTGCAGGCCGACCCATCCGAGTCGGCCTGGGCAACGATAAGTTTACCCCTGAGAGCACGGCCAACTTGATGCATAGGTTTTCAGGACAGAACAATTTCCAAGGCTCTGCCTTCTCTGGGGCCGGCGGTCGCGGCGGGCAGGCGTCTACGTTTGATAGAGCCGGGGGACGAGACAGCGACAAGACGGGCGGCGCAAGCGCCCTCGATGACACAGACGTGGCGGGAGTAAACTTCAATAATTACAGTCGCGATGCATTGATGAGAAAACTTGCCAGGACCGATGAAGCATCTAATGGAAGAGAAGACCAGGCCGTCGTGAAGCCCAAGGCCGAAGCCAAGCCGCTTCCTGTCAACGTCAACGTGGCCAGTCGTTGCGTTGTCCTGCACAATATGTTTGACCCCGAAGAGTAAGTAAAGCACTCCCTTTTCCAGACTTGTTGACGTTGGCAACTGACGGCTTGACAACCAGGGAAGAGGGCGACGACTGGGTCAAGGAGCTCGAAGACGACATTCGAGCGGAAGCTGAGAGGCAATATGGGCACGTGGTCCATATTGCTGTCGATGCGAACTCCAAGGGTGACGTTTATCTCAAGTTCGACAAGGTCCAAGGCGGTGAAAATGCCATCAAGGGCTTGAATGGAAGATACTTTGGCGGCAGGATGATTAATGCATCTCCAGTCGTAGATGCTGTCTACAGCAGTCTCTTCTCTCGCACCAGAGCCATTTAAAAGCTAACATGGCCGGCCATTGCCCTGGCATCATTTAGGTATTCGACAGGTTGGTGAAACGCAAAGCTGATGAATGGTACTTTGAACTCCCACTGAGACTGGATTTTTCAGCGCATATTCTGTGCCACATTTGTTGCCATCTTCGTCCCGAACATAACCATCGGCCTCGCAGGAGGGAGTCGTTCATCCAAGGAAGGGACCAAGACGCACAAAGTTTTCGCCACACCGCGCCCCTGCCTTGACGAAGAAACAAGGGGAAAGAAAAGAAGGACAAAAACAAGTTAGACATGATGTTACAGGTGCCCCCCCCCTGATGGCTTGTCGCCCGTAGTCGCATACGAGGCAGCTGTCGGACGACGTCTCCAGGTTCCCGCCGACATGACCCCGCTTGCTCTGCTCTAATATTTGCACCAGAACGTCGACGATACTGCCAAGGAGGACCAGTAGCCTTTTTGTCATTTAGTGTAGTTTTGGTGTTGTGACCGGGGCCTTGTGGTCCTCGGTCTCTCTGCCGGTAGTAAGAATATACGCTCTTGTGATCCGACATATACCAGAATAGAAGTGGCATAGCGTCACGCCATGATGAAGCAGGGCGCTTACACAATATAATTAGTTTGCGGCACCCGGTTTCGAGGTGAGTGGCAGTCTCTGGGTTCGCGCGCCACGCGGTGAAGGCGAAGGACAACGAGTCGCACCTAATTCGCAAGCCCCGTGTTCACTGTGATGGATGGATTGGATTGGAAATGTACCGTGGCCGGGCTAACACTTGCTATGACGCAGATGATGAGTCCTGTGCACTTGGCTCCGGGGCTCTGCAGCCTGTGTGCTCACCTCGACCTCACATTCATGTCAACTCCAACTCTAAATATGACAAGCTCAGATGCCAGGTGACAACCGCTTGTCCACCAGCCGCATCTAATCTTTGTTCTGCTGGTGTCTGCGCGCCGTCTTGGGCCCTTTCTTAATTCTCTTCTTTTTGATTTCTTTCTTCTTCTTTTTTTTTTCCTTTCCCCCTCCCCGTTTTCTTGTAAGCCCTGTGTCGTCGCGCTAAGTGAGATTAAACAACTTAAGCTTTCTAGTGAGTCCCCAAATCCGCTCTACATGTACGTTGCTACTCCCTCGAAGAATTTCGTTGTTATCACGGGTAGGATAGTTTGTTTCTATCCATTTATTCCAAAGTGTAGCTACGGTGCCGGTCGATCCAACCTCGCATCCTGGTTTGCTTTCTTTCTTCACGGGCATTGAGTGGCCTTGAGACCTTCACGACCAGCTGTGGTATATCGTATGTTCACAGGGGACACCTCCGCGGAATCCATTGCCCGTTTGTCGTCACTTCCGGCCTCATCGTCGGTTGACCTCGGTTGACCGTGCCGGACGGGTGCTGACAGGAGACAAACAGTGCCGGGCCAGATCGCAGGCCTGCATCCGCTCATGCCGGCCATTCCTCGTCCCGACAGCAGCAGATCACCATACATCGTTGCGGAGTCCTCTCCCTCTCCAGACAGACCTTGAGGCTTTCATCAGACTTCTTCGCAGCCGGTGTGCCCCGACCTTGAAGCATGTCCGGCTCCGAGAGGCAGTCTGTATACGGATCTACAGACTTGGTGGCCCTTTTGAAGAAACAACTCGACGCCGAGCAACAGCCCACGCCATATCAGGGCGGCGGTATGCTTTCCGTGGACTTCTCGACGCCGCTTGGCGGAGCTGCTCGTGCCGAGCGAATCCGTCAAATGTCACACAACCATGCATGTCTGCTCCCAGCCTCTCTCCGTCGCCCACAGCTACGCAGCAGCTAATTGATATCTGACAACAGCCGGCGTTTGAGAAGTCTCGCTCGGCGCAGGAGATACTCGTCAAGATGCAGCACTCGCTCCGCCGCATGCCTGGCGTGTCCTCCAACGAATCAGGAGAAATCGTTGGCCAGCTCCAAGAGGTCGGCCAAGTCATCAATCAAGAGACCAGCCAGCTGGTCGACGCTCTGATGAACCTCACCCTCGACCAGGAGGATGCCGAGAAGGCCCTTTCTCGTCTGAGCCTCGAAGCCACGCTCCTCAAGGAGGAGGCGGAACACAAGGCGCAGACCATCAGGGACCTCCGCGCCGAGGTTGAAGCGGAAAAGAGGAAGCGCGAGCAGGCCGAGCAGGATGTCAAGAAGGTCATGAGTGATCTCCAGCGGCTGCGGGAGGATTTCAGAAGCGTCCAGGAGGAGACGACGAGGAAAGACGAGGTCACTGATGCTGATTTCCGTGACGACATTGTCAAGGTACCTTCTGCCCAGTACGTCGTCGGTGATGGGAACGGAAAGCACGCTGACGCCTTGTTCACCGAGCGACAGGGCCTCGAGGATACCATACGCCACCTGGAGGATCAGGTGAACAATCGGCGCTCGCTCTGGCTCATGAAACACTCTGATCCGCAGTCCGTGGCGCGCGCCATCGAGACGCTCGCTGACTCTGTGCAGGACAACCAGGCTGCCCACCAATCCATCATGTCCATGAGGAACAGAGCCGCTCGTGGGCCCGAGAACCATCAAGACGCCAGACATCAGGCCGACGCAGATGCCCGCGGCGCGTACGGCGACATGGCGCCCCCGCCGCGTCCCGGCTCCGTCTTTCAGTCCTCAAGCAGCAGATGCTGTCCAGCTGCGCCCCCCAAGTTTGGTCCCCTCCAAGCCGGGCCGCCTCGGGCACCGTCTGCCTTCTCCCACGAACGGCGATACCAGGGATCCGCGTCGTCGTGGAGCGCCGCCCACGCTCGTTTTGCGCAGGCCGCCAACCCGTTCTACACCGCCGCCGCGTCCTCGTCTACTCGCCCGCCTGCCCGCCTGCCCTACCACGCCAACGCCCCTGCTCGGTACAAACCCATCGCCAGCGAGTTCCAGCCGGGCTACGTCCACGAGCACGTTGCCGCTCCCGCCCGTCCTGGCACGGCCTTTGGCCAGCACCAGCCTCCGCGCGACTACCACCCTCGGACGCCGACGTCTCGCTCCCGCTACGGACGACTCGCCGATGCCAGCCTGTCCGAGTACGGGAGCGGTCCCTCGTCGGCCGGCAACGCCGTCACCGCGCGCGGCGGTCTCGCCGGGCCCCTGATTCACATGAACGAGCAGTCGGTGGCGGCGTGGAACGAGGCCATCATGGACTTTTACGCCATGATCCGCGCCTTTGTCGAGCGTCATGCCAATGTCCCCGATCCCGCCATGGCCATGAAGATGAGCGCCACGCCTCTGTGGCCCGTCCTCCTGGCCACCTACCATCCGCTTTCCGCCAAGGAGGCCGCGTCCTATCTGGACATTCATCTCCGCGCGGATAATCCAAAGTGCTGCCTCGTCACGCGCGTCATCATCGACTACATTGTCAACAGGGTCTGGGTGCCCAACGCATGGGTCGGCGCAGACAGCGAATGCACCTGCGCACTCCTCGAGCTGGAAAAGGATCTCGAGAAGACTCAAGGTAAATACACACTCACCCACCCACCCACTCACTCACTCACTCACTCACTCACCCACTCACAACCCCTCTCTCATACCCTCGGGTTTAAAAAAAAAAAAAAAACATCCATCCATCCAACTCACAAAACAACAGGCCAGCCCTCTGCTCAGCGCCAGCCGCTGCTCGACCGCCAAGCCTACATTCTCGACACAATCATCAAATCCGAGCCGGCGTCATTCCACCAGGAAAAGATTCACGAAACCACAGGCGCCCTCCTGGCCACCATCAACCCGCTCCTGAACCGCCTCACCAACCCGGCCGACGCGTACCGCGACCTCGAGCAAGTCGCCGACCTGGCGTGGGACCTGTCGTCCAAGATCCTCACGTCCCGGCTCACCTTTGACTTCCGCTTCCCCGAGGTGGGCACCCGCTTCTCGAGCCAGAGCATGCTGCCCATCTGGCCGGCCCTCGAGCCGACGGAGCTGCAGGCCAAACACTGGCGGGTGGCGCTCGTGACGACGCCCGTCATCACCTGTCGCAACGACACGGGGAGTAATATCTCGGCGCACTCGGTTGCCCTGGCCGACGTCTACTGTATGCAGTGACGGCGGTTCTTGTCTTGGCTTTTTCTTTTTTTTTTTTCTATTTTTTTTAAAACGGTGTACCGGGGGAACCACTGCATGATTTACATGTTGTAACTTGGTCGAGGTTGTTTTTTTGACAAAAAGAAAAGGCGCATTGTTTGCTGCTGAGATTCTAGATTCTTCTACTCTAGGTATGCGTATACGACGGGTATTCAAGGGGTAGGTGGCTGCTTTTGGTCCTGTATATAAATATATATTTATTCACATTTGCGTTGCAGAAACGGACCGAGGGCCCGACGATGGATAAGACGGGTGAGCTCTGTATTATTTCGAACTTGGGCACTCTTTTTTTCTTGTTCAACTTACCCTCGTCCGGGGTCTATGTGGTACGCAGTAGATTTTGGAGATGCGGTGGTGTTGAACTTTGTGACTGCGGAAAACTGCTACATTGAGCAATTCTACTGGATTCCACCGGCTCACTGCGGCTAATCGCCATCCTACGGAATTTGAATGTGCTAGTGATTTTGGCTCGTGTCCTTGTCGCGCTCTTCATGGACGGCGCCACAGCGTCAGGCAGGGGGGTTCCTTGGATGGAAATCCTCCGTGCGTGATGGCAGACGGACAAGACGGCGTCGTCTCAGCCGCCTGTGGGAGTCTGCGAGTCAAGCATGGCATTGACGGGACAACAGCTGCTTGCCGTGCTTGCCGTAAACAACAGGGGCGAAATGTGTGTCGATTCGCTGCCAGCTCGGCACCCGAATGATTCGGAGGCGTGGAGCTCGTGGTGCTCCATCCTCAGCCAGCATCAACCCGGGAGTCACGGCCGGCGTCGCCAGGCACGCCACGCGTCTTGATTCTGTCTCGCGGCAAAAGCTAGCGCTGTTCCTGGGCGCACAAGGAAGTGCTGGGTGGGAGGGTGGAATGATTTCGAGTCCGCGATACCACGGCCATGGCTAGAGACGTGACGTGGCCGAGTCGGTTTGCCTTTGCAATCCTCTCGGATGCTGTTCCTGGCGCGCCACGTGCTCGGCAGCTCGGCTTGCAGCCACCAAGGAGCGAGTCGTTATAATGACATGAGTCGTTAGGTTGTTGGACGGAATCTGGACCACGGTGCGCTTGGCGTATTTTTCGACCCTGCTTCCATGTTCGGCGTCATGCTCGCCATGACTTGCGCCTCGAAACGACCAGACGACCCGCCGGGAAACGGCAAGGACGACAGCGAAAGCTAGGGCCCGAGGGGTTAGAGGGCCTCGTCTCAATCCGTCGTCTGCCTGCCTGGTTTTGGGCGGCTGCCATGAGGACAGGTGTTTCCATAAGGGAGAGCTTGGTGGTTGACTCAGCATTGCTAGACATGGGCGTCAACTAGATCTGTGCTCTTTGATGTGCTAGTGCTTAGTGTGCTGGGTTTTCTAACCACGACCAAGGTGCAAGAGTCTCGTCTCCTCCGTGGCCGAGATTCGACTCGCAAAGGCCTGTGCTGTATTTGGGCCCAGCACAGGGACACCGTATAAACTCAGCCTCGATGATGCCGAGTAGGTAGGTAGGTATAGGCGCATTACTGACCCCTCTCAGACGCCCTGATATACACACCGCCGTGGAACACGAGCCGCTCACCCTCGTGTCATATACATGTCAGACTGCTGCGACGGAGAAATCCTTCTGCTGGCAGCTTAGCCTCTGGATAGAGAGGCCGCTACGTGGCCAGTGACTTGCTCCGTCCGGGCATCGTGGGGCTCAAGTTTGAGGGACAGACGTCTTTGACACGGTGCAAGGCATGTCGTGCTTCTTTTTGGGGTGCGGTGCACTCTCCCAGTCGATCGTGGGCGAAGAGTGGCTGGCTCAACCTTTGTCTCCTTGATGACGGCACGAGGAATGTCGACGCTGGCGTGAGCAATAGTCAGCACATCACATCTTGCGCGCTGTATGCTTGGCGGCTTGGCAGCTCCTGAGCGTCGATGGTGCAGAGTCGTCGTCCATCATGTCTATGTCTGGTGCTGTCTGGAAGTTGAGTCGCGTCCGTCATGGCGCTTCTTCGGCGGCCCGCCTTTATCCCCGCGCTAGGAGACTATTAGCCAATCACATGACTAGCATTGCCGATGGGGCGGGATTTAAAATTGATGAAATTAATAAAATCCACCTTTATTATCCCCCGACGGGTTCGCCACGGCCCTCGTCCACGCTCCAACGGAGTCTCCGGCCCAAGCGGACGTTTCACGGTACGTCTCCAGTGTAGATGGCGTTTTTCTTGTTGTGATTGTCAGACCACTCACAGCTGTACGGTGAGGAGCAAGAAACGCCGAGCTCACTTCGGCTAGTCGCTTGGGCCAATGTTCCGGTCCCAGAGTCAGGACTGAGGACCGTGAGAGCGACCCGCGTCTCTTTTTCATTTGATTTGAGGCAATGCATCGTGTTGATGCGTGAAACATCTCTTGGACTACCGAGTCATAAACCCTCCAACATGTATTATCCAACTTGATCGTGTACGCTGTTTCCGGGTATAAATACACCACGCCATGTCTCGTCAGTGGAACCGTCACGACCAGAACAACAACACCAAGTCTGCTGTTTCCCGACTTCCCTTCTCGAACCCCTCCCCATCCAACATATTACACCATACACAACACTGCGTGTAAAGGTAAGTCCCACGTCCAACCCCTCGCAGTCCGCTACAACGGCATGGTAAGCTTACTTGAGACGTCCTGCCAGGCCCGACAGCACAATGAAGTTCTCCGCTGGCGTTGTCTTCACTGCCGCGTTGGCCACTGCCTTGCCGCAATATAACAACAGGGGCGGCGGAAGCAAACTACCTTGGGTGGGGTATTCAAGAGAAAACGACCTCAGCAATGACTGCCTCTATGAACATGGTAAGATGTTCGGGGAGAAGGACCAACCCTCTGCTCAGGGTATTGAAAGACTATGCGGGACAAGCAACTTCTGTAGCGCCTTTACCCCTAATGAGAAGTAAGTCAGCCAAGAAGCTAGAGGATATCTCAAGAATAAATACGGCTACGAAGACGAGCAACAGTGCCTCAATGATCGAGAGCCTAAGCCTTCCAACAACCAAGGCCAGCAAGCTGGAGGAAAACTACCTTGGGTGGGGTATTCAAGAGAAAACGACCTCAGCAATGACTGCCTCTATGAACATGGTAAGATGTTCGGGGAGAAGGACCAACCCTCTGCTCAGGATATTGAAAGACTATGCGGGACAAGCAACTTCTGTAGCGCCTTTACCCCTGATGAGAAGTATGTCAGCCAAGAAGCTAGAGGATATCTCAAGAACAAATACGGCTACGAAGACGAGCAACAGTGCCTCAATGACCGAGAATCCAAGCCTTCCAACAACCAAGGCCAGCAAGAGAATACCTCCAATGGTCGCGAGGGCCAGTCTTCCAACAACAACCAGGGCCAGCAAGGCAATGCCGGGGCTAATCCCTGGAATAATGACCAGCGCCAGTCTTCCAACGACAACCAAGGCCAGCAAGGCACTGGCTGGGCTAATCCCTGGAACAATGACCAGGGCCAGTCTTCCGGCGGAAACCAAGGCCATCAAGGCAATGGCTGGGCTGATCTCTGGAATATTGGCCAGAGCCAGTCTTCCAACGACAACCAAGGCCATCAAGGCAATGCCGGGGCTAATCCCTGGAATAATGACCAGCGCCAGTCTTCCAACGACAACCAAGGCCAGCAAGGCAATGGCTGGGCTAATCCCTGGAGCAATGACCAGCGCCAGTCTTACAACAACCAAGGCCAGCAAGGCAATGGCTGGAATGATTTCGAGGGCCAGTCTTCCAACAACTACCCAGCCCAGCAAGGTGGTAACTGGTGGCGGGCAAAATAGTCAAGTCCGGCGGCAGACTGCGACTGCGGCATCGGAACAACAGCCAGGTTCTGGCTGCTCACGCGGTCACGACACTCTAGGTATGCCAGGTGAAGCCACAGTGGATATTTCACGCTACTTTTCGAGTGCGGAGCGGCAATCAAGGGAGTAATGGCACATCGTTTACTGGATCGGCAGCAACTGCATGTAATACATTCCGTGGGAGCATCGTCTACAAAATCGTCGGCTAGCATCATGGTTGGTAACGGCGTGAAATACATGCAGTGCCTTTTACGGTGTGGGTCATTCTAAGAGATGGACGGGGGTAGCAAAAATGTGTGTGTAAAAATTTGTATTTCTAACCTTGTCTACGCGAGGTTTTGTCTGCTTTTGCCCTGGGCACCTTTTGCCAGAGTATACTCGAAATATATGCCCAGGCTTTTTGATTTTGATCCAAGGTCATCTCTTCATCAACCTCTGTAGGACAAAGTAATTCTCAGTACGAGACTAGATGCGTGTCATCGTCAAGCAACAAGGAAAGGGGAATTGGCAAAAGATAGCGCACAATAGCCAGGGAGGCATAGATGATACCAGTAGCGTGCTGCTTACTACATGTGATACTTTGGCACGCAATCTCGCCCACGTAGATGATATCTGGATTAGCAAGTACGTAGCTCTATGAAGTACTACTATCGTGGCGGTGTGTCAAGCTGCAAGACGGGTGTGTGAGCGTCAAGGTGATATAAATTATTCTACTTGTATAATTCAGGGCTAAGCTAGTCAGTCTTGCAATTTATTAATTTTGCTGCGGTACACCACGTGTACTGCGTACATGTCGGAAATGGCTGACCACGACATAATCACAAGTTGAAAGTCAATGCTTTCCTAGGTTGAATTCGTTTAGAATAGTCCAACACCATGAACTGGAAACTTGTCCAAACTGAAATAAATGTCCATTCCCCCATCACTCGTTGCTCATATCAACCAATAGTAGCATCTTATTGTGCGCCGCTCCATCATGAGCAGGCCCGTCGGTACCTAATGATACTCGCGCATCGACCGAGCCATCTGGTATCAACAGATGCGGTCACCCTATACTTGGCTGACGAATACCTACTGTTTATTGTTGCCGAGTCGAGTGTTGTCGATTCGCTTGTCCACGGCGCCCAAGACAACTTTGAGGATGGCGGCACCTGTGAGCTTTGCGGCGTGTTGTCTTCCTGAATCCTCCCACTGACAGGGTGTTGTGTCGACTATATCCCGCACACCTCTTTTGCTCAAATCATCGTCCAGCACCTCCAGTGCCCTTGTGGCAGAGACATCTGAGCCAATCTGGAAGAACTGAATGCCGACTTGGTAGGATGGTGCGTAAAGTTTATCGAGCTCATGAGCCGTCTGCACAATGGCCTGAGCAGGGTTGTCCGAGGGCTCCCCGTCAGTGATGACGATCAAGTTGATAGGTTTGACGTCATCCATGTCCTTGGCCTTTGACAGTTGCTTCATGTAAGGGATGAGGATTTGTTCCAATCTTTTGCCCGTGTAGGTAGCGCCGTAAGGACGGGCACGGTTGAAGATGGATTCGACGTCGTACTTGCTTTTCACATTATAGTAGCCGTTTCTGGCCTTGCTATTGTCCGGTGGCGAGTTTTCGGATTTGTGGTTCAAAAAGTAAATGTCAATGCCGTCCTCGTCGTATCTTGCGATGATCTCGGCGATGGATTTCAGGGCCAACTCGGCTTCCCTCCAGCGGCTGCCGCTCATGGACGCAGAGTCGTCGATGAGCAAAATGGTGTCAAAGTTGGCCAAATTTGCAAACATGTCGTCATCAGAGACGCCCTGATGGGCTGCCGCTGTCAAGAGTCCCGTGGGCGCCGAGGCAGCTGGAGGCCCGGGCGGAGAGGGAAATGCAGGCGCAGGCGCAGGCTGGTGGTATGTGTGCGTGTATTTTGGCGGGGCGTCACTGTAGCCGGTTGAGTCGACTGCTCGCTGTTAGCGGGCGGACCTGGGTTTCCATGTTATGGACAAGTTGTCTTACCGTAGGATGCGGCGCCAGAGCCGCTTGAGAGTCCGCGGGAGCTCTGGGATTTCGAAGAGGATCTGTCATGGCGAGATACAGACCGAAGCAATTTGTTTGTCATGGCCGAAAAGCCAGGCATCTTGATCAGCTCTTTCCTCGCGACGCCGTGGATGGGCTTGGCGTGGTGGAAAGGCAGGTGCGATGAGCGAGTGAAGGTTTAAAGGAAGGAAAGTCAGGGGACGGTGGCTGGTTGAAGAGCCTTGGGTGTTGCTCAAGCGTGTTTCTTTTTTCCTCTTCTTTTCATTTTTCTCCCTCCTCAACGGAAACCATGATCGCCTCTTGTTCTTTATATATACGTATTTGTCCGCTCGCATGTGTTGAACACTCAGTACACGGGTGTCGGGCTCCCAAGGCGGAAATCAGCCTAGCACGGTCGTCAGCCAATCATAGCCGCGGCTGAGCCACGTTGCTCTGGCGTGCAGTGTGGCCGTCACTGATCAGGTGCTGCTGCGCCTTGGCCGTACCACGAACAAGCACGAACAAGGCTTGAAGACAATTCGCATGGTGCCCAGGGAGGCATGGTTCAACATGTCGTGGCCCGCCTCATGAGTCATGACAGCTCTTGCCACCTCGTTCGCCATGCACGGCGAGGTGATGGCGAGTTGTGGAAAAGAGCTAGAAGCAGGTTGGAAGCCGGGCGGCCAGTGGCCACAGTGCACACGTGAAGCCGTGACGTGCCAAGACACTAAAGGCTGCGCCCCAGACAGGTACGTACAAGGCTGTGGGTCGGAAAGCGTGCGTCCCTGGTGTGTACGGCTCAAAGGGAGAGAGAGAAAAAGGAAAAGAAGTCACGTCGTTGCACGGTCGTGATTCTATTCACCAAGCAAAACCCCAGAAACTGAATCGATTAGCGCCGCCGGCACGAGCATCAAATCAAGCCTGGTTTCGGTGACTTGATCAAGAACGGCCCCTTCTTTTATTGACGACTTCACTCCGTAGATTCCCTTGATTCTTGGTGGGGCAGCTTGTCACGTGCTGAAATCGGGCACTGTAGGTCATGTGTGGACTTGAGCTGACTAGGCAAACCATTTAAGCCGACTCTCGTGATTGGTCCCCGACAATTCGAAAGCCCTTTTGCGCCCCGAGTCGCACTCGAGACTCCCTCCCGCCTCTCACAAGCTGAACCTATTCGCATCAAGCTTGAAGCGACCGTTGATGGAGTGCCACGATGGCATCACTTGCAAGGTTACAACCCTGAATTGACAATGAGCGAAGCTTCTCTTCTCGGCCAGCGGAGACCGGGTCGAATGGGGAACGGGGTCAGACAGTTCCCAGAGTGACCGACGAAGTTTGAACACGGCGCTTGAGACTGTCGTGGACATGCTCCGTTGGAAAAAGGCAGCGAGTCGGCATGGATGTACCTCTTACGGCTCAGTTGAACATCCCTACACCATTTGTAAACTTCTCAACGCTCCTGCGGCCTGTAGCCACCGTCCGGCCGCCCGAGCCTGTCACGTGTCGGGAGACGGGAGACGGGAGACGGGAGACGGGAGACGGGAGACGGGAGACGGGAGACGGGAGACACGGCAGGCAAGCCCTATTATTTAACCCGCTTCTCCCACAACTCCAGAGAGAGGTAAGCTTTGGCTGTCAACACTGTATTCGCCCTTCCTGGCTTCTCGATTACACAACGGCCGCTGCCGCTGCCCTGCGGACTTGCCCGTGCGGAATTGGCGAGCGGGCTTCGCTGCCATGTCGACCTCGGGGTGCGAGCGCCTTGCTGTATCCGTTGATGAACATTGGTCGATACATGATAGCAATTGACCAACACTCCAAGCCTGCATGGCCGAACGCGACCTTCCATCCCTGGTAACCACTCGCCCGTCCGGTCTCGCGGCAGAAACTACCAAGGTCGATCGTGCCCTTGCCCGTCATTTCCTCCAAGGTAGCAGCAGTACATGATCTGGCAGCGCCTGGGCTTGGTCTGATGTCGATGCATGGTCTGGTGTAGGGAATGCTCTTCTGGTCCGCCTTGCCGAAGCTCTAGTAAAGGCGCCTGCATACTTCTTCCCCCCGCGCGGCAGTGCTCCCCTTGGCCTTGCTGCATCATGGACATGAGTCTCCGGGCCGCAATCACCCTCCTGCTGTTCTTTCAACCTTGCCAGAGCCAGCCGGAGCCCGGGTGCGGCGTCGAAGCGGCACTGAACCGTTGTCAAGTCCCCCTCCGCGAGCCCGGTCTCCTGCAGTCCACGTACCGCGGCGAGACGGGCAGGACCCCGGAAGACGTCCAGAAGGCGGGGGGCTTTTACTCGCGAGGCCTGCAGAGGCAGCTGGCGGGCGCCGAGCTCACCGACCAGGAGTTGCGGGATGGAAGCAGCCTGTTCAAGCATGCCGAAGGCTACACGGCCCAGTATACGCGCTACGTCTCGACGAGCGCCGACCCTGCGGCTGCGCTCAGGTTCGCCGTCGCCATGGGAGAAGAGGCCGATCAGAGGGGTTTCCTGTACAAGATCCATGCTGATGGCAGGATGATCGACGTGGACGGCTCTCTTCGCAGGCACTCGCCTTACCTCGCGCTTAGGCAGAGGGAGCATGCGGCCATTGGCTTTATCCCCTTTGCGCAGATTGAAGGTTGGTGGGAGATTACTGTCAACTTGGATGAGAAGGGCTTTGACGGCAGGAGGTTTCTCTACAAAACGGGAAAGAAGCTACGACAGGGGAGGTTGAAGGATTTCCACAAGAACCTCGAGTTTGATGAGAAGACGTTCGCCAGGCTGCAAGGCCACGGGGCGGCGCCAGAGCTCGCCGGGTTCCCCCAGGGCCACCGGGCATGGAAAGAGACGACGTGGAAGGAGTTTGAGAAACAGCCGGTGGAGATCAAGTTGGACGAGCTGATCAGCGCGATATGTGCTCCTAAAGACAAGTTGACCAAGAGAAACAGAACGAGCTGTTTGTGGCCGCTGGCCGACGCCAAGGCTGGCAAGCCGAACATTCCCAAGGCTCCCGATGTCCATCGTGTTCCTCATGTCCCTCATGGCAGCCGAAAGGGGGGGTTGGCCCAGAATAGAGGCAAAGGCCCACTGAGGAAGTTGAACAAAATCAGCATAACCAAGATGGGGGCGGGGAGCACGGCTGCTTTTCACATACTAGCCCCGTATGCGAGAGACGTGCTCGAGGCCGTCAAGAAGTGGGATCACCCAGTTGGACGGGCCGTGGGATGGTTCGATGACACCATAACATCCTTCCAGGAGAGCCTTTTTGGAAAGCGTGTGCCCGAAATCGATGGGAATGAGACCAAGTTGAGACTACTGTGTTGGCTAAGAGGGGAGCAGAATGACGAAGAGCGTGGTGTAGGAAAGGCATGCAAACGGCTAAGAGCGACGGACAAGAATGAACAGCAGCAAGATGACTGGGTCCTGGGACTCAACCAGCTCTCGGCGCTTTGCTACGCGGTTGAGACGGACCCCCCGGAGGAGGAGTCGATTCGGCTCCAGCTGGAAACGAGCTGCGCCGCGCTCCAGGTGGAACTAGAGAGGGAGGAAAAGTCTGGATCAAATACAGGGAAGACGTACGAAGCCATGCACAAATATGTCGACCAGTTGCTGCTCGAAGTCGGGTGGAGATTTGAACTGCGTCAAGTGGCCGAACCAGAACCAGAACCAGCCCGGGGGGGGAGAATCCGGGGCGAGGCAACCAGCCATGGTACGACTATAAAAAACGACTCCAGTAACTTGCAAGAACAAGCCGCGGCGTGACACGGAGCCATGAGCTTGTCAGCGCCAAGTTCCAACAACAGGCAGCACATCCGGCCAATCCGCGTTGGGCCGCGAAGGCATGGGCACTCCCGTACCTGTTGTCAACATGTTGGAACAAATAGCTTGAACGGGCCGACGCCGTCATAGCAGGCACCAGATGCGCTTTTTTTTTCCTTGGAAACAAAGCATGGCATGTAGCCAAGAGGAGACCCTGATATATCCTCCCATTTTCACTTCTTGTCTCCTGTTTGTTTCGTCCATTCCGCCAACACGGGCAAGCAAAGGCGCATAATTCTATATTGAAACACAAACAAACCTCTGCTGACGTAAATTAATCAAATCGATTTTCCATTTCATCTTGCAGTCAAGATACTACAGCTTTCCTGTAGCAATATATAGTCACATGGTGTGTAGTAGTACACAGTAGTACTATATAGAGCATGTAATTTTGCAACAGCCTGCCTTCTGCTCTTGTACACAATAGAATACTGCATCTTTCCCCCTTGAAAGTCTAACCTCGCTACAACTTGATGGGCAGCCCACCTGTAACCTTCTTTCCAGCCTCGAGCGTTGCATATGCATTGATGGACTGGGGGAGGGAAATTTCGTCCTGCGCGACAATGCTGTTGTCGTATCAGACAAACCAGGTGACACGTCGTAATATTCAATTCCTTCGTTTTCGACCTACTCGTCGGATCTTTTACGCGGCCCACGATGGACATAAATCTCGGGATAACGTTCCAGGGCTCTTACGGATCGGATGCGGACCTCCTGGGAAGATGAAGCCTCATGGGATCCGGCACGGGCGCCCAACCAACGGCATTTGCGTATAGCTAATGTGTGATTGTCCATCCGAGAGTTGCTCATCGTCTGTATGATTTCCTGCGGCGTTGGGGAGAAGAGATCAAGGTGTCGGCTGGAATAAATCAAAGGACTCACAGACATGTCTTTGCCAGGTTGATACGCCGGGCGCGATTGAGCTACGGCGGCAGCCCGCGTGAGCGTCACAAGCGTCTTCAGAGCTTCAGTCACTCTACACGCCAGAGGCAACGCTGCCAAGAGTACAGCGGTACAGAAGTCATGGTACAACGACGCAAGTCTTGATGCTACGGAGTCATTCGTGCGATTGTGTGGACTGCGCGTGGCGTCCGTCTTACTGCGACGGGCAAGTGGCCCTTCATCCCTCCATCAAACACAAACACCGAATACGGCTCCCCCGATCGCCCGTTGCCCGTCGTCTCGGCTCGTTCTCGGATGCCACACGCCGCTTGTTCTTCTGCCCGGCACGGCCAGGATAGAGTCGGGACGGTCATCATTCCTCAGTGCTTGGAGCTGCCGTGTGCAAGGCGATCGATCAACAAGCCGGAGACGGCGCTCTCCGCAATATGTCGCCCCTTGCCATGCTCCTCGCCATTGCTCACAAAGGCGTCCACCGCGGCGGCTCCAACGGCCGCGGTAATGGCACGTTTGGACTGGTCCCGGCTGTGGCGAGACTTGATGGCCTCTGCCAACCCGGCTGCCAGGGCCGCGGTGGCAGCCTCCTTGACGCGGTTTTCACTCTGGCATCGCGCGCGCGGCTGTTCACGCCGATGAGAGGAGCGTTCTCTCCTGCCGACATGTCTCTCCTCCATGTGACGTGATGGGCCCGGCCGTGGGCGACGGCCCTCGTAGCCATGGTAGTCTGCGTCTCGGTGTCCACGGCCCGGCGCGTCATCGTGACAGCGTCGGGTCAGACGGTCAGAGAAGGCGGCTTCGTACTCGTAGGGCTCGCCCTCGCGCCGCCTGGATCCGGCACCGGCCAGGGCAGATTTGGCAATCTCCTTGGCGTCGTGGAACCTCCCGTGGTCGACAGCGCGAGCGAGCTGGTCCAGTCTGCCGGGCGACCGCGATGGCCTGTAGATGCTGTAATCGTCGTCGCTGTGATATCCTGCGTCTGCGTCTCTGTGGCGGCCTGGCATCGTGTATGGTTTGGGCCGACGGCGTGTTGGGTGCCTCGGATGTACGCAAAGAGCGGGATGCGGCCGCGATATTCGAGATGGTGCGGCGGCTGTCTTTTGTTTTTCTTTGCTTCTCGCCCGCCGTCCTTGTCGAATCTCGACGTCACATGCAGCCCCGGAACCGGTTTTCGTGCAAATCCCCCACCGTGTAGGGAGTACATGGTGAAGGAGATCTGACCTGTCGCCTTGATGGCGGACCGCAAGAGGCGGGCCGTTGCGAGAGGCAAAGACTTTGGCTTGGCTGGCTTTGGCGCGGCATGACGCATCTCTTAGCAAACCCTTTCATCATGCTGTTGGCCTCGTGCTTTTGCCACGCTCGGAGGAGCTGCTGACCTTGGAGAGATGATCGATACCAAGGCATGGACGTCCTGTCAGGTTGTGATTGACGCGTCACACCTGCCGCCCGTTGCTGCCTGCTGCCTGCTGCTGCTGCTGCTGCTGCTGCTGCTGATAAACTGACCAAGAAGTACCGAATACAAGGCGTCTCTCTCGCCGACGAGGGTCATGGAAACGTCAATCTACTCCGTACTTTGCCTGGTGATCAACGCTTCCCCTTCTCCATCACAAAGTCGCTCCAACTACCTCCTCCCACTCGCACTCGTACGCTGCCTCCTTGGCGCACCCGTCATCCGCGTCCAACAGTCTCTATGAAACGACTGCGTCCTCTGGAATCTCGTACAAGAACAAGCACTCGTGGTCAAGCAGAGCCTGTGCGCCACGGTTGATGTCGTATTCCGGAATTCCCAGTCGCCACAGAAGGCTTTCAAGCCGCCTGAACTGCAAATTCCCCCCCGGGCCTTGAGTCTCGATGTGGTAAATCACCACGTCTTCCTCTCCGCATTCGACCCGCCGCTTCGCCTCTGCTCTCGCCCACTCGCGTAACCAACACGGCCAGGTCGTGCCGGACCCAACGTCCAACCGCGCTTCGGTATCACCCTGCACGAACGTTTCCTCTGCCAAGCACATTGTACGTTGCTTTCGCAAGAGAGACCCGATATTTGAAGCCCGAACCGGGTCCCGTGACTTGAGGACTTCCATGTTCAGGCGAACTAAATACCTTAGTAAAAGCAAGTACTTAAAAGATAACAAGCAGTAAGATAGTCACTTGATGGAGCGAAAAATAAGCAAGCCATGTCGAATATTGGCTACAGAAGTCGCGATGCTTGGTTGCGGCCATGGCCAAGGCCAGAGGGAACCTGTCATCTTCAACGGTAGCGTCCAGACTTTATCTACGTACTTGCTCCGCAGTTTTCTGGTCCCTGGATTTCGGCAGGTCTTGCTTCGCGATACATGATACATGGAGTCCAGCGTGTTGCTTTATTTTCACTCGTCTATCTTGCTAGGAGCTTCATATCTTCACTCTGGAACCTTCGTATTCATTCGTCTTAAGCCTCGTTTGTTTTCTACCCTCGTGTTCTAAGCTAGGCGTCGAAGTCGAACTCTGTCTCCTGTACGCTGCACACATAGGAACCCTATCCCTCGTTGCGTTAGACACGGTGCAATTTCGACGGGTAAAAGAAAAGAACCCACCAGGCCGTTCGGCCCGTTCTGCGCGCGATGTCGTACACATCGTCCCTGTGGAGTGGAATGCATGTTAGTCGGCTGCTCCCTCGACAGGAGTCATACACCGCTGTGAAGGAATCACTTACGTGCACGTCGTCAAGAACTTCCATGGCGTTTCCTCCGCCGTTGCCGCCCCCATCAATATTGCAAACTATTTCCTCGCCCTGTGGAACCGTTCGTCTCAGCACTCTGTGGTTGCACGGCTCGCGGATGCCTCGCCGGCACACGAGGGCATCCTTAGTACCGCGTGGTGTATCGAGTTTTACTTACGACATAGACTTCCTATAGTTGAATGGATCATGGACCCATTAGCAGATGCTCGTCTGAGCGTTTCTCGTCGTATAGTTCTGTCAACTCACAGTGCCTGGGTGTCTCTACAACTCGTAGTATTAGCCAGCCTGCACAGAGCTGCTCCTTGCCCGGATAGTCCGCCTCAAGTACTTGGGCGAATACTTACTCCTTTGACCCACTGATGAGGTCATATTAGCGCACGAGATAGAATTTTGATTTGATTTGGTTTGGTTTGATTTTGCCGGTGGGAACGTCGTCACTCACTTTTCCGCCCTGTCTTGACGTTAGAACCATGACTCTCTCTGAATAAATGTACAACTTCGTTCTAGAGGGAGACTACTTACAAACATTTTACAATTAATGTCTGCATTTGGATAAACTTGGCGAACTGCTTCCACAAACTAAAGATTCGGAAATCGTCAGTCCTCTTTGGAGGATATTCGCTGTCGCATCTTCATTTACCTCCGAGGAATCGTACGACCCCGCCAGGTCCTTAGCGAGACCAAGTCCGATCAGCGCGGCAAGAGGAAGGAACTTCATGGTGCTAGGTGCTACAACGGGCCTAGGCAAAAGGCAGGATTGATGATTCAAGGCGGACGAGTGTGCTTTGGGTCTGATGACAATGTAGCGAGTTGGCTTGACCATCGAGGCAATCTCCGCGTATTTATAGACTCGGTCCGCCGCAGGCTTTGAACGCAAGAGGCCTTCGACTGCCGAGCCCTCCGCCGAGTGCGGAAATGTCAAGTATAGAGATTCCAAATTCTCGACCTTTCCATCCCTTGGCATGACTAAGAACCCCATTGGGGACCATCAGGGCCCTTGTACGAGAGAGGAGAAGAACCAGGCGGGCTTGAGTTTGGGGACTCTGTCCTCGCGTTCGGAAGTCGGAAGTCGGAAGTCGGACAAGGACGGCTACCACTGGCCGCCGGTCAGGCGAGGTAGGCTGGGCAAGCGGTCGTCACCGACTCATTGCGCGGCCCTCATGTCTCGACAAAGACATGTTGTTCGTCTGACGTGTTCCCGTTACGACTGTGTATCGAGCACGCAGCTCCGTGGCCGGGACTCCTTGCAGTGCGGCCTCCTGGGTCGCAGCGACTTACACCGGGTCTACGGAGCATTCCGTCGCACGGAGCCCCGGCGCTTAATTTATATCGTTATGCGCAGAACACGGCTGCCGTCAAGCTGAATGTCACGTCACTTTCGACTGGTAGAGTCGGGGCATGGCCTTGTTTTCTCTGCAGGGCGGCGCACTACGCGTGGTGCCATGTCGAAGACGGCGCGGTACTCGAGAATGCAACTTGTTCGTTGCGGAGCTTGCGCGAATGCGATGAGCAGGTTCTTGGAGAAGAATGCAATTGCCGTGCCAGCATGGTCTTGGGCAGCCTCTCGTCCCGTCGGGACCTCGTCACATGCCGTTGAACGGCGGTCGACTTGGCCTGACAGATGCAGCTCAAGCTTGCTTTTGGCTTGCCGGGGCGTGTGTCATGTGCCGGCGAAAATGCCACCCTCGCGGCCACTCGCATTATGCCTGTTCTTTGAATCCCGCCCGTGGAAGAGCCTCCTCGTCACTGCCGCTGCCGCTGCCTCGGTCGGGGCTAAGCCGCTCCCGCTTGGCTTGCTCACGGTCCACTGGCTGTTTTGCCTGCTGGGGCTGGCCTCGCGTTCTAACTTCTGCAGCAGTTACCAGGGGAAAACGTACCAGGGGAAAACGGTAACAATGCTCTCATCGAGGGCTTTCATGGTACCAGCGGACTTGGTGATGACCGCTCCACTACTCCGTACTTAAGCACAGAATGGCATCATCGTATCCACGGTGGGAGCTGGCGCTCAATCGAGCGACGTATGCCTATATCATGTCGCACAACCTAAGCAGTCGGTTAGCCTTGCGGCACAAGGTTGGGGGATGAATATCGACCTCCCAGCAAGCATTACGTTGCCGGGACTCGCATTCATGGGGCGAGCTGGGTTGCTGTTCCTTGGGGGAAAACTGCCCTCCATGGTAAAAAGGATGTTATTCGCAGGTTGTGGGGGATAGGTTGACCAGAGTGCACATCGGGCTTGGCTGGTAATAAGGAATCAAGGACCCCACCACGTGACGCGAGCAAAGGACGGCCACGGAGGATGAGCAAATTCTACATTCAACTACATCGCTCTTCTACTCTTTCGCTTCTATATTCACTCACGTGCGCCTACTTCAGAGTCACCAACTCCTCGGCACTGGTCGGATGGATGGCTACACAGCTGTCGAAATCTTCCTTGGTGGCGCCCATCTTGACAGCAACGCCGAATCCCTGCAGCATCTCAGCACTGCCCTGGCCCATGATGTGCAGGCCAACTACTCGCTCTTCGGGGCCGGTAACGATTAATTTGTAGTTGGTCGGTCCCTTGTGCTCAGGCTCCATCATGGCGTAATACATGGCCGTGAAGCTCGTCTTGTAGACCTTGATGTTGTCCTTGCCGTATTTCTCAATGGCCTGCGGTTCCGAGAGGCCGATGCTGCCGACCTCGGGGTGTGCGAACACGACCGACGGAATGTTGCTGTAGTCGAGCTTTCGGGTGGAAAACTCCGGTGGTCCAAACAGGCGCTGAGCCAGTTTACGCCCAGCGGCAATGGCAACGGGCGTGAGCTCTACCTCTCCGCTGACGTCGCCGAGGGCGTAGATGTTGTCAACGCTGCTGTTTTGGTACTCGTCGACCTGGACGTGGCCATTGTCGGTCAATTTGACGCCGACTTCTTCTAGACCGATATCCTTGGTCATGGGAGTTCGCCCAACAGCCCAGATGAGTTTGTCCACATCCGAGAGAGAGCTCTCCTTGCCCTCGGCATCCTTGTAGGTGACAGTAAGCTTGCCGTTGGCGTCTTTCTCAATCTTGGTGGCCTGTGACTCCTTGTGCAGGCGAACTCCGAGCCTCTCGTACTCATTGGTGACCGTGTCTTGGATCATGGGATCGAAGTGGCGCAAAAAGGTTTTTCCACGAATGAAGAGGTGGGTTTCCGTGCCGAGAGCATTGAACATGCCCGCAAACTCAACAGCAATGTAGCCGGCGCCGACAATGGCAACCTTTTTGGGCTGTCTATCAATGTCGAAGAATCCATCGCTGTTAACACCCAGCTCAGCACCGGGAATCTGCGGAGGCGAGCTCGGGCGGCCACCGACGGCAATGAGAATCTTCTTGGCCTTGACCAGGACTTTGCTGCCATCATCCAGTTTAACCTCGACTTGGTTCCGGGACAGCAGCCGACCCCAGCCGTGGAGGTACTCGACCTTGTCGTTCTCAAGGTTGCGCTCATAGATGCCGTTCAGACGTTTAACATAAGCGTCGCGCTTATTTTTGAACGTGGTCCAGTCGAAAGGGGCTGTTTCTTTGACGGAAAAGCCATACGCCTTGGCCTCGCGAAGAGTCTCGGCGATGGCAGCGGCATTGTACGTAACCTTTTTCGGAACACATCTAGACATGATAGCCGCATCGGTCAGCATGCAATCAGTCTCTTGAACAAAAAAAAAAGGCCACGCACGTTGGAAGAAGTCGTCGTCAGCTTGCTTACCCAACGTTCACGCACGTACCGCCGAGCCGAGCGGCTTCAACAACGATTGCCTTTGCGCCGAATTTGGAGCTGGCCATACGGGCCGAGCCAAGACCACCACTACCACCACCAAGAACAAGATAATCGGCTTCTTTCGTTATGGGAGCCATGGTCGTAGCGGATGTAGATAGATGGCGGGACAGAGAGGCTATGCGATGCGGGGCAGATCTTGAGGTGCGGGACAAGAGGGTGAGTGGTTGCATGGGCGACTCGGGGCTGGTCGTGCATGAGTGTATTGGTTCCCAGCTTTTCCCAAGTCAGGATGATTAGGGTCCCCTTTTTCTTTGAACGGATTCAGGAACCGATAGTAGCGGCGGGGGTTGGGACGTCTTTTTAACCGTGGCCGACCGCATTTTGGAGACGCCGACCTAGCGCCGATGGACATAGAGAGTCGTGGAAAAGTAAGTCTGGCTGAGTAATCTGCATTTCCACTGGGCGTCTGGGGACCTTGCGGCCATTGGTAATTGCGACATAATAGACGGGAGCTTTGGGCTCCACCAGCTCCGACGACGAAGGAATGTCCAATCCCGACATGGCAGGAATTTCCGGCTCTGACGTGGCAGCCAGCAAGAGTTTGACGTACGGAGTACAGTTATCAGTCATCAGTGATGCTGTTCAGCAAAACTAGGCCATGATGATGATGACGCCAGTTGCTGCAGGTCAAATCCTGCGGACACAGCCGCACCACAGCCACGTCCCTTGGCGGTTTCACCTCACCAGCCACACCCTCTGCTGAACCCATACCTCCAGCTCTCGTCTCGACGACAAGCCACCGAATCACAGCTCTCTCTCCCAGACTCCATCCAGCCCCCCAAGGCTGATGGCAAATCTGACGTCTCCCAGCTCCAACCCCTGGCTTGCATCTTCATCATAGCGCTTCGGCCCAGCCGTCGTCCAAGACGTTTGGCGCATGTAGATTGCCGTCTTTCTTTGCCCTGGAATTCGACCCTGAGCACCAAGACGGCCCCGAACGCCAGGCACATCCCATATCCCATTCTGCCCATCCCCGGTGACGACGACCTCCCAAATCCATCGTCGACCTCAACAAAACTCTCTCCCTCCTCCATGAATCATTATGTCTGCTGACCTAGGCACCAATTCCGGTATGCTGACTCAACTTCCTTGACTGCTTCCAAGTTTGTCTGAAAACGGTCCAAGCTAATCTTCGTGCCTTCAGCGCCGCCGAATCTCAACCTCTCCCCCGAAGAGAAGCGAGTCTATGCTCAGCTGTTCCGTCAAGCTGATACAGAAGGCGCTGGTTTTGTTACGGGCGATGCGGTCGTAGCCTTGGCTGAGAAGACGAGACTTCGAAATGATCAGTGTCAGACAGTTAGTTGCCGGCTTCCCGAGCCTTCCGCCACATCCGACTAATGAACGAATCCATTCAGATATGGCAGATCGCGGACAGCGAAGACCGTGGTTTCCTTACACCAACTGGCTTCAGTATCTTTCTACGTTTAATCGGCCATGCTCAGGCAGGGCGGGAGCCGACAGCCGAATTAGCCCTTCAACAAGGTCCGATACCCCGATTTGAGGGCTTTTGGACATCGCCCTCGCTGGGCTCACCCACCTCCTCAGGCCCAGCGCCGCTGCAAGCTCAGGGTAGCGGCGGCGCCGGCAGAATACCTTACTTGACTCCCGACAAGGTGTCAGAATACGCAGCGATATTCGAGCGCCTGCCGTTGCAAGCTGGTAGACTGCATGTCGAACAGGCCAGGCTCGTCTTGGAGAAGTTTGGCTTGCCCAAAGATACGATCCGAGATTTTTGGCTCCTCACAGGTGTTGAGGAGCGCGGATACTTTGTTCTTCCTGAATTTGTCATTGCCATGCACTTGTTCACCTCCATAAAGGCTGGAAATCTGCGCTCAATACCCAGGGTCTTACCGCCCGCTTTGTACGAGGCTGCCACCAGGCGCAGTGCTGCGCCCCGTCAATCGCCTAGCAACACCGGTATGGGACCGTTACCAAGGCAGTCTAGCGGATCTGCTCAGTTACGAGTAAGCAGTCCTCTTGGGAGACCGCCAATCGGACCCGCAGCCAGTGGTGAATGGGCTGTGTCTGCCGCAGACAAGGCCAAGTTTGATCAAATATACGCCACGGTCGATAAAACAAATAAAGGATACATTAGTGGGGAAGAGGCCGGTCCATTCTTGAGGCAATCAAATCTACCCGAGGAAAAATTGGCCCAGATATGGGACCTTGCCAATTTCAACAATCTAGGACAGCTTACCCGAGAAGGGTTCGCTATTGCCATGTACTTGATCCGACAGCAAAGAAGCGGCGTTGGCGGTGATCTGCCGGAGACGCTGCCTGATAACCTCGTTCCTCCCAGCGTCCGCAGCCAGAGGCAGCCTGCTGCGTTTCCCGCGCCTCCACAACCCAAATCCGCCATGGACGACTTGTTTGGGCTCGAATCGTCTCCAAGCCCTGCAGCTGCGCCAGTGCAAACGACCATGTCTACTGGGGGCTCCAATGGAAATGATCCATTCGCTGGCGGTTCGGCTATTCTACCTCCGTCGTCCCCATTACGAGCAAACACAACAAGTACCACGTTCAAGCCATTTGTGCCTTCTTCAACGTTTGGCAAAGGTTTGACTGGACCGCCCCAAGGAGATGCTCCCAAACAGACGGAGGATCTTCTGGAAGACAATGACCCAGAATCCAGCAAGAACATTACTGGAGAGACCACCGAGCTGGCCAATTTGTCCAACCAAATTGGATCCCTCTCAAGGCAGATGCAGGATGTTCAAAGTAAACGAACTACAATTCAAGGCGAAGTCAATCAAACCAATTCTCAGAAACAAAACTTCGAACAGCGACTGGCGCAATTGCGAGCCCTGTATGAAAAGGAGGCTGATGATACCCACTCTCTAGAGAAGCAACTGAGAAAATCACGGGTTGAGACACAAAAGCTTCAGTCCGAGTGCATGACCCTGGAGGGGACACTTGGAGACGTTCAGTCTCAGCGTCAACAGCTTGCGGCCGCCTTGCAAGCAGATCAGCAGGAAAATGCGAACCTGCGAGAACGCATCCGGGTTGTCAACGGCGAGATTGCCAAGCTGAAACCCCAGATCGAGAAGCTCAAGTCGGACAGTCGCCAGCAAAAGGGTCTGGTTGCCATCAACAAGAAGCAGTTGTCGACAATCGAAGGAGAACGAGACAAGCTCAAGAACGAAGCTGTCGAACTGGCCAAGGGGGGCGAAGACGGTGCCGGGCAGAGGGAGAGCAATTCGCCCATCTCTGCACCTGCACAGGTTGCAAGCCCGGCCTTGTCGGCTGTCAGCGATAATAACCCCTTCTTCAAGCGAACGGGAAGCACCGATATCATGGGTGGCTTTGCGTCTCACCCTACCAAATCCTATACCGACAAATCCCTTGATGATGTATTTGGACCGTCGTTTGGAGCAGCGGGGAGCACAGGCACTGCCCTAGCGCCTACCTTTCACCAGCAACAAGATACTGGAACTTCTGTAGCCAGCGGCGCGTCCTCTCGCACAGGTCGCTCCAGTCCGGTTGTTGGCCGCCAGGGCACGACCAACATGGAGCCTCCCGCGCCACCTGTGTCACAGCATATCAACTCTAGCTCCTTACCGTTGCCCGACAACTCTGAGTCCCTATCTTCGTCTCGTCAGGTCTCACCGCCTGCTTCGCGAGCCGAGGAGGACCCCTCTGCTGGTAGTACTGGGGAGTCAGCCGCCGAAGAGGGCCAGAATAGCGAGACACAAGGAGCAACACCTGTTGCCGCTGAGGCACCGGCTGCGTCGGTCGACGAAGCTGCATCAAAAGCGAAGGCCGAGGCAGCCACTGACCCGGCGTCGAAGCCAGACCCTTTTGGCAACACTGATCAAGCAAAAGCCAAGGCAGATTTCGACAACGCTTTTGCCGCCTTCAGCGCCTCCGACAAGGGCAAGGCCGCTGGCGAATCAGACGTGAATAAATCTACTGACGCTTTCAATACTGAATTCCCACCTATTTCCGAATTAGAACGTGCCAATGACTCCGAGTCGGAGAGCGACCGGGGTGGTTTTGATGATGACTTCACCGCCGCTTCGCCTCCAAACAAGGCCGCTGGAAACAAGAAGGATGCGGCGACGACGGAAAACAAACAGACTAGGGAAACATCTGTTAATGTCGGCCCTGAAGTTCCCGCGAAGGAACCGCTGGAAGATGCTAATACGAGGTGAGTAGTAGCAGCCATTATTCATGTCAACTTCAAGGAAGAAATAGCGCCGCTAACTCGGGTCTCCAGTTCCGAACAGCCATCGTCACCTGCCACCGTCACCAACAGGTCCCAGCCGACGCTGAACGCCGACACCATTTTTGGAGCAGCTGCTCCAGCTGTCGTACCACAAAAGACGACTGGGAAATCCGTGTTTGATGACCTGGACGATGACTTTGAGGGTCTAGAAGATGCCAAAGAGGGGTCTGCAGATGACGACTTTGCCAACATATCTCGGGATGACTTCAATCCTGTTTCTGATAGCAGCCCACCAGCCAGCCAAACCAAGAGTGAGACCACGGCGTTTGGCAATGAAAGCTCGTTCGACTTTGTGTCTCACAGCTCGGCAGCCGGCAGCACTACCCAGCAGAAGACTGCTGACTCTCATGACTGGAACGCCCTCTTTGCCGGCCTGGCCTCGCCTAGCAATCTCACCCCCCCTGGCATTGCTGGAGAGGGCAATGGCGACAGACACGCTGAGCGTCCGGGCCCTCCTGGTCGAGCTCTTACCGAGCAGGGAGTCCACGATGATCCGATCCTAAAGAGCCTCACGAACATGGGCTATTCTCGTTCTACTGCGGTGGCCGCTCTGGAAAAGTACGACTACAATTTGGAAAAGGTATGACGTGTGTGTGTGCGGGAATGTCAGTGAGAGAGGAATTTGCTAATTTCTTCTTTTTTTTTTATTCTTTTCCTCATTAGGCTGCCAACTATCTTGCGAGCAAGTCATAAAAACGCTGGGGGAGGCACATCGCAACCACAGACAGCATTTATGAGGTGGGCGTCTTCGGGGGGAAGGGAGTGCCGCGCTTGCTCCATGATAAATATCTTTGTTCCTAAAGCGACAAAGGGGCCTAATACCAAGGCGGATATTATGACCGGATGGATGGTGGATAAGAAGAATGGTTTTCAATTAGCTCAACTTGGCTGGGCATGCTCGGAAGCAAGAGGTTGAAGCCCACTGTACGCTAGACAAGGCATTTTTCCTTGGTTGAACAAACAGTCTCACAATGGCATTCTGTCACCCTGAATTCGTGTGAATAGTGAATTTTGAAGACATGCAACTAATCGTACATGACACGAGCCCCGTTTCGCTCGGAATCGTCTGGCGTCTCTCCACATTGTCGTTGTCCACTGCGCTGCTGACAAAAGAAGAAGAAAACATGGCGGGTGATGTTTTCGAGCCTGGTTCCGGTGCGTCAACCACACGCAACCATTTACTTCTACTTGACCTTGCTCATGATGGTCTCGGGCCCCCTTGAGACGCCTATCTGCGCGGCCCTGGCCTTGACGGCGTTCAGCATGCCCCTCTCAAAATCGTCCCTCGACCTCAGGACGGCTTCGACCCACGAGAGCTGCAAGTCCCAGTAGGCGGCCTTGAAGGCGGCGAACTGGTCGGCCACGGCGTCCTTGTCGCAGGTCAGCAGGCCGAGGAAGGGTTCCGTGACCCTCCACGTCTGCTTGATGGAGTTGCCCACGTCCGGGTTGGGCAGGCTGGCGAAGTAGTCAAAGGCGGTGGAGATGTCGTTGAAGAGCTTGTCGCGGAAGGGGTCTGCGCGGCGGAACTTGGCGCCCTTGTTGCGCACGGAGAGGAGGTAGCGCACGAGCAGCTCGTCGGCAAAGACCTCGATGAAGATGTCGACGAGGGAGTGGTGCAGGACCTGGCGGTAGTCGCTGACGTACTCGTCAAAGGTGACGACCATTTGCTTCATGGCCGTGTTGGCGTACCACTTGGGCGTGAAGAAGTCGGGCATGACGGCGCGGAAGTCGACGGCGAAGATGAGGTGCGCGAACTTGGTGATGCACCAGGTCGAGAAGTCGACGTACAGGTCGCGCAGGGCGTTGAGCTCCGACTCGCCGCGCTCTAGGTACTGCGGCGTGACGTGGGGCTCGAAGTTTGCCCGGAAGGACGAGAGGTAGCCCAGGCGGGACTCCTCGTCGTTGTCGTCGATGCAGGCGATCTGGTCGTTGGCCGTGGCGACGAGCCAGTCCTGGAGGGCCTGGAAGCCCTCGAGCTCGGGGACCTTGCCCGTCTCGTAGCGCGATATCTCGTCCTCGAGCATGCGCTGCCACGAGTGCTGGCGCGCGCGGAGGCGCAGGAACATGGCGTCGATGACGCCCTCGATCACGTCGGAGCGCTTCGAGTTGGCCCCGGCGTCGATCTGCTCGCGGAGCATGCGCCAGAGGGCGATGAGGTTCTTGGTGCGGAAGTAGCCGTACTCGTCCTGGTCCAGGTTGGAGCCCTCGACGTTGCGCTCCCCAAAGTCCTTCTTCTCTTGGTTGAAGATGCGGTCCATCCACTCGTCGAGGAACTTGATGATGAGCTGACGGAAGTCGCGGACGAGCTCGGCCTCGCGGTTGTCGATGACGTGCGGGGTGAGGTCCTCCTGCCTGTAGCCCATCTTGGCCATCTTTCTGTAGTACTTTTCGGGGAAGCTGATGATTTCGAGATTGTGGGCAGACGTGCCTTGCGGGTCCTCAATCATGCCGACGAGGAAGTCGTGCATGAGCTGGTGATATATGTCGGCGTAGGTCTTGCCAATCTTCCACTTCTTGGGCATGAGGGGAGTCATGCCGACGCGCACGGCGTTGAGGTCGTTGAAGTACCACTTCATGATCTTTTCAAGTCGCGAGGCGTCGTCGAGGAACTCTTCGCGGGACTGCTCGAGCTGCTGCTCAGCACCGAGCTTGATGGCCTGCAGGAACTTGTCCTTGTAGCCGCGGACCTTTTTGGCGCCGTCTGTGATGCTCTGGAAGCGGGCCGCCATTTCTTCGTGATCCTTGAGCGCTTCTTGCAGCGCCAGCACGCGCTGGTCGCTCTTCTCTTCGGCCTCCATGACCAGGGCAAAGCGGACCACGAGCCCATTGTTGTCGTTGACGACGAGGCTGATGAGGTTCATTGCCAAGAGGCCGACGTGCTCGTCGAACCAGTCAATCGTGTCGTCCAGCCTCGCAAAGTAGTCCTCCAACGTCGACTCCAGGCCAGGATCTTGGGCCCTCTGTATCTGCTCCATGGCGTCATCTCGGATGTTCCTCAGCTGCGTCAGCTCGTAGTGGCACGGCAGCAGGTTTGGCATGTTCTCCTGGTCCTCGTCGTCCTGGCGCAACATGTTCTCCACGACGGTCAGCCTGTCGTTGAAGGTCTCCAGGTCGCGCCTCATTGTTTCGACAGCGACAAAGTTCCTGTGGGCCTGGGACACCAGGTTGATGCTGGCAAAGTCCTTGATCATGTTTTGGGATTCGGAGCAGAGGCGGTCAATCTTCATCATTTCTTCCTTGACGAGCTGGACTGTCCTTTGGCCGTCGCTCAGGCCCGTCATGCCCGATTGGGTGGTTTCGAGCTGCTCGCGGAGACCATTGCGTAGTTGGCCGTCAACGACTCCCTTTTTGCGCGAGAACTCCAGCTTCAGCGCGGGGATCTTGTCGAGGTCGTCGGGGTGCCGAAGCAGTTCGGACAGCTTGGGCACGGGGCCGTCATCCATGATGGCTGGGACGGACGGCGGGCAGGCTGGCAGCCATGCCATGTACTGCAAGTTGGGCGCGAGGCCGGCGCGTAGTCGCCGAGGGAGGAGGAGGAGCGTCAATGGTGCGTCTGCGTCGTTGGCGTGGGCGATGTTGTCGACGTCTGCTGGAGCAGGTCGTTCGGTGGAGTTGCGCCCGACTCCGCGCACACCAAAACGCAATCACGCAGTGGGGCACGTGTCGGGTCATGGGGTCGTGGGCCGTGGATCGTGGGCCGCGGCAGCAGTCAAATCTTCAAAGTGCGTCCAAGTCATCACTCATTCATACAAAGACTGGCGGCACGCTCAAGTGTTTTCAACGCCAATTATTCAATTGCATGTCCGCACAGTCGGCGGCTCATGCATACGCACCAGCCTGGTTGGTCCACCCACAGCCCAAACATCTCACTTCTCGGGTATCAGGAGCAAGCTGCAACACGGCGTTCGTCAGACTCACTCTCCGACCCAGAGCTGCTCGTGTCGTCTTGATCGTCGTCCTCTTCATCGTCGTCCTCTTCACCCAGGCTTTCCTCGGCTATAACCTCGCCAGCCTCCAGACTGACTCCTTTGGACCCAGCCTCCTCGTCACCGCCACCCTCTCCATCCTCACCACTGCCCACTTCCCCTTCCTCTCGATCCACTCCACTCTGTTTTCTACGCTGTGCTGATGCCTGTAATTTCTCGCTGCATGGTCCGTCTTTCCGCTTCGTCCCTTGAGCCCGCGGGGGAATCGAGTCCTTCGGTCCCAAGACGAATCTTGGAGGAAGCGCGTCTCCACGCTCGACGACGTAAATAGTCGGAAACTCCAAGACGCGAGTGTTGGCCAGAATACCGCGGAGGCAGTCCCCAGATTCCAGCGCCGTGACTTGTGTTGGCATGCCACATCTCGTTTGTGGACCTGCGAGGAAAAACCTAAATTGCTCTCGTTGAGCCTTGTCCATCTCTGCAGGCCAGTCCTCCAAGTGAGCCCCAGCAAAAGACGTCCATGTCCCATCAACGGGATCCTGGATACAATCCAGGCCCGGACTCCCCCTCGAGTCGACCGCACTCTGCAACCTCCCGATCCGCATCTGCCTGTCCTGTTTCCGTGACCCGGTCTCTGCGCGAGCCTTTCCTTGCAGCACGGCCGGGTACGCCTGAAAAAGGGGAACGTCATCCATCACCTTGCTCAATGACCTCGTAGTCTCCTTGTCCCCTTGCCCGTCCCGCTGGCCAACCGCTATCCACTCGACTTGCCAATTTATCCTCCCCGTCCTGCGGTTGAGCGTCGTGGAATTCTCTCTTTGCCGGGTCATTCCCAGCGGCGCACAGAGAATCTGCACGTTCAATCTCTTCAACCTCTGCGCCAGCCCCTTCTCGAACGTCCTCCCCTTGGCCTCCCTCAACAGTGTCGTCACCAACACTCTCCTCTTCCTCCCATCACGCCCCGTCTTCCAACGAACTTGTTGCATCGTCAACGGCCGCAGCTCCGCCTGCTGCACCAGCCCCTTCTCCTCAACCAGGAGCTTTTCGGAGCGCTCCACGGACACCTCGATGCCGTGGAGGAAGTTGTAGTCATGGTCGACACCGGCAGCGGTGCGCAGTCTCGACCGCGGGACATAGCTTGTCGGATCGCGCTGGCCGCTGCACTCGGACCAGGCTTTGTGTTTTTTGTTGCAGGGCAGGGAACATGTCTGCATGTTGCACCGGGGGCATTTGTATTTCGGACGAGCGACGTGGCATATGGAGCAGAGGGATGTGAGGAGGGGGTCGGCCATGATTGTGGAAGCTGGCTGTGGCCATTTCTGGCGTTGCACGTGTGAATAGGTGAAGGTGAGGGTTTTCGCCAGCCGGTTGATGGTTGATAGCTGCGGCGTCACGCTCTCGCTTTTTTTTTTTTTTTTTTTCCTTGGTCCTCCTCGGGTCCGGACCCTTTTCGGCCCAGCACCGGCGCCACAACAACTGACCCCCCCTGTCCACAGGGTGCGGATGGGGAAAGGATCAATGATGATTGATCGCTTGGCTTGTTGCTCAATTCCATGTCTTAAATGTTGGGTCGTGCCATGGCAAGTCACGCATTGGCCGCGTGTCTCGGCTGAATCTTACGTTCCCTTCGCCCGCCGTCGTACATGAACCCATCTCAGTCGTGCATGCAAGATTTCGCATTTAACCGTGTCTTTAGTCAAAAAGGGTTCATCATAAAAGTGTAGGGGCGCCTCGCCGAGAGCTGAGTGTCATCCAATGGCACGACTCAACACTGCATATTGAGCGAGACCTGTATTCGTCTCGGGCAACGCGAGCGCCTCGAGCTATAGAGAAGATAATTACAGAGAGAAAACTGCATACTAAGGCAACTTCGGGCATTGCGGCAAACAACGCCAAGGAAAGACCAAAACAACATTCGACAACGTCCTTCCAGAAGATCTCCCGCAGAATAAATGACAAAGTGACCGATGTCCACGACATCGTGTCGTCGGTATGAATTGAATACGATCCAAAAAAAAAGTTTGCAATAAGTGTACAACGACGGATATCCCCAGGTCGCCCATGTCAGCAGTCGTCCAGGCCGGTGAGACAAAAAAGACTAGATACTTGGCATGCGGCGAGAGCTTCGTAAGTAAACAGCATGGGCAGAAGTTTGCCTGTCGTCGGCTTCATTGCTCCGATGAATACCGTGGAGCCCGATTCTTGTTGTTGGGCACCGCCCCCTCTTCATCAAATCATTCCTCGAGCCAAATCGCTCCGCTGCTTTTTTTTCACCGACCGCCGTTGCCCCCGAGAGCGCTGATCCTGGCGCCAGATGGGCGGTGCAGCAGAGACTCGGTGTGCTTGGCCACAACGCCGTTCTCATCAGTGACGCCGCCGCCGCCTTCACTGCGGCTCTCTTCGTAGTCCTCCTCGTCGTCCTCGACAATCTTGGTGGGGATTTCGTCCCTCAAATTGTACTGCTGGCTAGATCGCTCTGGCGTGGTGGTAGCTGAAGCGAAGGACATGGCAGTACTACTGCGGTTGGGGATCAGATCTGGAGTAGGAGGAATGCTGGACGTGCGACCAGGCTGGAGGCGTCTCTCTTCGCCGTTGTCCGAGGCGGCAACTGAGCGATCGTCGTGGCCGTCCTCGGTATGGGCACTGGACAGGCCACTGTGACGTCTGCTTGATCGGTACTCGGCGTCGTGTGCCAGCTGCAGGCTCTCCACGGCTGCCTGGCACTGATCGGCAATGTTGCGGACAATGTGAGCTATGGCATCCGTCTTGTCTTTGAGGTGACGGTCGGCAACGTCGGCAAAGCTAGCAGCAGAGAGGCGCTTGCTGCGTGAAGTCTTTAGTTGGCTTGTCCCGTCATCACCAGGCGCGACATCCGAGCCCTCCTGCTCATCACTCTCATAACCAGCTTCAATCTCGGCAACGAGTTCGTCGGGTCTGGTGAGGGAATGGATGAGATGCTCCATGTGATGGCTCTGGCCACCAATCAAACTCTGCAAGTGCATCACTACACGACGAGCCTCATCGCGCTGTCGCAGAAGGGTGGAATTAGTGTGGCTGAGCTGGGCAAGCTCCTTCTTGTTCCTCTGTCTCTCGCGTTCAAGATCTTCGGCCATCTCCTGCTGTAGAACGAGCGCCATAAGAGCATCGTCGCGCTGCTTCTCGGTGCCAGTAAGACGGACAGACATGCGAGCATTATCGTCCTTCTGTTGATCAATGAGACCAGTGAGACGGCGGTTCTCTCTCTTGTGGCTCTCGATTTTGACTTTGAGATCCTGTGTCTCCTTAGTAAGCTGTTCAGCAAAGGCCTGAAATTTGAGGAATTGCTGTTTCCAACTCTCCAGTTCCTCGACGAGATAGTTGTTTCTCTTGTTGACCTTGTTGAGCTCGGTATCCATTCGGCCCTTGAGATTGATAAAATCTTGCCACGCTTCAAGAGCGTCACGAGAGTACTGATTCCGCTCACGAACAATCTCATTGAGATGTCTCATTGACACTTTGGTCATGAGAGGCTTCTTGACAGAGCCGCCAAATACGGCCTTGATGCCTGTATTGCGGCCCGTCTTTTCACATACATGGTCCATAACAGCCATCACTGCGTCCTGGTTCCACCACTCAGGGTCTTGGATAGACTCGACTTCTCCGCGCATGACAATAATCTGACCAGCAGGGACCAGCTTGCCGCCACCATAGGCTGATCGAAGGTGATGAGGCACACCAGCAGGGGTGACATCACCGTTAAGAGCCTGGGTGAGGCGAGTGACAAATTTGTTGCGCTGACTCGGAGTGAGCGCAGTTGGTGGGCTGGACGTGAGAACAAAATTGCGGTCGAGATCCACGACCAAAGCGTCCGTCGGGGCTGTGAAGAGAGATCGGCACTCGGCAGTCACGCCCAGAATATAAGGGCCGGGCTCCTGGACGAGCTCTTGTGCATGGCGCGCGTGTACAACAGGGACGTAAAGCCCGCTCCACTCGTAAACTCGGGCGCAATACCGCACAGTTTCGGCGGCAATTGTAAGCATGGCCGCGTAGTGGCTCACAAAGATGATTCGTCGAGTCGGAGAAATAGCTGCCTCGATAACGCCAACTATATTGGGAATGGACAAGCAATTGAACAGCGGCCACATGGAGAAATTCTGGAACCCGGTAGGGGAGGACGGGAACTGGTAGCAGAGAGCGTAGTCCCTCATGTCAATGCGGACCAAGTCGTTCAGTCTAGGAGCTGGGAAGCTAAGGATACGTGAGACTTCCTCGGCATGGAACAAGTTGGTAGCCTTATTCCAGTGAATCCACATGCCTCTCAGATAATCTCCCAGGAGGTTGTAGATGGGATAACGGGATAGGAAGGACAGGCAGTAGGGAATCCAGTAAGTCTCGTCTGGATTGTCGTAGAAGTCAGACTCGGTTCTCTTGCGCAAATCCCGAATAGTCTCGGCCCTCTTTTCGTCGGCCCGAGACCAAACTCGGAGGCAGATGCCATACAGGGTGTGCGAAGAATCTTGCTGGAGCACAAAGGCGTGGTGAACGCAGTGAGGCTGGCTCCTGCCAGTGCAAATCTCCACGTCGTGCGGGAAGCAAGCCTGCGGTTCTCGTGTCAGATGTTTCCAGTCCTCAATTTTGCCTCGGTATTGTGCGTTTCATCAGTACTTACCCTCATGGCAGAATGGAGAGCACGAGCAATTTCATTGTCCTGCTCCAGACGAGGGCTGCTGCCGAGGATTTCGGGGAGCCAGAATTGACCGACAGCACCCTTCATATGCCCAATCTTGCCCTGGGCGGGAGCCGGCGCCTTGACCCATTGCGACGGTTCGCGACCGACGCCGCAAACCATGTAGGCATGAGTAAGGGTCTTGGGTGTTCGGTGCTGGGGCTTCACTGTCAAAGTCGAGGGAATGGGCTGCGTGATGCGAGAGTGCAGCGATGAAGTGCGACTGGGAATAAGCATATCAGCGCCGGCTTGGTCGCGCGTGCTGGGCCGGCCATCACGGTCGCCAGTGCGAGGGCGGGTAAAGGAAGAATGGTTGTTCAACGACGGCGCCATGGTGGGCGATTCGGATCAATGACTGTCGTAAAATGTCGCCCCTGTGATGTCCGTGAGTGAGTGTTCGTGTCGTGTGGGATCGATGCTCCTTCTGAACTATCTCTTGCACTCAACGTGGCGAGAGAAGCAGAAGCGCTCAACCAGCCATCCGATGAGGACTGGATGATACTGGCAATGTTTTTTGCCCTTCGTCAGATTTGGTCGAGGTCAACCCGGCAAGAAAGGAAACAGAACTAGGCAGGGGCAAGAAGAAAGAATGTATAAAGGACACCCTGAGTCGGGTAGAGGTCTCAATGGACTCTTTCAAAGTCGATTAGGGTGAAGTAGACAGACAGACACGCAAGAACTGGTGAGACAGGGAGAAGGTAGAAAGAATCTTGAGAGAGACTGGGGACGAGCCTGTCCAACATTTAGGGGCACCCAGCACCAGGAAGGACATGGGAGGAGCTTCAGAGTCCTCTTACGCCCGCCTGCCCACCCACACACTGGTGAGCTCTCAAACGTTTCTCCGTAGATTGGACGGGAGCCCACAGTTGGAGACCCAATAGCCGTTTGTTTGTAGGATACGGAGACTCCGTTCTTGGACCTGGCAACTGGGTCTTTGGCCGCGGCGCAGGCCAAAGCAAAGCAGGGCAGCGAACATCGATTTGGAATGGCCCAACATGGCGGACGCAACCATCGAGAGCTGCATGGGAGAGGCAGGGATGCGCACTTGACGAGCCCAGCCCACAGTTACGGGTTGAGCCATGCCATGTCGGTGGTGCGCCGTGCGATGCGTCGTGAGTCGTCGAGGTCGGGCGAGGTCGATCACGATGGGAGCAGGGATGCTCATGGTCCCGTCAGGGGAAAGTGGGCTGACGGAACGCCACCTTGAGAGCTGAGGCGTTTTGGCCGTGGAGCAGGATACAAGTCTGCCGGCCAGCGTGACCTGCGTGGCCTACGTGGCCTGCGTGGCCGTCCAAGTCGTCCCAGCCTGGCCCTGAAGTACCTGAGTACCTTGGTACCCGTCCTCGTGCGGCCCGTCTTGGCGAGGAAAAGTCCTCGGTACGCCGTTTCAGATTCTCGGCAGGTGGCTGGATGGGCTGACAGAAGGTCTAGACGGCGCCGAGGGAAGAGCCACACAAAAATTGTGGTGCAAATGTGAGGGTCCTGCACATTCTGTCGTTGGCCATGAAGAAATTGGGACTTGGTGCAATGGTTGAATGTTGAAACTTTGAGCACGAACATACCAACCGCAGTTCCGCATCGCCGACGCCGTGTCTTCATTCAGCGTGAAGCCAACCAGCTCAACACCTTACCCCTCTTTTGTTAAGCAAGTCTTGCCTCGTTGTCGACGGGCCTGGTGAACGGTGGGACGGCGCAGGGGCCAAAGCGCGCCGAATTGCGACCAAGACCAGGGGAGAAGGGAGAAGCCTCATCGAAGAGAAAAAATTACGCATGTACGTACTCAGGGCCTTCAACATTTCAGCCCACCAGACACCGACAAAAGCAATACTAGTCAGTCAAGTCTGCACCACGATAAACCTGGGACCTGGGGGTAGAACCCTCAACCAGCCAGCGCTGACGCTGCCGATAGTGATGCAAGGGAGACAAGAGCGATTCGTGAACAACTGAGCAGGCCAAGTCAATATGCCAATCACGTCCTGCTTTGGGCTTTGGAGCTCACCGCTGATCCGTCCAAACTTTTGTCTGTTTGGGGGGGCCGAAACGAGAGAGAAAAATGTACCGAGGCTCTGATTTTCTCAGCACACTGGCTGGCAGCTTCGCAGAGGCAGGCCAAGTTCGTCAAAGAGGATCGCCGTTCATACGTACCCTGCCACGAATAGACGTCACAACGCTTCATGGACTATTTTTTCCGATGTGGGGTCCTTTGCCACACCTACCACCTGCTTCACGGCATCTCAATCGTCAGAACACAATTAGCAGCCTTCTTAACACAATCGGCAGATTTCCAATTTCCCTTGGCTGGCATCTTGGCCTGTCACAGGCATCTACACGGCCTCCTTGGGGCCCCTATTGAAAAATACATCCATATTAGGGTTATCATCAGTGAAGCGCGGCGCGGTACTCTGTATGTACTACCCCCAGTTCTACTTCAACTATGTCCACACAATGGAGAGTTGTGGCAATCTGCCCTAATAAAGCAAGCAGGCTGGCGAAAAATGTGGTACTCATGCGAGACATGGCCATTGTATTCATCGCGGTGATCTACGTCGAAAAAGAGGCTTTGCCCTGAAAGTCTATTTGTGTATCGTCCCATAATGGGAGATGACTGGTATCTCCGTGCGCGCGGCATGACGTTGGATCATCCGGTATCATTCTGACATTGCCTACCGGACTCCGGTCCGGTGCAGCTGAACAACGGAAGCTTATCTGGCTAGCACTCACTTGGAGTACTTCCGCAAATCTCCCCAACTCCTATCGAGAAAAGCCGTGGACTAGAACTCGGTGGACACACCTCGGACGAAATTATGCTTGACATTGACAAGCGCCAAGTTGTGAAGACATACATACTGAGTACGCTTTGGCCCATGATTCCCAGACCCGGCGCACCCCACGCCGTGCAGATCACTTGCTCCGGTGATGAAGTGCCTGACGCCAAGGTGAGAGGGGGCAGGCCGAGCAGCCCTCTGCAGTCATGCACGAGTCGCGACTCTCTCCCGCCGACGGGCAGACCCAGCGCATATTGATTGTTTTATTGTTGATCAGTCTTCGCCCTTGCTTTGTCTTCCTTGCGTGGCAAGTACTTTCCAGCCTTGACTCTGCAAGTCAGGGCACCATGTACACATACCCCCCCCCCCCTTCCCCGATGGCAAATCTCCCCATCCCTTACCACTCACTCTACTTAAAACCCGAGCGATATTGCTCGAACCACAACTACGTAGACTCTTCTTGTTGGCCGCCTTTTCACAGCCTGTTCATTTTGATTGCTTTCCAGGGTATGGACCAGGGGACAGGGTGGTCTGCGAGAAATACGACGACGGATGAAACGATGAATTGATGACTGCGCAACCATCCTGAGGTGGGCGTGCGGCCCGACACGTTTCTGTTCAGGTTTCGGTTGCTGTCGCTAATCATTATTAGGCGGCCAACTAAACAGACCAGCTGGGCCGATTCTGGCCAGTGCGTACATAGAACGGTGCAAGGAAGTTATTCTCAACGCAACGCAGAATGCGGAGTAGTAGACAGTCTTCGGTGCAGCAGTTCTGCAACGCCAGTCTAGAGTCCGTACTCCGTACCGTACCTGGCAGAAACCATCACAGATTTTGTCTGGCATTCTGCAGACTAATCGAGTGAAACCCGGACGGCTACGGAGTACAAGTTGTTCGTTTTCTTCAACAGCCAAGCTATTACAGAGTACTCGGTATGTATCTTCTTCTCTCGTCACCGTCCATACTACGTACTGGCACTACTACAGACCGATTTGACGCGCGCCGCAGGTTTCTACTGCAGTTCTAGCTGTCTTCTGTTAGAGACACCATGCATTGCGCTTTCCGCTGTTGGGTCATAACGACGTTCCGGCAATCAAAAACCGACGAGTCAGGAGAAACGGCATATTGATTCTGAAACATGCATCGATCCTCGCCTCCACTGCCAATTCCCACTTGTCGTCTCAACTTTCTGCCCTTCTGTGAGTGTTCGGCGGCTCTGGGGCCATTGGGAGGGCCCTGTCAGGAGCCGTACATCATAAGTCCTGAATCATGGCTGCTGTACGGAGTACTCCGTATTATTTACGGTATACGCCTGACTTGACGCATGAGCGAACCATCAAGGCAATAATAGTTCACCATGATGAGCCTGTGCACGTGTTACCTGTCATAAATGGAGTATTACTGCCCTGGCCTGTGTTTCCCCCGGTAAGCGTCCTCGATGCTGCAAAGATGTGACATGTGTAGTAAGTATGCACTCGGTACTACGTATTACCAACAACATGCGCCGCAGCAGACAGGCATTCTCCGTACATCAAAACATCAACAGCAGGTCCGTGGACCACCTCTGACTCCTGAGTCGTTGAACCAGTCCGTACGTACACAAGCACGTAGGTAGTGCCCGTCGGTCGTCCCACGTCTCGAGGCTTCAGGCTCCAGACTTCAGGGGTCGTTACACGGGGCGAAGAAACATGCGTGTCTCTTCTAATAATAAGCCATGTACACCGGTACAAAGTCCCTCCCTACTCGGTACTCCGTACATGCAAGGGATATAGCACGCACTGAGTAAGTACGTACTCGCGGCCCATACGGAGTACAGGCATCTAGTACTACTACTTACTACCACTGCGTACAGAGTACGTGCTGTGAGGAAGCATGAAGTGCTTCACGTCGTGGCAAGGCAGGCTAGACTCGTCATATCGGTCGCACGGGGCCAGGCCAAGCGAGCGACTGTGTTTCCCTCGTCGGGCTATTTGCGCAATTCGGTCTGACATTAGTACTGCTCGTATTGCGTTCTTGCGGCGACCGGCAAGGGTCGTGTACCGTGCGACGGTGTACTTTGTGACGGGCAAACAATTATTAGGATGGCGGGGTGCAATGTGCTTTCTTGTCGTCCAAAGGTTCTTTGACTGCAAAGAAAACTCGGGCCGTGAGAGTAGTGCAGGGTAGCCAGTCGCCTGAGGGCTGTACGAAACAATCTCGTCTTTTCCTCTCCGAGAACGACGCCCCGGCTACTGGGCTGCTTTGCGTTGACTCCCCGGCCGAAACGGATGGGTAGCCTCACTCTTTGTGGCCGGCTTGCCACGATGACAAGTCGTGGCACCTGTCGTCGGGGGGGGTTTTGGTTCATCATCTTGGCTGCGGCTTCAAGCATAGGGCTGGTGGACGAGGACAGCCCCGGCGAAACGGGTCTGTACATGTCATAAAATATCGACTGGTTTGAAGAGAACACACTTCTTCTTTTCCCTTCTTTTCTTTTTTTATTATTGTTTTTTCTTTCTTTTTTTTAAAAAAAAAAAAGAATCAGCTTCTTCATGGATGGTTGTCAAATTCGGTTTCTGGAGAACGCATGACAGTGCCGGGTCTGCCTGGCTGGCATTGATCAGATGCCGACATGTTGCAAGAGTCTCGAGCCAAACAACCGACACTTCAGATGATGTGTGATGGATCATGTAGGCATGTTTCTTTTTCTTTTCTTGATTTCTTTGTTTTCCTCTTCTTTCCGAGTCAACACACGGGGATACTTGAGAATTTAGCGCTGCAACTGTGTCGTCTTGCAGGGCCTTGTCACGACAAAATTGGGTCATCATTGACGCGTCTCTTCCTAGTCGCCAGGTACTTCAACACGTCAGGGCAAGCGGCCTTGGTTACGGGAAATCAGTGAGCGAGCACAAGGACATTGTAGGGCCGGGGCGGGCAGGTGGAATAGAACAAGTAACCTAGATGAGGATGATGGTGAACCAGACTGAACACAGGCGGATAACATGGCTGAGGACCGGACTTTCGAGGCTTGCGGCATCATGATCGGGATCCCGAGCGGTCTGATGGTACTTTCGATTGACAGACGCCCAGCCAGACAGGCCGTCGTACGTGTCGTTGTTCCATTAGTTACTTGCTGGCAGGATTTCTGTTGGGCTGCTGCCTTCCAAGGTAATGTCGAGAAAACCAGTCCGCGCTTCTTCGGCCGAGTATACGTGGATATTTCCCTTTTAGTAATCAGGCGGAAAGTAGTGCTGGGGGCTCCCGCCCTTCCGAAGGGAGAAGGCATTGCCAAGTTGCTGTCTGCACTAGACGACTCAATCGACCCGTATCATGCTGAGGTTAAGACATCAATTGATGCTTAAGACACTTATGATCTGGAATCAAAAACCACGAATGATGCTATACCTTGATGTTATTCCACAGAGACTGCCTGCCAACGGATGGATCAGCTAGCCACGGCATGGTTCCAGTGAGGCCGCGACTGGTTAGACTTGTGGCCGAGGACCTGCAGCGGCAAACTCCGAATGGATGAAAGGAACACAACAAGGTGATGGCTTCCAGTTTTTACATTGAGACTCTGGCTCCTCCGTGAAGAGTTTGAACCCGGGCAAGCCGGAAGGATGGCTACGTAGATGCCCAAGCACGCCCTGCAGCGCCTTTTTGAATGCCCATCGTCTGTTATCGGTGGTAGCTGCGATGATATTTCGGTACGTGTCTCATTATCAGTCGTCATCTCTGCAGGGCATCGGTGGTTTCGGCTTTCACGTGCGAGACGTGCGGCTACATCGTTCAGCTTGCGGGGCAGCCCACGATCGTCGGAGACAATGCAGGGCCCGTGCGACCAGACGGAGCTGAGCTGGCACGAGGTGAGGGATTGATGCTGTTGCCGAGAGCCACCGGCTTGATTTTTCGGTTGTTGCCATGTGGCTCCGGCCACGGGCATGACAACCCAAGTCTGATCTGGTCCATCGTCATGACGGATACTGGACGGCAACTGTCAGCAGCGCAGATTGGATCAAAACTGTTGAAAAAGCTTACATGTAGGCGTCATCCACGGCGGCGGCTCCAATGCGACGGCGAGCCCCGGCTTCTTTCGTGACTGGCTGGGCATGGCTGGACCCATGGATGCAGGTCGGCATGCTGATTGGATGCACCTGCGCGCAACAACCTCGCCGCGCGCGGAGAGTCGGAGGCTGCACAAGTCGTCCATGCCATTGCCCACCCGCCGCAACCGCCGCATGACAAATCTGGCACGACTCACGCCGCCTCCGGTCAATCCTGGAACCGCCATCACCGCAATTCCCTCTCGTGTCGCTGCGAACCACAGGGCACGGCATCAGGACACCGTTGACGATTCGATTGTTTGCTTCACTCGAGATTCCGACTCTGCCTGAAGCGCCTCCCTGCGAACGCGCCCTCCTCCAGGCTTCTCCGCGGCCAACCCTCATTTGAGCCCGACGGCGCAGCGAAAAGCATCCAGTCAACCACCACAACATCCGGAGCCGTCTTATATCTGGCGTTCGCAGGCCTGAAACACGACACAAAGGCTGCGGATTTCGTCTCACCAAGCATCACGCCATCATGTCGACATACAGTGGTAGGCACGGCCCCAACGTGTCCCAGTACCTCCGCGACCTCAACACCATCAGCCCTCAGGACACCACTGCCCCTGCCGAGGACGCCTTCAACATGGAAGACGACCTTGCTCTCTTCACAAATACGCAGTTTTTTGATTTCGACTCGGGCCAGAACACCGACTTCCAGGCCCAGCCTGTCAAGGTGGATGTTGACACTTCTACCGGACATGGGTCGACTCGGTCTGGCGACGTGACACCTGCCCAGGCTGCTATCGGCGATATGCCCGATTTGGACTTTATGTCTGGTACGTGCATTCAAGTATTTGTTCTTTTTGTTTTCCTTGCTCTCCAGGCTTTGGGTCTTTTTTCTTCTCTTTTCTCGCATGCCCATGGCGCCTGTTTTCTCGAGGGCCATGTGTTCGATTGATACTGCGGGTCCGGCTTTCGGAATCCCAAGCGGGGTGACTAGGACAAGAAGATGACTTTCCCAATGCACAAATCACACAATATGCACAGCTTCTGTCTCTCCCCTCCCCCTCCCCCCCCTCGGCTTGCGCCCTTGCAACAATCTCTCGACTGTCGCTCTGCACCACGGCTTTCCCCAAGTTCTGCTGGCATGACTCTGGGCTGGTGGTTCATGTGTTGGATGTGGGGCCACCGTGGGGGGTCTCTCTCGATGCTCAATGGTCAGCGATGGTGCAATCCCTCGTGATTGTCCGCGCGCCCATTGTCTGCCATCCGGTTGGCATGCACACCAACGGCGGTTGTCGCAGAATGCGACCTCACTGCAGATCTTCGTCTGCCAATTGGCAAATCCAAGTTGTTTCCTCTGATATGACCATGGCTTGGACGTTACTTTCACCATTTAAACCGCGCTCGGAGACATGCTTCACCAGCGGCGGGACTCTGGCTGACTCGAATGCCTGCAACAGGTGACTTTGATTTTTCCGACTTCAACAACGCCTATGCCGCCGCCCCGCACATGAATGCCTTTCCCGATTCTGCGCAGGGATTCCAGCCTCTCCAGCCTAACCACCAGGTCCAGATCCCTCATCAGCAGCCCCAATTCCGCCAGGGCCACGCCAGAACCGGAGACAAGCGAAACCCGGACGCCATGGTCTCCGCCCCTACTCCCGCGCCCCAGCAGATGAGCTTCGAGGATGCCTCTCGCGTCGCTGCCGACGAGGACAAGCGCCGGAGAAACACGGCCGCCAGCGCCCGTTTCAGAATCAAGAAGAAGCAGCGAGAGCAGGCTCTTGAGAAGTCTGCCAAGGAGATGACCGAAAAGGTCACCGCCTTGGAGAACAAGATTGCCCAGCTGGAAACTGAGAACAAGTGGCTCAAGAATCTTCTTGTTGAAAAGAACGAGGCCGGCGACGACATCACCGCCCTGTGGAAGGAGTTCACCAAGCACGCCAGCGAAAAGGCCAAGACTGCCGAGTCATCCGCCACCACAGAAGCCGTCAAGGAGGAGCGGTGACGTGGAGCGGTTGCGCCTTGTCCGTAGTCCAGTGGGCTCACGACGCGACGAGACGGTTCGGGCCGCGTGCGCGTTGATGCACCGACGTTCCGTTGGGTGGGAGCGTTTTCTGTTTAGTTTCTGGCGTTTTTATCGACTTGTGTAGAAACAATCTGGGTGGCGGTTTGCTGCTGTTTTGGACTAGCTAGAAGGACTGACTGTCCAGCTATCCGTGGAAGATCTATACATGATGAGCATGTAGACATGGCTGGCTAGATATGAATTGAATTGGTTTAAAGATTTACAGCTGTAATGGTTTAAAGATTTACAGCTGTGCGTCACGGCAAACAGTCACTGCATTCGTCGAGGAGCAGGAAGAGCCCTCGGATCGTCTGCTGTAACACCATGCGCCTCCTCGACTGCTGTCACAACACGGCTGGTTTCTTCCCCCCTGTCATGCCCCGGCCAGTACAATAAGCTGCGCATTCCGACACGCCCGCATGCCATCTCACACTTGTCTATCCAGCCGCGGGTGTGGTGTTGTCACGAGTCCTGCTTGCTCGTCGTTTTGTCGCCGGCCGCCCTCAAGGCTGCCAGCCGCTGCTTGTTCCGTCTCCCTAGTACCCTTAGGGTGTTCTGCTTCTCGACGTCGCCCATTTCCGGCCAGTTCGAAATGCGGGACACGGTGCCGTCCACGTTGACGACAAGAGGGCCCAAGTGGTCCAGCTTGACCGTCGTGCCGTGCCCGGAGACGTCGAGGGTCGTCGCCGAGTTGTCGCCGGGGGCGGGGAGCGCGCGGCCGCCGGGGCTCGGTGATTGGCGTGACGGGGTTTCCGAGGGCGACGAGGACGAGGAGTAAGATGTTGGCGAGGGCCCGGCGGTGTTCGCCGAGGACATGGCTTTGGGACGGAGAGGTCTGATTCTGGGCCCGAGGCGTGAGAACAGGAGCATTCCCGGGGGTGGGGTGCCGACGTGGGAAGGGCCCTCTTTATGTTGAACGGAGTTGAACTGAATGTCTGGACGATGTCTAGAAGTGAGCGCGGTGAGAAGGGCTTGTTGCGAAGCGGCGGTGGAGAAAGTGATGCTTGCTTGGAGGTTTTTGAGGCTGCAGGGGGGGCCTCCACTAGCGCCCGAGCCTGGCCTCTTGACCTCGGGCGACGACTTGCCGCATCGCCGTACGACATGTTCGGTTTTACAGGTTTTGCATTCCAAGTCCCTGCTGTGGGACTCGCCCGGTTCCGGCCTGCTGCGTGGTAGATATCTTGAACCCGGAAGACGTCCCTAGTATATTGTACAACGCGGGAGTAGAATCGCACTCTACGCACGGAGAACATGCATCGTCTACGTGAAGATTGTCTTGGCCTTCTGGTGCAGCGCTCCGCAAGACATGCCGCCCGAAGGGGCAAGACAAAACAGCTCTCGGGTACTCCGTAACACGACGGCATTGTCGATGCTGGTCTTCGGTTGGGTGTGAGCACTGGTGGCTTGGGCAGGGACCTGCAGTCGTGGTACGCGGTACGTATGCATGAATCTGGACCGCCGGAAATCGAGAAACTGGGCGTGCTAATGCCGGTGTTGAAAGGAAACACGACAACGCAACGTTGGCGAACGGGTCGTGACAGCCCAGCCGTGCTGAATCTTGAAGACGCAAGGAACTGCTAAAGGCTGCGGGTTCGCTAAGAAGGTGGCTTCCCTTGGAATATTCCTCTGCGTCACATTTTCACGGGACAGCTTGTGCATATCTCGGTTTCGAATCGGACTTGGAAGGAAAACAGGTTGGTAAATGTTCAGAGGTGCTGTTCAAGGCGTCGTGGAGATTTTTGTTTCTTGGTTCGTAAAATATGCACAGCCAGACCAACACACAAGTCGGCCAAACATCCATCCAAGCCCGAAAAGCACGTCATGGATGATACGCTCGAGAAATAGATTCAAGCCAGAGCACCTTCCCATGGTATTCGTGCCGCTTTTCTGATGGATGACAAGAGTCTCCTATTCGTCAGAGATCCCCGGGTACTTCAGTAGAGGGCGAATCAATTTAAGCCCTTTTGCCACTTTGGACGCACCCTTTTGCCTGTATGAGCCAGCATCGAAGAAAAGTATCTCGACCCTCTTTGCATCTCCCTTTGGTCATCCTTAATCCGTTCCAGTACGAGTAAAGAAGGGACTTTCGTATCGTGGAGGAGACTTGCAAGATGTAAACTGTTGCTGATGATAAAACTGGTTTCAGTCTGAAAGCACATGCAGTCTTTATACTGTATGAGGCAGAAAGAAGCAAAGACTCACTTATCCCTATCCTTTGAGCCTCCTCCTTTTCCGAAAGGGTATACAGGGTTAGGGTTAGCGTTAGACGGCCAACTCGACGTGGATGACATTCCCCGCATAACAGCAGGTTACACCGGCTGCGGATCACGGTTCGGTGGGAAAGGGGACATGATGAATGGGACAGGGGCCAAGGGCGCTTATTGTGTGCTTTTGTGTTCCATGTTACGGTGTGCATAACGGGTTGACGGCACCAGTCGAGATTCAAGGCACCAACTTAAAATGTCGTCAAATTGAAAACCTGAGCGAGTGCCCAAGAGCACCGCACATAGCACATGCTTACATGACGCACTACATACTAAGTACCTAAGTACCTAGGTACTTGAGCACGCAGGTACCTAGGTGCAGCTGCCAACACCTGGCAGACGAAAAACAAAAAAAAAAAAAAAGAAAAGACAAGGAAAGAGTAGAGTGAAAAGGAAAGGGCACTTACTTGGTGACGTCCGAGGTGCCGAGTTCCGGTCGATCTCACCTCATCGTCATACGGAGCAGATAGATGCCAAATGAAAAAAATTGCCTCAGCCCGCGGCTCGCCGCCTTGCATGACGGCCGCGCCAACATTCGAGCAAGTGCCCTCAAGTGCTTCCCCGCCCGCCGGCAGCTGGCTGCACATGGGCATCATGGGCATCTGGAGGCTAGACTGTACCAGTTGACGTGTTGGAGACGAGTGAACGAGGCAATTCGGGCTCCTTCAGGCTTCGGGGCCATTCGGAGCCAGTCGTCGAGTAGACGAGCTGGACCACATATAACGATGACGAGCCCCCGAGCCCTCTCCACTTGCTTCCAAGCCGTCTCACATTCTCTTTTCTTTCTTTGCTAAGGCCTTTTTTTCCCTTGTCAAGCCCCCTCCACCTCTCCTCGAATCCTTTTTCTTCTGCTATTATCCCCTGCTTTTCCTCGAAGCAATCCCCTCCCCGGGCCAAGCCCTCAAACTCTACTCTAGCAGGACGAGACTGGCCCCGGGCTCTCAGCATCTCAGCATGTTTGGCGGGCGCAAGTTCTCCTTCAACCGTCATACTGGCGCTCCCAAACCCAGAGCTCGTCGGTTCAGCAACGCCGAGCCAGGCGCAAACGGTAAGCCCGGCGCTGCTCTCTAAACCCAGCTGTCTTGTCTGGCTCCCGAGCTTCCATTGATGTGCACCTCCGTCTGCTGCGCGTGGCCAAAAATCAGGGCCTGGCTGGTGTGAGCTTGCCAATCGAGCTGGCATTTCAAGACGCCAAAGAAGTGGCAGCACGGACGGATAGCAAGGCAACTCGCTGACTCGTGCCCAGAGGTCCAGTCCAAAGTCCACCGTCAGTTCCGCAATGCCCACGAAGGCCATCTCCCCCACGCCGGTCTCGACGCCAGCAGAGCGTCCACCGGTGTCATTTGGTGCACGGAACGCGCCGCCGAGCTTGGCTTCTTCGAAGAGCCCGACTCCTGGGCCAACCTCGGCCAGGGCGCTCCCGAGGTCGAAGACGACATTGCCGGCTGCTTCAAGCGTCCCGAGACCATTGACATTTCCGTCGCCGCCAGAGAGTACGGTCCTACTGCCGGCATTCGACCCCTGAGAGAGGCCGTTGCCAAGCTGTACAATGAGATGCACCGCAGGGGCAAGGAGAGCCAGTATACCTGGGAGAATGTGGCCATTGTGCCTGGTGGCCGGGCGGGTTTGATCCGAATTGCTGCCGTCTTGGGCAATTCCTATCTAAGTTTCTTCCTGCCCGATTACACGGCTTACAACGAAATGTTGAATTTGTTCAAGAATGCGCGTCAACCCGGACGATGGGGAGAGCTGGGTGCAGCCATGAACAGGACAGTGGTGCTGACCGCCAGGCCAACAGTTTGCAGCCATTCCGGTCCCTCTATCAGAGGAGGACGGCTACCACATCCACCCCGACAAGATTGCAGAGGAAATCGCCCGCGGCACCTCGGTGATTCTCACGTCAAATCCGCGAAACCCTACCGGCCGCGTCGTTGCCAACCCCGAACTGGCCGAGATCCAAGACATTTGCCGAGGCCGCGCCACTCTGATCAGTGACGAGTTTTACTCGGGCTACAACTACACGAGCAACTGCGACGGAACTACTATTTCTGCCGCCGAGAACGTGGACGACGTCGATGAGGATGACGTCTTGATCATCGATGGTCTTACCAAGCGATTTCGATTACCAGGATGGCGAATTGCATGGATTCTGGGACCCAAGGGTATGCACCATTATTGTCCCGAACGTGTTACCACCGGTTGCGGCTTGCAGTTTTCGAAGCTAACTCATCACCTACAGAGTACATTGCCGCGTATGTGACTTTTGCAAGGATGCACGACGACTTTACCCAAGCTAACAGGACTCTAGCATTGGTTCCTGTGGTAGTTATTTGGACGGCGGTGCGTGCCACGCTTTCCAGGACGCCGCCATCCCCATGCTGGACCCAACCCTTGTGCAAAATGAGATGGTCCATTTGCAGCGCCACTTCCGTGTACGTGCTGAACCACGTCGTGCTGCTTGGAGACGGACTCTCTGACTTTTTTTCTCTTCCAGGACAAGCGGGACTATGTTGTCCGCCGCCTGCGCGAGATGGGCTTTGTTATAAAATATGTCCCAGACTCTACATTCTACCTGTATGTTTGGTTTTTGTTCTCTGACCTGTTTTTGTAACTGGGGACATCGGAAGCCGGCGATACTAACTGCAAGCCAGGTGGCTCAACCTCGACGGCCTCCCCGAAGGCATCGCCGACGGCCTCAACTTCTTCCAAGCTTGTCTGGAAGAAAAGGTCATTGTTGTGCCCGGCATCTTCTTCGACCTCAATCCCTCGCGACGCCGTGACCTGTTTGACAGCCCGTGCCACCACTTTGTGCGTTTCTCGTACGGTCCAAAAATGGAAGTACTGCGCAAGGGACTGGATGGCATCGAGAGAGTTGTTTCCAAGTATGTGCTTTTTTTTTTCGTGTTTTCCTGTTGGAGAAGTTTTCTGGTTTTATATTTTATTTTCTTCTAATTTTTCTTTCAGGCACAAGAAGGCTGCAGAGTGATATTGTCAAGTCGTGAAACAGGGAGTACAAGTATCATTATGACGATGAAGAAAGTATTAAGCAAAGTTTGGACTAGTTAGCTTCGTCTTGATGTGGACCAGGCTACTGCTGCCGCTGCCTGACGCTGGTGACATGTTGGTCAAAGACGGTGTAAGTCTGGGGAGCCGCTCAGAAAGGCAGCACGTTCACAAGATTCACAAAGGCACTTACTATGCTTGAATTTAGGTATCAGACAATGACGAGAGATATTGACAATTGTATGACATGTGTCTGTATATTGTGAAATACAGGAAGAAGGAAAGGGGAGAAAATAAGAGCCTCACGTTTCCCTCCATTGAGATCCACAGAACCAAACCGCAAGCAACAACTCCCCGATCGACAGAAATCTCCTTTTTCCTCGGCTGGTAAGCGGCGACAGCGATGTCACAAAGATTAAAATTAATCGCTCGTGGTCCTTTGTCAACCCAAATGCCTTCGTTCTACGTGCATACTGCGACGCCTCGGCCATACACTGCCCGTCGTGCTTCGAAACTATTCACATCATCGTGTATACTGACAAAAGAAAGAATAAGCAACGGCCCTCAAACGCTCCGTAGCGCCGTTTCAATCTGCAACGCTACTGACAGAGGAGTGCACCCGCATGTCGACGCCTACCCAGGACCAGTTGGCATGACCGCGGGTAGAAGACCTGGCCACGCAGATTGTGTCGTCTGTAAGCCTGTGCCTGTGCCGCAGGGTGACAAGTTAGGTCCTCGCTGTACATGCGGGTAGACTCGTGGGTTTCGTCGTCTCACGTCAACAGTTGACATTGTTATACGTAAAGGAGACCCGCATATGCACGAGGGTTGCAGGCCCCGTGATGCCCTCACAATCCGTTTCCGACGAAAAGAGCTGCTGAGGGGTCCTGGGTGACGTCATTCCTTTTTACTTCAAATAGAAAACCAGGCCGCCTGCAACCTTTGTATGGCAGCCACGGATATGCCCTCGCCGAGGTGCGTTCCAATGCTCATCTTGTCTTTTCCCACACCAGAGCAATCGAGTTTAGTTTTCTCCTTTGTGCGATTGCCATGTCCCCCTCCATCTTCACCTCAGCCAATGTCGTGCCACGATGGTGACGTACAGCCCCCCCCGCGAGCATGCGCAATGAGCCCACGCCATTGGTCCGGTCCCTGTTGCCCCTCTTCTTGTGCCCTTTTGAATTTATACAGGAGTTTCTTCAGCCTCTCTTCAGTCCTATACCTACTTTGCTTCTCAACACAACAACAGGAAGGAGACGTTGCAGTACAGTAGCTGATAGCTTTGATCCAACGCTCGTGAGTTTGGCCTCAACTCTTACTTTGATCCCTCTCCTCCTCTTCGTTTCAGCGTCATACTTACTTTCTCATCACCAAGTAGTCCGCCCTTTTCTTCCCGTTTTTGTTGCCCAGCAGACAATTGACCGTCCTCAGCCATCATGGGTGTTACCAAAACTACTCTCAAGGAGGGCTCCGGCGCTCAGCCCACCAAAAACCAGACCGTCACCATTGAGTACACCGGCTGGCTGAAGGATCCCAGCAAGCCTAACAACAAGGGAAGCCAGTAGGTCCAGCCGACCCTTTCTTTTCTTCTTCACGAAACAAGGTGACTAAATGGGACCACTTGTACCCAAAGGTTTGACTCCTCCGTCGGCCGCGGCGATTTCGTCGTCAAGATTGGTGTCGGCCAGGTTATCAAGGGTATGTCACAACAGATTCAGAGAGCTACCAACGGAATGGGTCCCGAGGGGAGTGTTTTTCTGACCTATTGCTGCACAGGCTGGGACGAGGGCGTCATGCAGATGAAGGTTGGCGAGAAGGCCCTTCTCGACATCACCTCTGACTATGCATACGGTGATCGGTAAGCTTCCGCGCCATGGAACCCAATCAATCCCGCTGGGCACCGTACCGACTATGTCCTTTTACAGTGGATTCTCTCCCGTCATCCCCCCCAAGTCTGATCTCCTCTTGTAAGTTTTGTCGCTACCTTGTAGAACGTGTCCGTGTCACTCATATTTTGCGTAGCGACGTCGAGCTGAAGAAAATTGCCTAAATTTGAGTTGGCCGGGCCGAAAGGCATAAAAGAACAAGGCGGCGTGGCGATTGCGCGGCGAAGAAAGAAAACAAAAAAAAGAAGAAGAAGAAGAAAAGAGCCCTCCCGTTCAGGTCTTCGATTGCCCATGGAGACTACTCGTTGCGTTCCGATATCCGGCACCACCGTTTTTTCCGTCCTGATTCCCGAATAGGTTTTTCTTCCCCACGGTGGTTTTCCTATGCCATATCAGCTAAAGGGGGTGGGAGTCCAGAAAATAGCGTCAAGTAGTTATCTAGAGAGTGTCTGACTTGGAACAAATACATGCACATGTTGGCTCCGCCCTGGCGTCGCCGAAGCCGCGTCTCAGATCTCGCCGACCAAATCCGATTCTCGGTTCATGGTATTCGCCAGTGGCTGCTAGGTCGAGGAGTGGTCATATATGGCGGTGGTAAATGTGACTTCATCCAGCTACGACTCGGTGATATACATGAGTAGTGCAATTGGGATGTTGCTTCCGGGCTCTCGGTCTATGAAAGGGCCAAAAATTTCGGTAAGCTGACTCTACTCTATGATTTCAATTACCAGCTTGGGGTGCCCCGGACTTCCTTATCTAATTTCCATCGGCTTCTGATCGTTGTGCTCAACCTAGACAATGTTCGGTTTTATATACACCAAGTCTGTTCGAGATGACGATGGCTAGGACTGGCTGTGCCTACTATTGTTCTCGGTGAGCCGTTTCAAGCTGCCGCTCCATCAACATTCCTGTCCCACATTGCAGCAGGCTCGATATCATTCATAATCAGTCTGGAGCTTCGGCAATGGTCAGCACCCTGATATGTCATACCAATCCAGAGTTACCACGTCTTGATCCACTCAACGCACCAGACAGCAGCCAAGATTTATTCAGTCAAAATTCGTGAATCCGACCATTCTGTAAAAGTATAGTGAGTCGGTTCTAACGTCTGATGCAGAACATACCAGGCATCTGATAGCTGGTGCCACCACCAAGGAATCCCAACAATCATGGAGGGCTTAGGAAAGAAATGCATGCGTTCAACGGCTCGCAGGTCACCCCTGCAAAGAAACATATTGCCTAGTCCCTCGACCTAGTGCCGAGGATACGATGATTGCCAATTCGCGGAGTGGTTCCTGGGTCGAAGAACTTGTTCATTCTCACGTCCCCAAGTCATCCCCGGCTCACCAATGAATCAATTGGGCATCAACCATTCGCACGGCGTGTGCCAACACCCCCCTACCGACGTCAACCCAGCCATCTCACGACACAGCTTCTCCTCACGCCGGAGCAAACAGCCGAGAAGTCAGCAGCGCCCGTGAACCGAGCCCAGCAGTCAGCAAACGCCACAAGACATCAGCAACCCCATCTCCACCAAAACAAAGGTAAGCCGCATTCCAGCAAAGATATCCCGCAGGACAAAAAAGCAGCCACGGCGTCTCAAGGAGTATCCGATCGGGTACACTTTTTCATGCTTCGCACTATGCGACGGGCAGCCCCTCCCCCCGGCCCGAAAGGTTTGGCAAAGATGTACGTGCCCTTCCGCCACGAAGAAGAGCTGCTGGAATGGAAAGGTGTTGGTTGGCTTTGCGTACATGCATGTGGCACCACTGAAACGATATTCTTACGTGATGCCCCGATAAGATTGGAGAAGAGACGGACTTGAGATTTGTTTTGCAGAGAAATCAGACGCATCGGAGACAGATGGGAGTTTGGGCAGACTTTCGTTGGGCGTGATCGAGTCTAGACGCTATCGATTTTCATGCTCACAAGGAAGAGCCCCGTTGCGACGCTGCCAGATACCCAAGCACACAACACACACATACGTACGCTCCACCTCGAACAAACCAGAGGTGTACGAATAACGACACGAAGGGGCCCCCCTAAAAAAAAGAAAAGAAAAGAGGTGGTGTATTCACGATGGTATTGCACAGGCGAAAGGATGGAAGAAGGATTCGACGGCCGAGGCATAATTGTGGAGGGCTGACGATGAAACGGGCGGGTCTGACGGCGGATCTCGAGGCTCAATTCATTTATTTTTCTCTGGGTCCCCTTCCTCATGCGGAGTCGACTGTGGAAAGGCTAGGCCGTGGACGAATGACATTTGCTGGCGGCCGAGACGATGGACTTTCGAAACAGTCTCGATTTGGCGGCGCGTTGATGCGAGTGCGGGCTGAGCTGTGTCGTTTGTTACGGCGTCGTCTGACATGTCCATGCATGCCATGCCATGCCGTTTGACCCATCTCGATGGTGTCGTCGTAATGCCGCTCCGAAACGACTGTGGCCGAAACACCGGCCCCGGCTTGGCCAGTTTTATCTGCTCTCTCTCTCTCTCTCTATCCGTCTATTACGAAAAAAAGTCGGTGCGGTAGTGGCTCGTCGACTCCCCGCCGTCCGATGTGCCCGTCCATCTGCGCCCAAGACAGCTGGAGAGGGGCAAAAACGGTGGTTCAGTTGCTGGGAAGAATGGCAAGGCGCCCTCGCCGGCTTGAAACGGACAGACAAGGTCAAGGCTGAGCCGCAATGCACGGATCAGGCACGTAGCACGACGGTCGAGACGCCTCGGACGGGCTCATGGAGTAGTCTGTAGGTGTATGTATGTACAACAACGCCGGGAGAGGGGGGTGGTGTTTTTCTTCTTCCCTTCCAGCTTTCTTCGTTTGTGTCTTTTTATTTGGTCTTGGCACGGGGGGTGTGTATATGAAAGCTTCCTTTGTTGGCAATGCTCGCTCAGCACACGGCGTGAGAGCAGGACCGACGGCGCATTCGTCGGGTCAATGCAAACAAGGCGCTCCTTTTATCGGAAGGATGCCCTGGGACGGTTTTCTGCTCCGTAGGCGCACGGGATCGGTTTTATCTACTTGTTTGTTCATGTCGCCTGTTGCACCCGCACTTCACTTGGGAGGCGCGCGGTAACGTTAGTTGGTTACATGACTGCGCAAGCCATAGCATGACGAGCCCTGTGGAGTCAATCGGTGGTCGACCCGCGGGGAGGAGGGGGCGTGTCCAACGTCCGTCTGTCTGTCAGGCAGGGGCCGGCCGGCCATGGCCCTGTCGACTGTCCACAACAACAGCCCAGCCAGCTCGAGCATGAATTAGTTACTACGATGACGACTATTCCTCGGCAAAAACAAACAAGCAAACAAACACACAGCCACACAACCGCGACAAAGGCCTGGGCCGGCGTCAACTGCGAATCGCAAAAAGCATCTGAACCTGCAAAGCGCGTCGACATCAAGGTTAGTTGGTAGTTGGGGGCGAGAGGAACGAGGCCCAACAGCAACGAGCCCATGGCATGTGCATGTGCGTGCGCGCAGCGAGTTCGGAGCACCTCGATCGACATGTGGACGTTGGGACGGACAAGCGCCAGTCCGTCTGTGCAACCGCTCGGGGAGCCTTGTTTTGGCGTCAAGGAGGAAGTAGCGCAAGGGGAAGGGACGAACAAAAAAAAAATTCCCCCCCTTTCCAACCCGTGCTGCCGTTGCTTGCGATGGAAATGCGACGCGGGTCTAGTGCAGTCTGTTTGAGATGAGCTCGCCCTCGGGTTCCTGTTCCTGTTCCTGGCGTGCAACGTCATTCCCGCACGGCCGAGAGCGCACTAGCTTCGGGCCACGCGGCGCCATTGCAGGTCGCTATTCACTTTAGCCGGGCTGGCTGTGCGTTGTAAGCGGCACTCACTGGTGGTGACCGGTCAGTGACTGCCGGGCACTGCGGACTGGTGACTCAGCGCCTGGAATGGCAATGGCAGTGGCAAGTGGACCATGGGCACACACGCACGGTTTTTTTTTTTTTTTTTTTCCCTCCCTCTCCCTTTGTCTTCGTTGGCTTCTGTGCGCCCGCCCGCCCTCGTGGCCGCCCGATCAGATCAGGTCCGTCCATTCGAGCGCAGTGCCTTTGGCAAGCGGGGCGGCGCATTTGTCCGCACGAGTACGGAGCACGGAGCACGGAGTACGGAGCACGCAAGGCACGTACTTCCCTACTTCAGTACTCGGCAGGGCGACGGTCACTGCCAAGTGGTCGCCGTCTTGCCTCTTGCCGCAGCGCAAACGCGGGAGCCGTGCCGACGCGCGCGCAACTGGCAGCTCTGCAGGGCTGGCATCCATCGGGTCGAGACTCGAGAGTTTTCGGTCCGTCATTGACCTCGACCCGTGTCTGGCCTGCGGGGCGGGCGGACGTGCGTCGTGGTTGGTCCGAGTTGCGTGCCCGCTGCGGGCGGCGGGCGGCGGGCGGGAACTGCCGACGCTTTTTCTTTCCCTTCCTTGGCCTGCCTGCCTCACTGAGGTGCTGCCGCTGCTGCTGCTGCCGCTGGCTGCTGGCTGCGTGCCGGCTGCCGAGAAGTATGTACTACTTACGCAAGTCACTACGGGTACGTGCCCGAGGTGGTCTCAGTCTCGCCCTGGCTGCTATTCCGAAACCGACGGCTAATGCCAAGACGGTTTTTTTTTTTTTTTTTAGAAAATGAAATGAAAAAATTAAAAAATTAAAGCCCAGCCCTCCGACCAAGAAAGCGCGACAGCTAACCCCGGAGAGAAAGCAGAAAAGGAGAAAAAAAGACCGACAGCACGCAGCGAGCAAACAGCCCGGCGGCACATCATGCCACTTCTTGCACCATGTCGCCATCCACCCGCTCGCCCACCCACGCAACTGCCTTTTCCCGGCGTGCAGCACGGCTTCGACAAACTTGATCGCGACAGAGCGACCACTGACAAGTCGAGCATGACCCGCTGGCCGTGTGCTCTGGGGAGGGGCAGAGGAGGCACAAATCTCGGGAGCAAGGCCAGGCCAGGCCAGGCAGGCATTTCACTCCCTTTGGCCGTCATCTTCTTCGCAATGTGCAATGTGACAAAGTTCGCCTGCTCCACCGGCCAGGCAGGCAAGGCAGGCAACCAGCCGTCGTCTCTCTCTCTCTCTCTCTCTCTCGTCTCTCGTCTGGACGCCGGGAGGGCCGCGTTGGAGAGGGAAACGAATCCGCCCTTGCGTCGGCCCGAGGACCCTGCCTGCAGGTCTGAATACTCGGAACGCGGCGTACGTGGCATTCGCAGAGTGAAACGGGCACGGGGAGCAGGGAGCAAGGAGCAAGGCGCAAGAAGCAAGGCGCAAGGCGCAAGACGGGACAAAGTAAACACAAGAAGCCAACTTGGCCTCCTCCCTCGTCGTACGTAGCTGGGAAGATGCGGAGAAAAGAAAGAAAAAAAAATCTTCCCGGTTTCTATTTTAGTTTTCCATCTAGGGTCCCGGGGTCCCCCCCTCCTCTCGCCCTTGAGTAGCCCCGCCCGCCTCGTTTTTCCTGCCTTTACTTTTGCTCCCTTGGTCCCTTGGTAGCTGTTTGGCCTTGGTGAGGTCGGCAGCAGTCTGCGCTGACAGGATCCTGTCGAGTCAAGTCACGTCAAGTCACGTCACGTCAAGTCAGCCCGGCCGCAGACCCCGTCCCGCTTGGCCGCTTGGCCGCTTGGCCGCTTGGCAACTTGGCAACTTGGCAGCGTGGCAGCGTGGCAGCGTGGCCGCTTGGCCGTGATGGACGGCATCCCGCTGGGTCCCTCCCTGGCCGTCAAGAGTCAAGGCGGGAAGGATTGGATTCCCTCTCCCATGCCCATCTCCGCAAGTTTCATCTCCCGGGCGCCGGACCCCAACTCCGTATCCCGTGCTCCGCACTGCTGCTGCGTCCATGTACGTATGTGTCTGTCGCCTCCGCCGTCCCGCCCTGCACCTGGGCCTCGGCGCCCCGTACAGCAAGTTGCAACTTGCAACAATGGGGGAGTCCCATAAAACTCGGTCGCTGCATAAACATGCCGCACACACGTCCGTCTCATGGACGGACGGGCGGACGGGCGGACGGCGGGACACTTGGCCCTCCACCGCGTCGCCTGCTACTGGCTCACGGTCGCGACCGTACTGCCGAGCAGTCTGTTGTCGGTTTCACGCGACAGCCGGCCTGGACTCGACGACAGGGAACAGGCTCGTGTGGACTCTGTGTGCTGCGCGTGAGTCGACCCAGTCATTCGCGTCTGTGGTTTTTTCCCCATGAAACCGCACCGCACCGCACCACAGCTACACCGTACCATTGTGTACTGGCGACCTTGCTTTCCGTCTCTTGCTTCCTCTCGGGGGGGTGGATTCCACCCCGGCTCGGGCCCGGTCTCGGAACATGCAGAGGTTCCTGATTCCGGGTGTGTATCGGCGCTGACTGACGTAAGCACGTGTGCTGGGCAGGTGAGAAGGATGGAAAAATCAACCTTCCCCAAGCAAAACACTGTCCGGACTCCAGACTCCGGATACCCGACTGCGGAGCAATCCGCTTGGACGAGTTCCTGCAGTGCGCCACCGCCCCGTCGTCCCGCACGTCAACTGGTCCCAGTCGCCCGTCTGCCCAAGCCACCGGCGCCCGTGCGCCGTACTGGCCAGAGTCGCCACCACAATGGCTGCTCTGGCTGGCAGGCAGCGCAGCACGCACATCCGTAGCAGCAGCAGCAGCAGCAAGCAGTGGCGCCTGGCCCTGGATCTCACCCAAGCCCCGCGCCACATGCCCCGCGCCACCCGCCACCTGCCCCGGATCTGACGGGCGAACAGACAACCGCCACGCCCGTCCGTAGCACGTAACTGGCGTGGTTCCGCACCTGTCTGTCATCAACGACGTCCCATCTAGCCCGTGGCCATGGCTGGAACAACAACGAAGCCACAACTCTAAATTGCCTCCGATCAACCCGAACCGCCCTTCGTTTGTCGCAAGCCCCCGGCGTTGCGTCCGCTGCCCTCGCCTACCAGAGACCACCTTCGCCCGGCGTGGCTTGAGCCTACAGAGGCGAGGAAAATAAGAAGACCAAACGGAAGAGAGGGGAACAGAAGACGAGAGAAGACGAGAGAAACCTTGTTTCTTGTCCGACGGGACAGCCAGAACAGAACGCCCGGGAAGCGCGGGGAGAGCGGGGGGGGGGGGCAGGCGCCGCGCTAGTCCAGACATTAGTATCACCAAATGGCCGTTGGGGGGACAGCCGATGGAGGAGCGCCCGGTCTTCTTCTCGTGCACATATCCGACGGGCTTGATTGAGGCGAGGCGAGGGTTTCTGTCTTGCGGCGCAGTGGTGCCGAATCAGCTGCCCGAGCTGCCGAGTCGCAGAAAGGACGGGCCAGGGCCAGGAAGAGGGAAGAAAAGGAAAACAGAAGAGGAACAAGGCAAGAAGGAAAGAAGAGGGACAGAAGGAAAGCAAAGGCCCAGCACAACGCGCGAGGCACGGCACCGGCCAGAGCCATCATGTGCCATCCACCAATTCATGTCCCTCCCGTGCCTTGGGCCTTGGGTCAGCTTTCGAACCGAACCCAACCAAACCCGTCGACCTTGAGATTGGAACACTCGTCGCCCAGACACCCGGCGTGATTTTGCCACTGGCCGTCTGTTTTGACCAGCCGTGGGTGGCCCTTTCTTCAGTCACAATCATGCGTACCAAGGAGGTGGGGGGGCGCCAACGGAAACCAATCTTGTTTGGCCGAGACCGAATCGTAGTACTATTGAATCAAGCAGCCATGGACCGGTTGCCCGACCTTGTAGCCTATCCGTCCAGTCTCTTTTCGTCATAATCTATATCTCGGCATGCGCTTTCATGTACCCATTTCTGGGTCCCATGTGTTGCTGCCAGCTCCTTCTCCTCCCCTCCTCCCTCGCCAGGTTGGGCTACCATGTCGGCCCGTCTGCTCCGTTGCGCCTTGCATTCTCTGTAACAAACGAAAAACCCAAGTCCCGTCTAATGCCTGATCCTTTCGTCTTTTTTGGTGTCGGCTGACTTTGCATATCCCGAGTATCATCATGTTTCCCAATTCCAACAAAGTCCAATTGCTCCCATGCCATGCCAGTGGTAGTAGTAGTAGTAAACAGTTTGTGACACCAACTCCAGCCTAATATGTGTGATACAAAACACCTCGCCTAGGCCGTCATGACCCCGTCTTTCCTGTGTTGAACATGAAAAAATAAAAAAAATAAAAAGGGGGCTAGAAAATACAACAGCTTTTTAGTGGTCGATATGCATCGCTCCGTGTAATGCCGTCTTGATACAACAAAGAACTCGACGAAAAGGAAATAATGCATGTGTGTATATGCGTGCGCGAGGCTAGAATGATGAGGCCATCCACGTCGTGCGGCGTTGTTTTGAGTGAGTAGAGTTTCGTGGCATCACTATCGTCAAGTTGAACTATTCTTCTTTTTTCAACAAAAAAATTGCTCGTGAGATGAACAGAAAAGAAAAAGGTTCGGTTCGAACGTGGTCACCAGCCCTAGTATGATCGTCGTCGTTGGAGTCTGACATGCTCAAACGAAATGGCGTATGCTTTGAGCTCTTGTTTGGCATTGTCGGACAGCTGGTTGGGCTCGTCCATCGTCGACGTACTCTGCATGGAGCAGAGGCTGCTGTGCGAGCTCGATGGGGTCAGGTTTGCAGCATATGCGCAAGTGGATTGCTCCCAAGCAGCAGAGGCGGTGTGGTTGCTGCTCAACGACAAGCCGCGAGGAGGCGAGGCAGCCCCGTAGGCTTGGGCATTGCTAAAGTCGTACGCCGGGGAGAGGTAGAATTTTGGCCTTGATGACGATGATGAGGAGCGGACAGGCAAGCTTGGTGAGGGGCTCGACCAAGGATAGCCGGCAGGAGCAAAGGCCGGCGAGCTTGCTTGCGAGCTTGTGGGTGTTGATGTCGACTTTTCCTGATCAGCCAGTCTGCAGGATTCGGAGCAGTACGCTGCACCGTCGACCTGGACTTGCTTGTCACAGGCAAGGCAGAATTGGTGTGCCCAGAGATTGAAAGCCATTGTAGCTAATGGGTGTTTGATGGTGGTTCTGGTCTGGTCCGGCTTGTGATGAAAATCAGAGCAGAGCAAGCTTCCGAGAGAGCCACGGTCCTTTTTATGAACCAGGTAGATTTCAACGGATGGCTATGACAGGCAGAACAAAGACGTAGCAGACCAGGGGCCAGCTTTGTTAGCTGCAGTGGGGAGCGGATGTTGAGATCGTGAGTCAAGTCGAGCGAAAGCGGGACGGGCTGATGCAGTGGGTTTTTGTTGTGGGAGAGTGGAGAGCCCGTTGCATTTGATTGCCCGTCGAACCGAACAAAAGCTCAGGACAATGGACGACGGTGCTGGGAGAGGCTGGGAGAGAAAAGAAGAGGAGAATCAAAGTCCGAGATAGGATGATGGGAGAAAGAATGATGCAAGAATGGGAGGAGGAGCGTTGAAGAGGATGAGGGCAGGATATCGTAGTATATGTATTATGTATTGATGGGATGGGTTGTGCATAGTGCGGCTTGGGAGAAGGACAGCCTTGGAGCGAGCGCGAGAGACATGGGTGGCCACTGGGTGGGCCACTGGAGCAGTGCGTGCGTGGTGCCGGGTGTGGTGTGCTTTCTCGGTGGGTGGGGAGAGGGGTGTCGTGGGCTCAATGGCCCCGATTGGGGGGGGGGGGGGGTGGCGGGGGTTGAGGGGTGTGCAATGCAGATCTGGAAGTGGTCGGTACGAGTACGTACTACTCCTGCTTCTCCTACTACTGCTACCACTGAGAGGGCACGTTGAACGCTCGAATGTTGGTGGTGCAGCGTGGCCGCGAGGGCCGTAGTGGCCAGTGCCGCGGTGCTGATCTACTTGAGTACTTACTAAGTAGTTAGCAGCACCAGACTCGAGGCCACTTCTGCCTCGCCTTTCGCGAGACGACTTGCGTTGCATGTCAACCGGCAATCGGGACTGATGATGCTGCTGGCAGCGTTCGTGAGTGGGCGCCCTTTAGAGCTCCGTAAGAAGTAGTAACAGCCTAGGGCGCGGCCAGGCAGGCAGGATGGTACTTGCCTGCCCAGCCAGCCAGGTACGCCGTTCCCACGTACCAGGCAAGACTGCACATTTCGGCCTCTGCAGCCTATCAGGACTTGAGTACTAAGTACTGAAGTACCTGGCAGTTGACGGTTCGCAGGTCAGAGAGAGAGCACGCCAGCGCTGAGCATTGAAAGGATTGGCACCCAGAGTCGGCAAGGATGGGGCCCGGCGGGGTCCATGTCTACTTCTTGGTAAGTACCGGGCCGTAGCAGTGCTTCCTGGCCAAGAACTTTACTCGGAAGTGGGGTGTGCGCGCCGCCGAGATGGTGTGAGCGCTGGTACTACTTGTTGCCAGGAGAAGTAATAACTTGATTTCAAGTGCTTGCAATAAATAACTAATAAATACAGTACGGGCAGTGCTTGGCAGGCCATCGTCATCCAGATGTCCCCTATTTCCGCCTTTTTGCCTCGAGCTGCTATCCGACAATGGCTGATGGGCTGACGATACGAAAGGAGCCGCCCGTACGGAGCAATAATGCGCGCGTCGGCTCGTACATGCGACTAGTCGATAACTCGCTCTGGTGGTGGTCTAGTCGCACCACGCAATGTGTGTGTGATTTGTTGGTTTTTTTTTCTACGGGTCCAAAAGCTAGAGTTTTCCGCTGGCGGATGCCCTTCTCTTGTCCTGAGGCAATGGTGAAGCACGCAAAACAATGTACGGCTTTCACGATGGTATGATGCCATCCGAGTGGTGAGATGAGGTGACTCAAAGTTTACGGAGCACCAGACCAGAGCCCAGAGTCCTTGTTGCCGGCGCCCCATTATTATAATTTATCGCCCTCCAGTGAGGGTACCGACTGGGCCATGAGCTCATGGGCCATGGCGACATTGGGAAAGAGGCGAGCAACATCAGTGCCTTGTTCTCGACAAACCATCAGGGTCTCTTCTCTTCTCTTCCTTCTCCTTCATCCCCGGCCGTCTTGTCTTCTTGTGCCTCTGGCTGCTGTTCAGGGTTGGGTACAAGGGTGTCGTCGTGGATGGTCCTGTCACTCCTACCCAACTTCCTCTCCGCAGAATCGGCCATGTGTGGCTCGTCCCGCTATGCATACGTACCCCATGCAAGCCGTCTGCACAAAGGGTGAGGGCAGGCAGCAAAGACAAGCCCTTCAGAACATGCACAATATCGCAGAGTCCTCGAAGCAGCCAAGCACTGCTGCATCCATGCGTACATGAGGGTGGAGCTGCTTCTCATTGCACGTTTTCGCTGTTCGTGTGGCCTGTTAACGGCCAGGTTTTCCGTCTTCTGCATCCATCATGGTACTCGAGTACACACTACTCCCTGCTCTGTCCAAGTACTTTGTACATGCAGCACAATTAAAAATAATACTACTACCACTTACCAAGGCAGCACCCGCCCAGCCTTGAATTGTTCACCCGGCCTGACGGGAAGAATGCTCCGTCTTGCATTATTCATTCCGCGGGAATCTGTTCTTTCTGACAACTTTCCTTGTTCACGTCTCGAGGCCCCTGATTGATGCGCGCCGTGGATCAACTCTCTGCCGACAGCCGTCTGGATTGTGCACAATCGGACTCGGATAAGTCAAGTCAGTCGGACCGTCAGACAGCCGTCGCGAGTCCTTTTGCCCACTGAACCTGAGGCAGCCTCGCAACAAAGCAGCATAGCATGGTGGCTTTCTGTCAAAATGCTCTAGCCCTGTTTTGGCATGGCGCACCCGCCCTTATCCGCCTTCCTTCGTGAACGGCACTCTAAGCGGTCTGGCCTCTCTCTCTTGTCTTGCAGAACAAGAACATCACGAACTCTTTGTGCCGTTATTAGCACAACCTGATACCCCCCCAAATTCCCCAGCCCACCTTTCCCTTCGCATTTTCGTGCCGAGGACTCGCATCAGCATAGGCTGGCTGAGCGATGATTGTCAAGGCAGCGTGAGGTGATCGTCGTGGATGTTTGGCTGCCTGTGCTAATCACCGAGGCAGACGGTTGCCCCGAACGGGATTCTTGCAGCAACATAGTCGCTTATCACAACGCTAGGCAGTTTGACCCTGGAGAGCCTGGTTCGCTCAACACCTTGGGCATCACCATATGGCATGATAACGCGTCACTCAGAGACGAGACGTGTGCTCTCTTATGGGGATCTGTGGCTCTTTTGATTTGCCAGACGTTCCCGGCCAACAGAGCCGAAGTGTGCCAGCAGCTTGCCACCATCGCCCATCACCATCATCATCTTCGTCAGTATTATTCACTGCCTGGGGCTTTCCAGAGACGTACATACGATCGGCTAGGCGAGCGATCCAAGCTAGACAATGCCAACCGTCGCCTTGAGTTCTAATTCATTCTGGCTGCGCGCAGGCAAGGCAACACAACACAAAACGAAATAGAGACCACTGAATGATCATTCGTGCTTATTGCCGCCATCTACGATATCGTCATCGGACCAGCTACTGGGATTAAAACGGCTCACATTTGCGTTGGTTCTTGGATACGTACCTGTCCCTGGCAGGAACCGCTGGCTGTGTGGCTGCTTGTGGAGCTGGTGATGCGTTCCGAGGGAGGACAAGTTCATCGTCCACAACTTTGCGGCAGTGCGACATCACCGGCCTATTGCACCTGCAGCGGACGCCGTTCGTCAGCATGCCGTTATTGGTCGTTGAAGGATGGCTGCCGTCCTGCCACTGTGCCATTGTCTCAACACTTCAATAATCTGGCCGGTGCTTGCTCGCTTGATTCGCCCCGCAGACGACGACAGATCTGCTCGCCCAAACGGTTTTACCCTCATCGTCCACACACGAATACGGAGCACCATGGGAGCGAAAGCACATGGACGTGCTTTTGCATCTTTGCATTTGTCTGCTGCTCTACCGCTCGAAAACATCCATCTTAGCCACGCAACTGTTCATTCCGATCTTTCACTCTTCTCGAGCCTATTACTAGTAGTAGCTTCAGATTGGCATGTTTGTGCTATTAGCGGTTGTGGTGGGGGGTACTACCAGTGAGACATGCCTCTGGCATCGCCACATATTCTGGAATTCTGGACGCACAAATCGACGATAAGATGAGATCAACAAGGAAATGAAGGGCAAAAAAATAAAGCACTCGCTCCAAAAAGGCACGAGATTCGTCAACATCATGCGCTGTTGATGGGCCGGGAGACGGTTTGCCTCTCCCGTGACTGTAACCCATCCCCTGTCCCATCAACCTCTGGGCAGAATTCTTTTTGGGGCATCTTATTTGTCTTGACCAGACTTGTCGCATACAAGTTGAAAATCAACTCGCCGGCTGTGCCGCAAAAATCGTCTGCGCCGCCGCCCGCAGCCCGCAGCCTCTACGCAGTTTCCATTGTGATCCAGGCCGTCGTGTGGTTGCCAATAGTCATTAGGCCAAAGCTCCGGTCCACATCTGTCAGTCGGATCGACTGGAGCGGCATACACTTTCACGCAAATCGCAGGCGTCATGTCGCCACGCCATGGCTGCTGTCGACATTGCTAGCCGCCACCTGACCATTTCTGCCTGGGCCCTGTTCACTCCTCGAGGTCCATTACTCCCCACCATCTTTTCTTGTGGTCGTGGGTAGCAGGCAAGCAGATGGACGATTGGTCAGGGCTCAGGAGCATGCGCCGGCCGCCCGACCCATTTGGGCTTGTTAAGTTGGCAGTCTTAGACTGCCGATGGCGAACCTCGGAAAAGTCCCGTGTTCTCGGGTCGTTTTCCACATGGCTGACGACGTGGTTTCTGCGCTTGTTCTTGGCGACAAAGAATTCAGAAGAAAGAGAGGCAGTGCCGGAATAAACTTGACGCTATTCCCAGCTAGCTGAATTGGCATCCGCAACTATCGACGGGTCCACGCCGGCTATGGGAACCATGGGCGGGGTTTACCGCAAAACCCTCAGCACCTGATGCATGCAGGACATGGAGCATATTCAGCCGGCTACGCCCAAGTCACCCAAGTTTCTATTCTATTGCCTCACAAATGGTGGAAAATGGAGAGTATTTT